AAGAAGAAGAAGAAGAAGAAGAAGAAGAAGAAGATTAAAAATACAACAAAAAGAACAACAAACAAAAAACAACAACAACAGTTCAAAAACCCATTTCAAAAAGACTTACAAAAACATACACACGGACCAACAATCCCAAACTACAAACAAGCACACACATATACACAAGGGGCCTATAAACAACTGTGAAATATTTTCCTAGCTCTATCCCCCGCTTCCAGCTTGCTGTGAGGCCTTCTCTTTGCCACATACAGACCAGCCAGGCCCCGTTCTCGCCCGTGAAGACAGTGGCCGGCCGGCCTCAAAGCCCGGGGCGTCTGATTGCATATTTATGTTTTACCTCCTTTGTGTGGCCGCGGCACTTCTATTGGCTGGGCGGGTCGACTCGGGTCAGGTCAGGCCAATGGGCAACTGGACACCGGATTGAATGTCTATGTGTGTGTGTCTGATTTGTAGCTGTGAAAATTCTAGAGAATATCTATATATCTTATCGCTCGTGTGTTTGACATCAGGGTAACAACTCAGTTATGATGAGACTACACAACAAGTCCAGGGGAGCACTTGCTGATATCTACAATGGCAAGCCTATTTTTCTCAAAAGGCAACACCAACAGCGATTATTTCTGTCCAAATTGGACCGGCGATGTGCTGGGAAATTATGGATGCTCTTGCTCTCATATTGCACCAAAATTTAGATATAGACCTGCCACGTCTTAAAATTTACTTACAAATGCATTCTTATGACGAAATTATAGCTGCATTAGACGAGACACAACAAGGAACACTAATTCCTTAAAAACTTTTAAGACTTGGTACGTGACAGATAGAAGGAGTCATGGGTAAAAACTAAGGATTTTTGTTCAAGACCCAAATCTTTTACGCTGACAAAGATCCCTTTGTCTTAACATTCTCCCAACTGCTAACTGGTGGCTTCATTCAAAGATACCTTATGGGCGGGGGAGAGGGGGGGGGGTTAAATTAACGATTTTTGGGTCAATTTAAGGTCTTCGGACTTTTTACGTATTATAAAACTCCAATCACTTGTAAATCTAAAAAAGTGCTTATTCTTCTTGTTACAATCATCATCTTTCAGATGTTCTGTCATAGAACTTTCATTTTGCCTATTATGTAACAGAATGTCGTTTTTTCTCAAAACTTCAATTTTTGATGTTTTTTTTACATCTATTTTTTTTTGGGGGGGGGGGGGATTCCAATGAAATTTTCTGGGATTGTTATTCATACCATAACCTAACTTAATACAGGTGGGAAATAAAATCGATGCTTTCATGAATGAGTTACATGGATTAATATGTAATCGAATTCAGAGGCAAGAGCAGGGGTAGGTCAGTTATCCGACTTTAACTTTTTTCCTGTTTAAGATATTTTCCAAGATCCCAACGGTATGAAATTTTGTATTGAGTATATCTATCAATTTACCAAATTTGAACAAATTTGGTTTGGTAAATAAAAAATCCTTTTTACTTTTATGAAAGCTGTTTATTTTCAATATGGCGGCCGTTACCATGGCAACCGTACACTTAACCAAAAAAATTAAAGTTACATTTTATGTTTTCCTGTTATACCTCCTTGCTATAGGGCTTTATCTAAAAAGACCATCGTTACCGAGATGGGTTTATAACCCCCCCCCCCTTAACACTTGTTGTAGCCAATGTGCTAGAGTGTTCTTAAATTACACTCTGTCTTTTATTACTAAGTTTGCTTGTTAAAGTCAAATATGATCTATATTTCATGTTCACTTTTCGATTACTATCCAACAGAAATGGTCGCTTTTAAGTACAAGCGGGCTAACCCAGATTTCGGGGTTTTTCAGAAATCTTGACCTACCCCTAAAGTGGACATTGCCCTACCTGTAGGAGAAGCTCGGTTTCATTGGTGTGTATATTTGTTTATATATAGATAAAACTTCCTTTGTCTTTTAAAGAAGCTGAACAAGGGGCAAAAACTTTACCTTCGATTTTCTCAAAAGCAGCATTTTTCGGGATAGCCTCTTAGTGCTTAAAAGCGACCAAATAATCAATGAATTGTCACCTTATACTTAAATAATAATAATAATAAATAAATAGCATTTGTATAGCGCATGTCCCCACTCGAAAGCAAGCTCTATGCGGTTTACACTATATTGTTACCCCAGCAGACCATAGAACACTCAAAAACATTCTCAGCTTCCTAGGAAGCATACAGTGCAAGCAGCCAGTTAAGCGCTCAAACACTAACAAATTGACAAGACCTTTCAAAGTCTATAGCTGGGTACCCATTCCAACCAAGGTGAAATGAGGAAAATTCATGTAAAGTGTCTTTCCCTAAGGACACGACGTCGGGCCCGCGGCTTTAACCCCGAACCCGCAACCTCATGATTACGAGTCCGGTAGCATAACCACTAGGCCACCGACGCCACTAGCCTATGTGTGAAACTCCGATATTACGAGTAAAAAAAATTATTATACCGCTAAAACTAAAATACGTAGATCTATTTAAGTTGTTCAATGTTGCCAAAAATACTACCTCAGAACAGGCCTTATCGTTTATGTCATCTTAATACCGTTCTTGTTCCACTTATTGTTTGACTCTGGTCATTTCTGGATAACGATATTTATCTTCGTGTTGTAGAAGTGTTAGTTGTCTTGCACTGGAACCCGTTTACCATCGTATCTGGTCTTGCCATAATGGGCTTTTGTCATATGTATGTATCAAAATCTGGCCATCTCCATTGCATTGTTGTCATCTTGCTGTGCTGGTCCGCTGGATTCATTCAAACTTCGATTGTCGTGATCATGTCAGATGAAGATATAGATCTATATCTAGATTAAATGTGTGCGTAAGGGTGGCCTGCCCTAAGAGTTTCCGAAACTCAGTTTGTTTCTAATTATTTTATTTTTTTGGTATGCCAATTTATCTTCTCTATTATAGAGTCTAGAATCTAGATCTAGATCTAGAGATCTAGATCTAGATAAATAAATCAAGTAGAACTTTGTACATAGGCCTATAATTTGTTCTACTGACTCTGTGACTAGACATTGGCCTAGGCTAGATTCTCCTTTTTGTGTGCCTTGTCTACTTTTTTTTCTTTTTTCTCCTAGACTCTAGAAGTAGATCTAGATTCTAGATCTAGAATTAAATCTAGATCTATTTTTCTTTACTTGTTGCTCTCCCAAAAACTCTTTAAAATGACATATGCCTAGAAGGACTTCCAACACATTATAATACAAAAAGAAAGGCATGTATATCTGTTTTGTACTCCTCAACACCAGCCATGCTGCCTTTCTAAAATGCTAAAAGTATGATTTATATATGAATATATAAATGGTTACAAGGCTCTTTCCTTCTTTCATTCTTTCCAAAAACTAGGTGACAAGTTTGATTACCGAGCTATCTGAGCTGCTCTTAAATAAAATAGCACATCACCATGTTTTGGGATATTGTACAAAGCTTTGGTTTGAGTCCTCTGGTGTTTGTGGTGCTGCTGCTGACCCTGGTCTACTTTTTCATGCCTCGGTCAAACCAGCCAGTCAACATCCCTCCCATCCCTCAGAGACCGTTCCCATTTTTAGGACACTTTCCAATGATTGCAAAAAACCCGAGGGGGAAAATGGAAGAGTGGACTGCAAAGTAAGTCTTGTGATTGTCATTGGTGTCTATTAATAGCTTTGAATAATTTAGACAATATTTCAAGTAATACGAGATATTTCATTTTGGTTACTAAAATGTATAGTGCGTACATGAAAGCAAAATTGATCCATGCTAATACTAATAGCCTACTACTAGTAGTGCAATAGTGTGACCTTCTTGGTGCTTACAGAGCTAGTCTTATATTATTATAGACTTATATTATTATGGATGGATGGATGGATTTAGAGAGATAGACAAATCAATCAGTTGATAGATAAATAAATAAATTAATAGTTGTAGACAGATACAGTATAACACGGAATGCTCGAATACGTCGAGACGGGCCTCGGTAGTTTGAGAGATCCGTAGTTCGAGGGATTTCTTGCAAAGATGAAGAAGAAAAAAGCAGGATGGCAGACACAGTTCGATGGACGCGGAATTTCAAATCTTCTGTGTTAAACCTATCCGTGTTAGATCTATACTGTATATATATATATATCTATTTATGTGTGCTCACTGAGTGCTCAGATGCATAGATCACCTAGCACCATGGCGGTGTTCGTCCAGTGGTGTCCCACTCCTTGACGCAACAGGCTCTATCTTTCCTGGTCTCTGCTTTGATGTATTATTTCATGAAGTCTTAGACCTCTGTTGGATTTTACATTTTCAATGGATGATGCTGGAGGTCTTCCCTTATTTCTCATTGTCTCTATTTTTCCCAGCAGGACAGTTGTTGTTCGAGGGGGGGGGGGGGGGGTGTTTCTGTTTGTGTTATATGTTATATATTATATATATTCTTTAATTCCAGCGGGTCCATCTGCTCCAATTTCATTGCCGAACAACGGGCTATCACCAACACAGAAACTACATCAACTACTTGTTTGACACTAACCCACTTGCTACCACAGACATCGTTATCTTTACAGGCAGCCTTTCAACACTAGAGACACTTGAGAGTGGGACTGATGTGAACAAAGATATATTGCACCTGATTTGGAGTCTACATAATTTGATAAGTAGGCACCACGTCAGAGTAGTCCTACACTGGATTCCTGCCCACACTGGGATACCGGGAAATGAAAGAGCTGATGCTCTGGCAAAGAAAGGAGCTGGCCTCCCTCAGCCTGAAATTCCTACGAATTACACCACCTGCTGCCAAATGATCAAGTCAAACCTCAAGGAAGAGTGGATGAATGATTGGGCCACAGGTACGATAGGAAGGAGGATGTATGGCCACATGAATAAACCACTGGTCAAAGATCCAATCAATGAGTTGAGGAGGGGAGATCAATTTATAATCTTCCAACTTAGAACACAACACGTACCCCTCAACCAACATCTCAACCGAATTGGAGTTAAGCAGTCTGCTGCCTGCCCACTATGTGACTACCCCTCAGAGACTGTGGAACATCATCTGCTCTTCTGTAGAAAACTAACTGATTTAAGGGGATGTTTTCTTCCCAAGCTACCCCACACATCTAATTGCCTCTACTCCTCAAGACAACAATTAGAACAAACATGCAACTATTACCAAATGGCATCATGCAGAAGAGTTAACGTTCAGATGCTACTGGATCGCTAACAACAACAACAACAACAACATATGTGTGTATAATATATATATTATATATCTGAAAAAAATCAGCAAAAGGAGACTCTACAATCTTGGTCACACAAACAGAAACATCTTTTTATGCATGTTCAGTCAAAGTTGTAATGCAACTTTATGTTACGAGAATAAATTGGGTGCTGGTCCACTTGATGGTCTATTGCAAAAATGTGGTCAACCGTAAGTCCCACCTTACTAAACACAGTTTACCTGACAGTTTACAACAAAGGAATAGACTGGCATCCATTTTGCTCTCTGTGCTTTATGTGCATCTCCCTTAAGTATCATTTGTTATGTCTTGATTCAACAGATCCGGCAATATATTCAGCATCTACATCGGAAACCAATTGACAGTTGTTTTGAGTGGATATGACGTGATGAAGGTATTGTTCTAGTTCTTTTTTGTTCTAAAATTGTGATTATAATCATTAAATGAACATCTGGTCCATGATATTTGTTTTTCCAGACAAATTCTTTCTTTTCTTTCAAGGCTGAAATAATCTGTATCATTAGCCATACAGAAGAGTGCAAACTCTCAAAAAAATAATGGAACTTATTATATTACTGGTAGCTGGTTAGTATAGTGGGAGAGGTTTGACACCCACAGACAAACAAAAATCATCTCGATCAATCTCTTTCAAGGTTACAAATGAAAGTAATACTTTTGATGAAAAACACGAAAGTAATTCTTTTGGTGTTAACAAATGAAAGTGTGTGTGTGTGAAGCAATTCAGAGAGTTTCTGTCTCACAATACAATATGTTTCATGTAAGGCTTATCAAAATCGTACTCAAATTTCTTACACATTGTTTGGGAGGGACAGAATAATCATGTCATAAATTTTACTCAGTTTCAAGAAATTTTCTCTACAGGAAGCTCTAGTCAAGCAGCCAGATATATTCTCTGATCGACCCAAGTTATTTATCCCAAGTTTGACCGAGAATGGATACAAAGGTGGGTGCTTTTTTTTCTTGCCTTTTTCATGTCTTGTGAGTGAGAATCTGTGCTGAGAGGGTTGTTGAAACCGTACCTTTTGCCTAGTCCTTGTTGCTGTGTCCTGTGTGTCGTTTTATTCACTTCACAGCCATGTTGACTCAACATATCGAGGATGGTTGGAACTTTTCTCTGACAGATCTTATCCATCTATTGTCATTAGAGATTAGTGATGTCGTTCATTCCTTTTGTATTAAGCTCCACTTGAGTGCTGGCGACTGTTCCAGCAGAGCATTCTTGAACTTTGTTATTTGAGTTAGTTTTCTGTTTCTTCTACTTGACACAGTTGTTTAGGAGATTAATCTTGACGTATAGATCCCTCTATTTGAGCATCTTCAACATGTTGAAAAGAGTGCCACTCTCACTGCACTTTTCCTATTTTCTATCACGTATCTTTCCTTTTTCATACTATAAACATATAGACCACTAATGTGTTATTATCTTTTTCAGATCTCCAACATTCCTTTTGACTTTTTCATTTTTTTCTTTCTTTCTAGGTATACTACCAGCTTCTGGAGAAACCTGGAAAGAGCAAAGAACAGTGACTCTGTCGATTCTGAGGTCATTTGGCATGGGGAAAAACTCTTTGGCTGAAAAAATTGGAGAAGAAGTAAGTGTGCATTTTTGGTGCGGTTTATCTGCATTTTTTTGTTCTTGCTTTACAGTTTGTCTTGTGAAACAGTATCTCAATAAATAAATGAAAAATTCTATGAAATTTACTTTCGTTTTTCCCTTCTTCTCTTTGAAAATTCTCAATTAATGCTCCTAACAAATATTTGAAGACTGGACCTTGAATAATGAGGTTCATTTGCATGAGAAATGAACCTCTTGAAAAATGTGATGTCCGATTGCTTTTTACCTAATATTTTCATGTGGTTTGATCAAGACATCGGCTATGGAAAGGCGACGGACTAATACACTTAAGCACAGGATTTAGACTACGGAATAAAGGCAGGGAGGGATGAGATTTGAGTTCGTAGTATAGGGGAGGAGGAATGGGGGATCGTAACCTTACAAAAAGGAAACAGGCTTCAGTTCAGGATTATATTCAGACCGAAGAGCATTGGGATTGAGTTTGTATTAGTGTGTGTATATAAGTGTGTTGGTGTCTGTTTTTATATGTGTATATTTTTGGTTGAGTGAAACGGGAGAGGGACAGAAGGAGGGGGGGGGGAGAGGAGAAAAGCTTTCAGATCGGGATGTTTTATACCATCTTGTTTGTATTATTTTCTCCAGGACATCGCACTTCTTGCACAGTGAATTAAATTTCTAAACTGGAGAACATACAAGTTGCCCTAGCTGTGGCAAGCAAAAATTGTAGTGATGTGTTTGACCAAACACAGTCATGTACAATGATGATGTAGACAGGACCCTGACTTTCTTCTCGTTTGAAATTATAGTGACCCTTGCATACCGGTACTTTATTTTTCTAGGTTGAGGCCTACGTGGATGCTTTGAAGGACTTAAAGAGTGAGCCTAGCAATGTCAGAACACTGACCAACAACTGTGTGTCTAACGTCATCTGCAACATCATCTTTGGCAAGCGATTTGACCTCGGAGACCCCTACTTTGTCCATTTATTGGAGATTCTCAATGAGCAAGTAATATTAACGATGAAGATGATGATGATGATGATACTCTCTATAATTGTAACTAGATTATATTGCACATTTCCTAGAGAGAAGGCTAGGCTTGTTTTCTGCAAAAGAACCCTTTCATGAATCCCTCTCCCTCTTACTCTCTCTCTTTTTTTCTCTCTGCTGTCTGTCTGTCTGTCTGTCTGTCTGTCTGTCTGTCTGTCTGTCTGTCTGTCTGTCTGTCTCTCTGAGTGTTTGTGTGTATGTGTGTGCGCGCGTGCGGGCAGGAACAGCAACTATTCTGCAAGGCCAATTGACGAAGGGCACAATGAGACGATGTGCTAGACCAATGGTTTTCAAAGTGGGCGCTAGCGCCCCCTTGGGGGCGGTAGCGACAGTTTGGGGGGCGCTGTGACAAAATTGGGCGATTGGGGGGCGTTGCGGGGGCGGTGTTGAATTTTCATGAAATGTAAAAGAAAATAAATAAATAAATGAATAAATAAAATGGTGAAGGGAAAGAAGCCACATAAAACAAACAGAATAAGCTGATAAAAGTCAAAGAAACGGTTATCTTAGGCATAGTTTACAAAACTGCTTACTACAAAAAACTTTCTTTCCCAGCACACAAAGCCCATAATGATGAGATATTCACGCCTGGCAAATTTCAACAGTTTTCCCTTACGAATAACTGGCCAATAAAAGTTTTGATTTGCCTGTTTTGCGCGAAAGTTATTTTCTCCTTTGTTTTGATTTGCAAAACTGACATCTTGATTTGAAGCCAGTCGATCGCTGAGTGACAATACCGTTCAAAGATGTATTGATGGGATGTCAGCAAATGTTGAGGAGTCATTGTGCCAAATGCATAAAAGACGTACGTTCAGTTTTTAGCTGGGAGAGTCCACTTTGCAGGGAAATGAAGCTTTGCTTTTTGCTTATATGCAGTTCAAAGAGAGTGAGGAAATAATGCAAGAATTGTTATTTGCGAAAATATTGGAAACATACAAAAGGCGAATCCATTTTCAAATTGGTCCAATAATTTTTCGAGGAGAAACAGATCCCTCTGACCAATAGTTGCCTGAGAAACAGATGGGGCACCGTTGATGACAGGTCCGTACTGTTTATTTATAAGCGTTTTAAAGAAATCAGCCCCATTGACATTCACAGACAGCTTGACGGAGACACTGAATGAAGGGCGGGTGTCTGACGAGGAACTAGAAATATACCAACCACCACAGAGATTTGCATGCTGATTTGAAGACAAGGGTTAGTGATATTTTTTAACTGGAAATTTCAGACTGGGTAGGCCCTGCTGGACCCATTCAACACTGAAACATGTGGTAACTTGGCAGTAGCAATTGAAGAAGAGCTTCTGAAAATGAAAAGTGACTTTGAAATCAAACCTTTGTTTAGGAAGTCGTACCAGTCATTCTGGTTGAAGACTTGTGGAAGACAATTAATATCTCTCCCTGTGGGAAAAGATCAAGAAGCTGTTCATCGCTTTTCCCCACCTCCTATCTAGTAGAAAGGGGATTCAGTGCAGTGGCAAGTTTGCTAACAAAACAGAGGAACAAACTAAGGATCACAGAGCTTGGGGATTTGCGTCTGCCACTTTCCAGTCTGAAACCCGTTGGTTTCGTCTCACAAGGTTCATCCTTCCCATGGGGGACTCTCGTGGCATAGAGGTTAAGGTGTTGGCTTCTCATTCAAAAGGTCCCGGGTTCGAATCCGAGTGGCGACCGAAAAATTTTCTTCTCTATATTTGTCTCCTTTCACCTCATTTCCTGCTCTCTAGCAATGTTCTGTCGTCTGCTTTCGTCTCCTCTTTCTACCCCCACCCCCTCACCTCCTTTGCCCCTTCCTCTGGGCTCCTGATTCTTTCTGCAGCCTTTCTACTGCTACTCCTTGGCTTCTTCTTACTGCTGTCTTTCAGCCACCTCCTGATCTTCTGGTAGGAAAGATCCTTCTCGGACAAGGGCGAAAAATCTCGGAGGACCCGTGTGCAAGTTGCGCACGTTAAAGATCCCTTGGTGGTCTAAAATCGATAAGAGTAGGCTTCGGCCGCCACCCGGGCAAAATTCCAAATTTCCTACCAAATAAAAATATTAGGTGTGTCCCGCGCGCTCATATGACCTATGCAGTTGCGAGCGCCGTAAAACACTTTACAAAAACAAACATCCTTCCCATTAAGTAGGTGTTAGTGACTTATTTGTATATATATATATATATATATATATATATATATGCTTACTCCATAGTTTACCCTTACTTGATACCTCAGTGTGTTTTATTTTTATTTTTAAGGTGTTGGCCTCTCATTCATATATACTCACTTGTTTAATAGAGTTTGTTATGTGCATGTGTTACCGCTGCTGCTGAAACTGATGATGATGATGATGATGATGATGATGATGATGGTGATGATGGTGATGGTGGTGGTGGTGGTGGTGATGATTACAGACTAATATCCAAGCATACTTTTTCTTTCTTGTGGTTTATGTTTTTAATTTTAGTAGAGGTTTTACGGCGCCTGATAAGATCATGATATGAGCGCCAAGTGGTTTATCACATTTGAACAACTTAACATATTATTCTTTATGTTTTGCTATGGATATATACAAATCACAGGCCACTTTATTGCATCGTGTTGATGGGAGAAAACGTTTCATAAAGATAATGACAATCTGTTTTCAAACCAATGATCATTGATTTATTTGTGGCTTCCTTCTAATATTGGGATAATACACGTATTAATTCTATTCAGAACCAAATCATTAGAATTTAGGCACGATGTAATGTACCCTGCTGTTTGAGCTCTCCCTTAATCTGTGATTGTTAATATTCATGTCGTTATGTCAGATTGATAGTTTGGGCGGAGTGGAAGGGGGGGGCGGGCGCTGGGACTCGGTTGGGTGAAAACGAGAGCGGTTGGCGAAAACAGTTTGAAAACCACTGTGCTAGACCAAGGTTGCGCTAAATCATTTACACCATTTATGCATCAACACCAAAGCGTGTTCAGCTTTCCCCTTCCCTCCCCTGTGTACACATTTGACACATCATAAAATTTTAATGTGTAAATAATCATCTAGGCCTACTGTGAGTTATGTAGGAGCAATGCACCATCAATGTTGGCTTTTTTTTTCTTTTTTTGTTTTGCTTCATCTTCTTTTTTCTCCATTCTTGTCCATTTGTTTTTGGGATGATGTCGATGGTTGGATCACTCTTATAGCTAAGCATGTCTGTCAGAATGCCTGTTATAAAAGAAGTTTTTAATTTTTATTGTAAATTAAAAGAGATTGAACAAAGAGATTATAAGCCTGCAAAAGCCAAAATCCTGTTATAAACGAGACTGTTATAACACACACACACACACACACACACACACACACACACACACACACACACACACACACACGTGCACGCACACATATTTGAACACACATACCCACACACGTTCTCACACATACATGCACTCACATGTGCGCGCACGCACACACACACACACACACACTCACACATACACACACACACACACTCACATTCAAACACTCAAACACAATAATATTTTCATACACCCAAGTGCACACTTGTTTCTTTCTTGTCCCTGTATTACCTGTATTACCTGTCCTGGGCAAAACGTCATTGCACACCGGACAGGTCCATAAGTGCTCAGTTCCCCCCAGCACCAAAGCCCGCAAGGTATCCATACTGATTGTTCCAGTGGCTGTCTGACTATGGCGACGTCTTTACTTTCCAGATAATCGTTCCTTTCTTCCTTATCCCCTCTCTATCCCCATTTCCCGCATCCTTACGATTGCGTGGTGTTCTGCTGTCTCCCTGTCTTCTTCATCCCGCAACTTTTTCTCCAGGGTCCTCAACACTTCTCCTTTGTCAAATTTCACCTCACCATCAACCACAGCACTGCCTTCCAGCCTATCAGCCTCCTCATTGCCTTTCACTCCAGAGTGCCCAGGAGAGAATATCCACGTGATGGCTCTAAGGGATGAATGTTGTTTTGGGTTCATCCATTCACTCCGAAGAAGCCCTTTCTCAACCCTTCGCAAGATGCTCTGGGTGTCTGTGACAATTATGAGATGACACCTTCTCAGCCTTTTTTTTTCAAAAAATGCGTTTACAGCCAGAGGCTTGAAAGCACAGTGATGACGTTTCATTCCTTTAATACTTGTACTTCTTTTGGGGCATTGCTTTCATCCCATCCGTTGCCTAACACTCTGATTACCCAAATGATTTGAAATTATGAGGAAAAATTGACTGAGCGGGGGGTCAAAAGTGGCTGTTTGCTTCCTACTAAAGTTTGAGTCCTGATTTTTTTGTTAATTTTGAATTGAAAATCTCCTGTTTCAACAGGTTGTGCTAGTGGGTGAAACGGCCATCCTTAATGTATATCCATGGCTTCGTTTTCTGCCTGGTGACTTATTTAAGGCAAAAAAATTGCTGGAGAATTTTAACGAGGTTCTCAGCTTTGTAAAGTGAGTATGTTAATAAATGTTTAAATTATTTTATTGTCTGTCTGAATCATGCTTTAGGTAACGGCAATGCTTGAGTACTTTTGTTTTTTGTGATGGATTAAATGCGTTTCAGTGGGGGGGTTTGAGAGCCTCTGCTGTTTGTATTCTGTTGCAGCTTTTTGGGAGTGCATATGTTTACTTTCTAATGATAAGGGGGCTTTTCTTTCCAACAAAACACAGTTTATCACTGGTTTGAAGAAAATTATATATGAAAATATTTCCAAATGTTCTCAAAAGTAACATTCCAATGCAACTTATACAGTATTGATTCTAAATGTTACCTTCAATATAATAGAGTGGATCATTTTGAATTTCTCCTGCAAAAATGATGTCTTTACACATGTTTCAAATTTTGTTTGACAATTGTGTCAGCATCACAACTGCCATTAAAGGGGCAGACATTCGTGGACAAGGCTAATTTCCTGGCTTCTTTTATAGATGTTGCTTCCTGAGCAAAAGTCTAGACTCTAGATTTTTAGTCATTTGACACAGCTTTATTGAAGAGGTTTTGTGCAAACTAGTATTAATATTTGTAGATGTTTAGTCGTTTAAATTTATTTAACATTTTTCCCCGACATTCTCATATTGTAGTAGCCACACTCTATTGAAAATGCCTCACACAAGGCTGTGCCGACCAAAGGTTATAGGTTTTGCTAGGCAAATATGTAAATTGGAAATATTATATGCTGTCCTAAATGTAACTTTAGAATCAATGAAGAGCACTAGATGCTCAAACAGAATTCAAACCGGTTATTGTTGTCAATTATTTCATTCTAGATTACTAGATTATTCGAAGGGCCTAAAGTCCTACGCTTATTAAAAAATGATACGTACTTATTAATTATCCTGTGCAGTCCCAATTCTTGGGGGGGGGGGGGGGGGGGGGTTCTAATGTTCTACGTTTGTTTTCGTTTAAGGTGTTTATTTAATACATTTTAAATACTTTCCTGTGTTCATTTTTCTTCGACATTCCTCAACACATTTCTTTTATTTCTCACATTACCTCATCGACCGATCTTTTGGTCTGTTTCTTTCTATTTAGACTATCATAATTTTTAAAAATCTTTTGTTATGTAAAGAGAAATGATGACGTATAATACATTTTATCTAAATAAATGGAGAAACGTTTTATTTATTTCCTCCACAAGCTGTCCTGTAAATGTTCACCTTTCCTTCGAGAAATCGGCAATACAGCTAAACAAATCTCCCCAAGTTTAAATAGATTTTCTTTTTTTGTACAAGAAAGAAAATCACATGGACTATGTATGACAAGATAAAGAAAAATTAAATTGACTAATACGAAAAGCATGTAAAATTTCAACATCTTCATTCCCCTACTTGGATGAATTGTACATAACAGCTTGCACTAAGAAAATTAATTCCATCTTTTTAGACAACAAACATCCCTTGTTTCCTCAAATAAAAACATCAGTCAGAAGTAAAAGACCCATGCTTCTGATCTGTAACAAAGAAAGATACAGAAGGTCATTTTTACCATCATCTATCAAAATGCTTCCATCTTAACCATCTTGTTTAGTGTACTTACGACCTTAGAGCATGCATCAAAATAACATTGAGTGTGTATCTAGCTTACGATTATTATTGTTTATATTGCTGCTCATTTACATTATGCATGTGATTGTAAGCCTACTTGTGTGTGCATGTGTGTGCACATGTGTACGTGTGTGTGTTTGTGTGTGTTTGTGTGTGTGTGTGTGTGTGTGTGTGTGTGTGTGTGTGCGTGTGTGTGTGTACCCATGGTGGAACACCAACCAATGTGCCAGAATCTGGACAATAAAGATGTATCTTATCTTATCTTGTCTTATGTGTCCTATGGTACTGGTCACAGATAGTGGGATGTGTATATATTTATATCTTCTATCCCACTAAATGGGGGCTCAATATCCCCCCCCCCCCCCCCCCCCCACTTGTTTGGTACCTCTGTATTTTTGGTGTGAAATAAGTGGATGGCTTCTTTTGTCTGCACTGTACTTACCACATCCTTGCTGTCGCAAGTAATCCGCTTAAGTCCAAATTTTTAGAATGTTCGATTTATATATCCTCTTAAAGCTCTGTCGAAGATGCACCTTTCAACATCAACAAAATGCAGTAATTATGCCATGGCCAAGGCTTGGTTTTCTTGCTTTTCATGATTTCTGATAGGAACAATTAACACAACAAAAACTATTTTCCGTCTCTGGTGTAAAAAGTATCCAAACAGACTTAAGTGGATTGCTTGAGTCTCAGACAGTATCTTTTCTCCAGTCTTTTTCATACCAAACAATTAAACAATAAACTTCCCAAAACCCCACTATGTCCAGGCTACCTATTAAATAACTTATTTATGTTAGGTAAAGTGTTAAACTCCTGCACATTTCCTGTACATATTATAGCTCTCTGTGTGCAATCACATTTGTTTGTTGATTGGAAAAGATAAAAATAAGATAATGCTTAACCCTTCATTTGAAAAAATTAACCCAGTACTTTCGTCAGCTCCTGCAATCCAAAATATGAATACATAGCATCATATCAACTCAAATATATGCACATATACAAGCACACATGTACACCTTCCTCCTCCCCCCCTTTGTTTTAAGGTCCTTACCCCCCACCCTATACACACATACCATACACATGCAACACTGCACTCATACCTGCAATATTGTTCAGCCTTTCATCTGCTTGTCTGTCTGTCTGTCAAAATTGCTTTGAGTGTTGTGTTGGGTTCTTGATGCTTTTTCTAAAGTTTTATTAATCTTTTGTTTTTCCTTTTGTCTGATGTTTCCACTCTATAGACAGTTGCCTAAAATGTAGGGACACTGACAGCACAAGATTGATAGAATCAATAAAGATATATTTTTTTAAAATCAACTCTAAGAACTTTCTCAGGCTGCATACGAGGATACCTGCTTTTCAAAGCTATGTTCACAGTTAAAAATATAAGTGAGTGACAAATTATAAGAAAAGAGAAAAAAGGGAGAATTTTGAATATATGGTAGGCCTACTATTACCAGTATACTAGTGTTACCCAAGCTCTTATATATTTTCTTGCTTTGAATCTTTGTATGATTTCTTTAACCTGTGTGAAAATTCAGTGACCGCTACGTAGTGCCGATGAGCAAAAACATTGATGAGAACAACACAGATAGTAGCCTGATAGCTGCCTACGTCCAGGAGATGAGGAAGAGGCAGTCAAGTGGAAAGCCAACCACTATGGATGGTTAGTAGTAGTAGTCTTCTATATTGAGTCTTAGTTTATCTTGCTTTATTTTTTACAAATGACATGTACTTTAAATCACTTTATATTTTAGTTTAGGTAAATTACTTATTTGTTATTCAGTTTGACAGCCATGTAATGTGAAGAAATGGTTGAATGAGACACAGGAATAGTACAATACTTGCAAGGACAATTTGTTTCTGCCGATGATTCACTTGTACTCTATTGTTAGAAACTAGGACGTTTTTTTACTGTGAAGATCATAATTAAAGCTAAGATATGCCCCACAATTATGTTTTATTAGTAATTATGGGTTTACTTTGGAAGGGAAAATAATCCAAATATAAGTATCATTGTACAAAATAACCATATTTGTAAATGTTAAATGAGCTTCTTAAAACTGAACTTAAAACAATATTACTTAAACGTGTTGGAGCGAAAACCTATATGTATGTAGTGTAAGGTGCTACGTAGATTTGTAAGTGTAAGTAGATCTCAACCTTACAATGTATTGTTGTGAAAAAAGAATTGCATACGAAATAAGTATATTTGCTATCAGTAATTACGGAAAACAACTTGAACTTGCTAAAGCATGAGTCACACTGTGAATGAGCAGCTTAGGTGGAATGCATGAGGGCACATATGTGAGAAGCATCATGGAAAAAAAATTATTGATTGTGATGAAAATGATGAACTAAGGGTTGTGAGTAATGTTAACTGATTGTTGTTTTTTGTACTTCATGGTCAGATGGGAACCTGACACGTGTGATTCTTAATCTATTTCTGGCTGGGACTGAGACAACCAGCACCACCATTGTCTGGTTTTACTTGTTTATGATTCACCATCCAGATATCTTAACAAAGGTAATGATTTCTTTGAGTGTCTGGTTGTTTGTTAACGTTTTACGACACCATTGACACAGTTAAGATTATTTAGGAGGCTTGGAGGAATACTGGTCTGAGGGGTATACAACATCCCAGCTGATGTCACAGATCTTTGATGCAATAATTTTCCTTTTTGAGAAGGAACTCATGTCTACTACATACAATGACCAACGATTACAGCCCAGGTACCAATTTGAGTGTTAGAAAGAGGGAATAAACACAAAAGTGTTCTGAAGTATTCTAAGAAATGGACCTGAAAGAATGAATTGTAATTAAGGATTCAGATGGAGTTGCTTGGGTTGAAGTAGAAATAAAGTGACTGAATCAGGAATACAGAAGTTGCAGTCTGATTGAAGTAGTGCGGTTAGAGAAGAAAGAATTACCTACTGAACGCACTCTGTGGGATGTGTATTGACAACGGTAGGCAACTGTCAATAAAAATAATAAGGATAGGGGGAGGGTTAGCCGGGAGGAATGATGAAACAGACGAAAATTCCTGGTCATGCACTGGTCACTGATCCCATAATCCACGAGGATTGTAGGGGCGCTGTATGACAGAGAGCCTCTTCAGATGCCTCCACTTTTCACGTGTTTGTTTTTGCAAGCGCATGAGTTAAGGCGAAGGATTACCCTGTCCACTCCGCTATGTTGTCCGCTAAATTCCTACATGTTAACAAAATTTGCGGGAATCACTGTGTCATGGGAAGCTGCAAAGCACAGAATAAAGAGGGGCGGGGGGAATAAGAATTTGAAATCCTTTCAGTTAAGAGGAGTTTTGTGTTACACGGGTTTGTGTTAAACAAAGTATTACATAATAATATGTATGCCTGTTTAACAGTAGGCCTCATTTGGAACCTGAATTCTCTTTGGTGATATCCAAACTCAGTGGGTACTGAAAAAAATATCATTACGTAGCATTATTATTTTGTCCACATGTTGAAGTTGGACACCCTCGTACAAGGCAAGGAATCGGTCTGTTCAAAAGTGGCGCATTTGATTCTCAGCAGGATGATAGGGTGAGAGGAGCATTTTCCAGAAAAATTTTGATTCCACTCTCGTCAACTCAACATCCCCCCCCCCCCTCTATTGATTAGAACATAAAATCTCATCTTTAGCTTTTGCATTTTGACTTGAAAACTTTTCTGTTTGACTGTTTGATCCACCCAGGTGTATGAGGAGATTGAAGACGTGGTGGGCAGAGAGCGAGCACCTTCTATGCTTGACAAACCCAAACTGAACTATCTCAATGCCTGCATCATGGAGACACAAAGATTAGCCAGCATTGTGCCTTTCAGGTAAGAGTCATACACTGTAAAACTACAACCGTCAATTTTCTCTAAATGTCCATATGTCTAATCAAAATGATGAAGCGCCTCCCCCACAAAAAAGGGGTGAAAAGTAGCCCTTTTCTATAGATCTTAATGAAACTCCTGTCGATTCCTTGACTTTATACCATAGTTACTGTGAAAGAACATTTGTTGATGTTTGTTGTGACATATTACAATGTGTTGTGACTTGAGTCATTGCTTCTGAATCCATCAGCATTTTTTTCAAAGTCAAGTAAAATCCTTCTTACCCATATTTAGTCGTTTTAGCCAAATGAGCTCATAGGCAACGTGCTAATTTTGCACCTTAGAGGTGTTCAAAGAGCATGCTGAATAATGGTCAGAAAGACCTGTGCGAAATTTCAGATCAAATATACCAGAAATAATTCTATGGAAAATTAAGTTCAGTTGCTCTTTCACATTCTACCAAAGCATTATCAGTGAATGGTATTTACTGACTATTTTTGTTTGGTGCATAGTTAGCTTTTTACGCAAGTCGCACATCTCTCCCCACTGTTATTTCACATTTGTAATGGATCGGTCCAAGTTTGTTTTCTGAGTGGTATGGGTTCAAATTATCAAAATCACAAATGTTTCAAATATTGTTTACAGTTTTGCCAAGTGATTGGCTTTCTAAAAGTGTCGTTGGATCAAATTCTAGAATGTTGTAAAAGTTAGTTTTTTGTACAACCAGTCTTTTAAGTACCCTGAGCATAATGGGTTTTCAAGTTTAGACAAATTGCAAATTGTACACACACCCTAACACTTTTGTCCATTGATTTACCGCAGTCTTTATTAATGTCTGTGGGTGGTTGGAGAATGCCAGTGGCAGGTACTACTTACTGTTCCTTCTGTTGTTTCTGTTCGTATGTCTCACTCTGTATCAGCACTTAATGGCAGTTGACATGTCAACATGCTTTTCTTTGCTCAAACTAAAATGTTAAATACATTTATATTATCTAACAGTGTCAGAACAGAATATGTCAGTGTTTAACAGCTCGGATCACTTGGCCATTAAATTTCACATTACAGTCTAGCTCACACATAGCAAAATCAGAGGGACATGGAAACCTTTTTCGTTAAATCATGTACAAATTTTGCTATGTATACATGTTTTAAATACAAAGAATATATAATAAATATATATATATAATATATGTATGAGATAAAATTCAGGATCTGAAAATGTGTTTGCTGTGTGCGTGTTTTGCAGTGTCCATGTTCGCTATATGTGTGTGCTAGACTGTTTAACATTTCAGCCTTCAGCATGTGTGCACAAAGACAACAACTGTCCAGGGATACACCATTCCAGAAGGCACTACTGTAATTCCCAATCTGGATCGTGTCTTGTGGGATGAAAAAACCTGGGGTGACCCTCGAAACTACCGCCCAGAGAGATTTCTGGATGGTGACAGAAATTTGAAGAACTATGAAGAATTCGTACCTTTCTCTTTGGGTAAGTTTCAGTTATTTGATCACATTGATATAAGATAATACTCTTGCTAAAAAAGATGAAATCATGGGGATTGTTTTGTGGTTGGTGCCAATGAAACTTACTCAGTGTCAGTTACGATGTGTTCAAAGAGTTAAGTTCTTTTTTTTTTAACTTCTGATCAAGTCAAAAGTATCTTTTGTTGGCATGCGAAAACACATGACACTTGTTGAGAGCACTGTTAGCTCAGTTGATAGTATGATGAATAAGAGTCGTGGCAATGTTGACTTGAACCCATTTCTAAACTTACTTTGTGTAGAACTAGTCTTTCCCCCTTCTCATTACTAAATTGATACCACCTCTTAAATAACACAAAAACTGAGTTTTCTTGATAGTATAACTTAATGTCAAATTTCATGCCACCTATTACATAAAGTCAAAACTGAAGATTTTTTACAGTTAGTTAAACTCAATGTCAAAATTCATACAACCTCTTAAATAACGTAAAAATTGAGTTTCCTCGATTGCAATACTCTAAAACTCAAGGTTGCTATTTTCGGTTCTAAATTTGGGTCTGTTTCTCAATATCCTCAGGTCGTCGGGTTTGTCTGGGCGAGTCTTTGGCCAAGATGGAGCTCTTCCTCTTCCTGGCCGGGATCTGCCAACGGTTTGACATACAACCTGCTGTGAAGGGTCAACTCCCACCTCTCAAAGGTGTCTTTGGCATCACTTCAGCCCCAGAGGCTTACAAAGTCAGATTTGTAGAGAGATAAATATAATTAACTTTCAGCCTTTTGATGTTATAAAACTATTACCTTCAACATAAGTGTATAGCCTTGTACTTGTAACAACAAGAATGTTGAGTTGTCGGTTTGTTGGGGGGGGGGGGGGGGGGTTTGGGGGGGGGGAGGGGCGGGTCAATCCCAGCTTTGCTTGTCATACATTGTTACTCTAGGAAAAGTCGTTTTTCACTATTAGTAGTATTATAAGTATGTATATATATATATATAAGTATTATATGATTATCGTCAGTTTACTAAGCTGCAAATGGATACTTAAAGATTAGTCAAAATGACTCTGTGAATGATGGTGGTTTTTTATACAAACTGGTCGGCCTTTGGAGCTATTGTGACGTTCAGCTTTCTCCAGGAGAGGATACACTACAATTTTATTAAATAAATAGTTTGTATCAAACGAAGATATGTATATATGTAATGATTTTTAAATGTTTAAAGACTTGAAAATGTATCTTTTGATAAGAACAGAGATGAGTTTTGCCATGTTGCTCAATGAAAGAATATAAATATTTTTTGGTTGTAAATAAAATACATTTGTCCAGATGCTTCACACATAATTGTGTCTTTGGTTTCTACTTTCTCTTACCGTGGTTCTGCTTTTCTTCATATCATTTGAAGGTTTTTATACCCTTCTATCACTTAATCAACAGTTGACACTATAGACTTAGAAAGGCCTTACCATACCTCAAAATTGAGAGACAGAGGGACAGAGAGAGAGAGGGAGAGGGAGGGAGAGGGAGGGAGGGAGGGAGAGAGCGAGTAAATAACCTATCCAGTTTTGATACTGGCAGGAAACATATAAACATTCTCTTCATTTGTCGTTCTGCCTTTTCCTTTAGTTTTCATACATGCTTTAGATGCAACTCTTACTCACTACATTCTTAAAGTGTAGCGATATTTCGACGGCATGCCGTCTGAAAATCGTAGTTGATATTTCCACGGCATGCTGTCTGAACATCGGAAGTCATATCTATACGGTATGCTGTCTTGAGTCCAAAGATCGGAATTGATATTTCGACGGCATTGGGTCTGCTTGAAGTGTATCAATGCAAAAATTGTGTTTGTTTTCCAGACGACGAGTCGGGTGATCATACCTACCCGACACGACCCGATCCCATCCGCAAATGGGCACCCTACTGTAGGGGGGGGGGGGGGAAAGTCTTATCTCCATTTTGCTTGCACAAAATAAATTGTGCATCCCTCACTCTCGTTACAATCACACAAAACATAATTTCATCATTGTCCATAATGCACAAATGATAACAAAGGATAAACATTGTTAACTAAACATACAGGTATCTTAAATTGTATCTATAATAATGCGTTACTTATGGAAAACAGATTATAGGCTTAATTATAAATAGTCTGGATGTTCTGATTGGCTGAATTTATGTGCCGTGGAATTATCACTTCCGATTTTTCGACGGCCTGCCGTATAAATATCCACTTCCATTCTTAAATGCAGACCAAAAGGAAAGTTTGGGCACTGATGCATGGTGATCTTTTCTATTTGTATTGACGGGCCACTGTATTATTTACAGACTTTCTCTTTGTTTAGGTCTTCACTGACACACAACAGAAACAATTCTTGCAGAGGAAAGAAGGAAAACAACAATCTAAATACTTTGTCCAGCATTTATTTCTCATGAACAATAATTCACACATCACAAATTTAAATTAGGAAGAGTACAGAAAATGTTTAGAGTTCATATGGAACGATAAATAAAAGCACCCAAGCCGCAAAGTACATGATGAAATTTATATCCAACATTCCTTTTTTTTTAAATGAATAGACATTGACTTGTGTGCATTTTTACTTGGCAGTGAGAACTAAATGCCACAACATATTTTTTTATATTTTTAAAGACATTTTAAGATGTAAGGCTAACACGCATCAAAATTATTACATCAAAGTATCATGACTAACAGCCAAGAAAATCTTTCTCTAACTTGAAGATATGAAGTAAAGATTAGTCATAATGGACGACTATCATTATCATATTCCTCCTTCCCATCTCCCAAATCAAGTCCTCCTCATAAATTCAAACAATTAACAAGCTAAGCTACCATCCTTCTAAAGAATATTAGAGCACTCCTTGTTTCTGGATGTTCCACCCATGCCTAGACACATTAGAGGAAAGATTTACAATGGGAGCCGGAGCAACTTGCACTTGTGCACTCGTTTGCCTCAATAAATTGCACAGAAGCACAAAGGAGGCATAACTTTTTTCCTCTCAGATTCTCAGATTACAAAATGCCCATTAACCTTGCTCTCTGTAGCAATGTACCTTATCATAAATTTGTTCTACATATTTACATCAGTCGTAGTACATACAAGCTATGTATAGACTTGACTTTTTAAAGAAAAAGTGTGCTGTTTCAATCTCTTTCACACTCTCAACATTGCAGAACATATTTATATCAGTTCTGCAACATATTCTCACAGACCTTACACTTTCACATTCAATACAGCTTACTGTCTCTCACAGTGTAGAATATGACTTATTTGACTATATTCTAATACACCCTCTCTCTCATATCATTTTTTATAGTAGAGAGTTTTACGGCGCTCGCAACTGCATAAGGTCATATGAGCGCCAAGGGGTGGGTGTCAACAGAGAAGTCTTTACAGAGAATCAGACTTACTCTGCTCACCTCTCTAGCTTCAACAGCACAAGGTCTGCTTCGACCATCAAGGCACCCCGGAAATAGCAGGTCACAAGAGAGTGACAAACAAACAAAAGAAGTAGAGGAAAATGACAATAGTAAGGATTAGGAAAGAAAAAGCAGCAGTTCCCTGTTGCAGATCAGGCACAGTTATGAGCGTGACATGAATCAGCCCATTTACAATTTTACTGTGCTTGAACGAGAAATGTCCCCTCTTTGGGAATGGCCTAAAGACACTACAGTCAGTGGCACTGCCCCAGGGGGGGGGGGGACCTCTCTCTCAGGTTTAACTAGTGAATACACGCTTATGTGTAAAATGTGAAATATTCTCTCATATCAGTAAGACAAACTGATATCACTCATGAAGGCCTCCCATTTACTCAGCAAACTTTCACTTAATGAGGCATTGTTATTCACTTCCAGGAACTTAACCCTCAGGATGTGACTAGTGAACTTACAGAGCTAAACTGGCCTCCCCACCCCCTCGCATCTCAGAACAGCAATTTAGAAAAGATGTTCGGTACTTTTTAAAGGTACCACAGTAACCATCCAATACAAACATACATATTTTGAACTTTAGGGATACTAAAAAACTGTTTCTAGAGTAATCTGTCCATGTGGCGGCACTCTCAGCAACAGAAACATCTAAAAGAACACCATACATCAACAGTTTCAACTGAAAAAAGCACAATCGTTTTGTACTCGCAAACGCCAGCCTAAAAGCATGCTCGTTTTTTCTTTCCATTTTTAGAATGCTATAATAAACACAGTAAGCAAATTCCTGGAGAAAAAGAAACCATAAAAGGTTGGACACAAGCCCTTTTTAAATGTGCGCCTAATGAAAATATATATGACAGCAAAGCCCAGGGCTGCATTAAGCATGTGGGAAGCCTTGAGCCCACCGAGGCCTCCCTCTCCAAATCCCCCTATTGCATACACCACAGACTAAGTAACCTAAATCCTAATATAGAAATAAAACACTAAAGTAAAGAAATACTGAATGGGGACTTTTCTTCCAGTGTCATAATATGTAATGAATAAATACTAAATTGATTAAATGAAAATAAAATTAACACAAGTTGTTCTCACCAAATTTATTTACACAGACAAATTCAGTTGAAATTATTCTAATTTTCCATGAAAAAGTATAGTATAACTAACAAGTAAATTAAGTTCAAATCAGCGAATGGATGAAGTTAGGGGGTCTATAACCATTGCAATCCAGACACTTTTCTCAATTTTCATGCGACAGAGTCGCTGATGATGTCACTTAAGTCTAATTCAGGCGGTATATCTGTCTGGATGCTACAACTACTATATATTGATGAGAGGCCCCGCCCCTGCTTGGTGTGTGGCCCTGGACCCACGCCCCTTCCCCCCACCCCCCTTAATCCAGCCCTGACACAGCCAAAAGTGTAAGTGGAATACCCGGCAAAAGACGTCACAAAGTGTTTCTGTGCGGTGACATCACTTGAGTCTGGTTGAGATTTTTGCAGTACGATAATCAGCTCTCAGTTGAACAAAGTTTTGAATGATTGAATCGTCCAGATCAGCCTGTAATAGAAACAAGAACATTTGTACAAGGCAATCCCTTTAGAAAACAAAGCACATCAGTCACTTTATTTTATACATTTAAAAATCCCATTCCTTTAAAAGGTGAAGATCACTACAAGCGTTCAAGTGGAATGCAAAAACTGAAGATTACTTGACTCGTTGAGGCTACATACTAACTTTACTTTTCCGATCCAGCGGCCATTTGGGTTCTAGCCCTTCGGCCTGGAAGCCACATACTTCATATCCCCATTATTGATCCACAGGACTCTTACATTATGGTCAGTGCACGTTCAAGGAGATGAAAGCTATTGGTTCCTTGCTATAGCTTGTAGGCTACTAATTCCACAAATAATACAATTGAGGAATATGCCACAGGTGATTGGTGCGACATATATGTAACATGACATAGGCAACCAAGAACAGCAACTCTGCCAACTTCTGTGACGTCCATGGTACAGCATTTAACTAAAAATTAGGTATTTTCTTGACATATCAAAAGGTATTTCATGTCATAAGGTAACAACAGATACTCCAAAGGTTGCAATGCAAATTTTGTTTATCAATAACAATTATTATATAGTGGAGTCCACTTAAACCTAACATGGTAAATCTGAAAACTAAATCATCGTAAAGCAATGCGCTCAAGCCACTGCCAGCAGCTCACTGGCACAGAGGTTCCGACTACAAGCTGCAGGGAGCGCTTGCCAGAGGTAAGGAGAAAAGCAAACTCCACTATATCTGATTTATTCAAAGTACTTACCAGCTGCTCCCCGCTGGATACCACCTTGATGTTCTCAGGTACTACCACCAGCAGGTTACACAGCGCATGAAGGTGCTCAAACAGCTGGGTCACTATGGGTACCTTCAGCTCTTCCTTCACCAGCTTACGGTACTCATTGACGTCGCAGATAACCAACATTGCCCCTGGGAACATCACAATAAATAACACCTACGTCACTTACGTGTTAATTTTTACAAAGTGCTTATTCCTGATTTTAGAAAGTATTCATGCAGCTGCTGTCAGGGTTACTATTCTTCCCGTTTTTCTTACTATTATCATCATCATCATCATCCTCATTATAATAATTATTATTATTATTAATATTGTTGCTGTTATTATATTATTTTTATAACTGTTACTATTGCTGTTGTTGTTGTTATTATTATATTATTATTATTATTATTATCATTATTATTATTACTTACATTATAATACTATAACTACCAATTGCATGAAATTTCCATAGAATAAATAGCCTGCATATACACTGCATTAACGTAAAAAAAACAAAAAAACATCATAACTATTACAGTAAAACAAATGACAACAATCTTAAGGGAAAAACTTATTTAAGTTACCTATTGAGTTGTAGGAGAACTGTGTCAAGTGCTCATAGGTCAGTCTGTGGTACCTCTGACCCAGAGTGCCCATGACCACGTCAACGTTCTTCCCATCCAGACTGTTCTTGATCTCCCGGACTTGAGCGTGGAGAAACTTGGACACTTTCATCGCAGCCTGGAGGAGAGGACAATGACAATTGTTGTGAGATCAGAGAAGTTCAAAAAGTTTATAATACCACCTCGCCTCAGAGCTATTTTGTCCAGAGAGCACTCTTTACTTAAGTACATTTTGGACTAAATAGTTCTGAGACGATGACCTGTGGACTAATAACAGAATAATTGAACAAGAGCTGTGAAGTATGAGTTCATCCCTGTGTCTATGGCGTAAGCATCCCTCTTGCATTTGTCTTATAGGAGGGATAATAATAATAATAACGACAACAATAGACAGCATTTGTAAAGCGCAAATTCCTGAATAGAAAAAAGGGATTGCTGAATCAGAAGTGAGACATATCGTTAGTTATGGCACTCCCCTGCCATTCAGAGAAAGAAATTGGATGATTCATATAAGAATCTACTACAACTAGTGATGCAAAAGACTGTTAGATTTTGAACAAGAAAGAAAGGGGGAGAATGCAATAAATTAATCAAATATACTAGCGAACAAAAGAAACGCAAAAAGCTATTTGGGCCATAACTAAATAACCATCAATGGTAGAAGACTGTAATTTACACCAACGATAGTATGTCATATGTTCTTTAGAAATCAAAAGTCGCCTGTCTAGCTTGTGACCGGAAACTAGAGTTATTGCCCCTTAATTGGAGCATGGAAAAAGCCAAGTGGTGCCCTTGAAACACGGTCTAAATGATCTAAATGAGTGGAAAAAGTGTGAATAGTATTCACCTCAGTTCGGCTATGAAAGTCGTGGTAAAAAATCAGTTCGGCTGTTCTGCCTGCATTTGCAATGACAGTGCCGTGTTTAAGGGTTATTCAGCGAGAAAAAGCAATAGGCCCTTTGGAAGGTGAAGAAGGTCCATTTGTGGTTGCCAATCATTTTGGTGTTCACACCTCGAGTATCCACAGACTGATCGCCCGTTTTCAGCTCGCTAATTCTACGGCAGACCGAAAAAGGTCAGGTCAACCCAGAGTGACCGATGCGCTTGCATATATACACACACATTGTTCGTATGTATTGTTCAAATCGACTTCAGACAGCTACAAGAACGTCAGATTTGGTAGGGAGTACCCACGGAAGAGCCAAAAGTCAACACAAATTGAACCGGCGATTGCATCAGGTAGACTTTAGACGCCGTCGACCTTACCATGGTCCAGTCTTGATCGCACACCATTGCTAAGAGCATCTCAACTGGACCCAGCACCATGTCAACAGGCGTTTCAGAGACTGATCTTCGGTTCTCATTTTCGGAAGAATGCCTGTTCTCCATATATACAACAAACAGGGGCCTCAGAGTTTATCAAAAAGGAGGCGAACAAAATTGTGAAAGCTGTGTCATAAAGAGGAATCGCTGGGGATGACATCGCGTCCTGATCTGGGGTGGAATCTTGTAGAACCACAAAGTAGGACCAATGATCTTCAAAAATCAAGGCCAATGTCGAGGTCAAGGTATCAAGGCTGTTTGCTGCATAGCAGAAGTTCTTAAGCCCCTATACAGAGACAAAATTTTAACTTCCGGTTCCAGCAAGATAATGCTTGTGCTCACACTTCCCGTGTTACACAGGATATCCTCCAACACCATGGCATCATTCCACAGCCTCATCCTGCCCTTAGCACTGCTTTAAACCCAATCAAACATTTTTGGGACGAAATTAAATGAAGCATCGAGGGGAGACAACCAAGGCCAAGAAACACGCAGGAACTGTATGTGGCCATCCAGGAGATGTGGAGGCAGATCCCACTATGATATGTACAAACAACCTAGTGGCTTCCTTGTACCGGAGATCTACTGCGGTTATCCGATCTAATAGTGCCCATAACCACTACTGAGCATTTTGGTGCATTAACCGGAGGTTGAAAGTGTATTCCTTTAAAATTTAATATTCACAGTGATGCCCCACGTATCCTTTCATAATGCCAGAAAACAGTTTGGGTTTAAAATGCCCCGTTTTGTAAATAATGGGAAATAACCTGATCACCATTGCAAAGGTAAACAGGATTTTGCTTTTCTTTTGCTCGCTAGTATAAATTATAACTTAATTCAGGCAAAAACCAAAAGCATAATGTAATAGAAGACAGACAGACAGAGAGCCAGAGTCAGAGAAGAAGGGGGGGGGGGGGGGAGAAGGGGGGGGGGGGAGGAGAAACAATAATAAGGAGTTGACATTTACTTAATTATATATTTAAACAAAATGACCAAGGAAATAATGAAAATGCAATTTTTTTTAAAAACAATTTTAAGTTTTTCCAAATTATGAGAGGACACAAAGAGGAGAAGGGAGTAAAAGAGACAACTTACAGGGGATAAAAGATGCATGGGGGCATCCTCCGTCTCAGGCCTGAAGTCTGTTTTCTTTTGTTCTGTATTGAATATGTACCGGATGAACCCAATGATAGCGTTTACAGAGCGGTCGAGTCCAACATCTATCTTTGCCTCCATTGCTTCACGCAACTCGCGTTTCTTTTTCATACAGAATCCATGGTGCTGTGAAGACCTGTGTCATGACAATATCCATTAAAATAAATTGTATAAATAAAAACTAAAAGCTCCACAATACCATTGCCAACAAATAAAAAGATATCAAAGTACAAAGTCACTCTTGTAACAAGTTCTTCTATATCATTCTTCAAATGCCTCAACTGTTATTTCTTCTACTTTTTCCTTTTACTCTCTTTATTTCTCCTCATCTGCCTCTTCCGCTTCTTTCTTTCCTTTGTTTCCTCTCAGTGCAAAGGAACCAACTATCAATAATATTGATGATGTTGCAAAAGATTTAAGGCCGTTCAGTAATTATGACAGTTCTTCTCTTCTTCTTCTCCTCCTCCTCCCTTTCATTTTTTTTTTCTTGTTCTTTTACAATTATAGCCACCACTGAAGTTGCTTTCATGTTATTTTCAAAACTCCAAAGTCCAAACACACAAACAACTTCATACAATATAACCACAACTCACATGACGAGAGGGATGAAGTTGTCCGTGAACTGTTTCTCAAATAAGTGGAACAAAGTGTTTGCCTGGCTCACCACATCGAAGAAGTAAATCTCTGGTTCAACTTTGGGCTCAGCAGGAGGAATACCTGTTTAGAAATTATGTCATGCTTTACTCAGTAGGGGTGATCAAACAAATAAAAGATAATCAATCACAAGCAGACGTACTGATAATGTGATATTAGTCTTTGTCAGAGTTTTTTCATACAATTTGTCCAAGTTTGTAACTGATCTTGGTTGAATACTCGGCTGATATATCGTGATTTGAGATTCAAGCTGAAGTTGCTAAAGTTTTCTCTTCTTTCAGTGTACAAGCAGAAAGCACACAAAATTTCTGACTAGTCAGACAGGTGTTCTCACAGATCATTATCTCTAGGAATACCTTATTACATATTACGAGTGGGCCAAAAATCAAACTTGGGATGGAATCACACAAGAATGGTTCTGACATATAGCAGGCTCATAGTATATACCACAAGGGCAACAATGTAAATGTTCACATTTTTGTTTGATATCAAAATAAATCCTTTTTTGTACAGGCAATGTGCACAAGACAGCACATTACAAGACAGATCACTTTCTATTTAAAGCACCTTAAAAAATCAAACCACATTTTTGTAAATGTCACTACTCAAGGTACCGATTAAAAACATTTTGTTTTGTTTCTCAAATAGAAGTTCTTTTACAACAATCTTTGCTCCTCCCCTTTGTAGCCTACATGATACAGTATATTATCCCCTTGTCTCAAACCAGCTCAAAAATAGATGTCACCACTAGTATTTTTAATATATAGTATCAAATGCATTCATATATACATCTTGCCACGGTACGAAGGGTTTTTTCAAGTACCTCAAACAGAGAAATGAACCCCACTTGTAAAAAACTTTCTTAAATTCCACTCACCCAGGAGCCCAATCTCCACAGCATAGTCAATGTGTTCTGTCACGAGATACTGGACCAACACCTCAAAGATTTTGATTGCATTAGAGGGCAAGTCCGACGTGGAGGAAAGCTGAAAGAAACAACAGTTCAGTTATGAAATCTTGAGGTAATAAGAATATAACAGAGCAAAATGACTCAAGGGAGAGGAGGAAGACAGAAAAAGAGCCGCCGTTTCTGTCAAGACAACAGTATTTTTTTAATGACAGACAGCCTAACCCTGTAGGCCTACATTACAAAGATGCAATTTCTAACAGTTTTGAGGCACATTACCTTGGGAATGTGTACCTAACTAGGAAACCAATAACATAATAATATCTTTATGAACTCATGAGGCATGATGTATTCCTTGCTTATATAATATGTGACACATCGTGGCGAAATCAGGCACTCGTCAAAGTAATGAAATTGAAGAAACAGGCTTTTTTCTGCCAGGCTGGCAATTTTTAGCAAATTTTTGTTTTTGTGCTCAACACCATTTATTTCCATGTAAAAACACATTTCCATGTGAATTTTACCGAATAACCTTAATTAATGGCACAAAATATGTAAATTTTCAGTTTTCAAGGAGCTACTGAACTTACCAAACTTCGGCGGCCATTTTCTCAATAAATTCACCACATGAACCAGGTGACCTCACCTCCTTCAATCACAAATATCTCAACTTCTATTCAAGATTCAAGGGTATTTTTTACATAGAAAGCAAGGCAAATGAAGAAGCTTTCGGATGATCCCAACATCTCCACATGCCCAAAATTGACGAGCGTCTTGACACTAATTATTTTTTAAAACCTACTCATCACAAATGTCTTCATAACTTACTTCATCATTTATGAAATCTGAACATATGAAACAAATTAGCACCAGCATTGTGAAGCATCGTGGTGAAATCTGGCGCTCGTCAAAATAATGAAATCAAAAGAAATCTGCATTTTTGGGGGCTGACGGGCAATTTTTTTCTAATTTTCTTGGTTTGACTCAACACCTTTTACGTCCATTTAAAAACACAGTTCTGTGAGGATACTACTGATAAACATTGACAAAAGGCATTCCAGTTTCCAAGGACTCTCAGGCTATGGAAGTTAACAAACTTTGGCCGCCATTTTCTCGCTAATTTTACTTCTGAAACCAGGCGACCCTGGCCTCCTTCAATCGCAAATATTTCTATTTAACATTGATGGATACATTTTTCACAAAAATGAAGAAAAATGAAAAGGCTTTAAGATGATACCAATAACCCCATATGCCCAAAAATTGACGAGCACCTGATTCCACCACGTCGTGACACATCTAATTTGTACTAAAAAGTAACGCTGCAACCCCACCTTCCCAAACAAGGGGAAAATATTTTCAACACATCAAGCTTTAATTTTCCTTGTCAAAAATGACCACTCAAAATTCTTGAATAGATTGCCCCTCGAAGATATTGTATCTTCAAAAGAAAAAAATTTACCGTTTGACACCTCTTAAAGGCATTCTTTGTGTCTTGCAGAATGTTGATTGCCACCTCTTGGGACAGAAATGTTTCACCTCCAAAGTTCTCAATCGATGGGCCTGCCTTTGTAACATTACCAATCTTAGCCTGAATATCTCGCTTCAGCTCATGAATTCTGAAAGACACAAGTAAAAGGGAAAAAGGATACATCACAGTAGAATATAATGAGCATATATACCAGAAACAAAAAAACAATTGAATTGTTCACAACAATGCATAACAAGTGTACAAATGATAATAATAATAATAATAATAATAGATTGCATTTATATAGAGCTCTATCCCATTCAAGTATAAGCTCTGAGCGTTTTACAGTTGTTTATAATGCAATATATTTAAAGTGTTGACACCCCTGGCTTACAAAATCTTTAAATCTTCAGAATGTTCTTCATCCCACAGGAAAATACATCTACTACAACAATACAATGCAGATATACAACATCATTTGTCCAACGCCAAAAGAATAAGACAATTAGAGACTTCCAAAATTCTTCTGATTAAGGAAGGATAGTGCGGAAATGCACAAAAGGTAGACAAGTAAGGTAGATGAAGAATAGGCATGTCGGTGAAGAGAAACTTAAGAAAGCCCTTTTCACGATTATAATACTTCCAACTGTATGAAAAAAAAACTCCCCCTCACAGCAAAGCTGCATGGAAAGTCCTTGCAATAGGGACTCATCTCCACTGCTTCAAAACAAGGAATAATACATATTGTATCATAAACGACGAACTGTAATGGCCACATTACACCAGTATCAGAACAGGACAAAAAGCAAGACTCAAAAGGAGCAAAAGAAGCAGATAATACCAGAACACCCTCCAAGCAGCTGTTGAAAGTACATAAGACCATGTCTTCCGTCTCGAGCATATCAAGGAAGTCAAGACCTGAAGATAGGGAAGCAGCACTTGGACAATCTGCTTCCTTTTGATATTACTGGCAAGCCAAAGAAGAAGAAGAAGGAATATATGAACCTACTCTTATCAAGAGCAACGTGTAAGGACGATACCGATGGTGATATAAAAAAAACCTTAAGGCACAGAGACTGTGTTACACTTACCCGCCTGACTGGATTTGTCTCTTCACATGGTCTTTCTTCTCATAGTAATGCTGCAGAACTACTGAGCAATGAAGTCTCAAAGACTGAAGTTCAACTCTGAGGAGGGTTATCAGAGGGGGGAATTGAGCACTTTATTGTAACACTGTCACTATATTAACATGTTACGGTACAATACAAGAATGATTTGAGAACAAGTATCATTAAGTGTACAAAACATGTATTCAAAACATGAGTATGTGCTTAAAGAACCATTTTTGGAGTTAACTAAAAGTACAAAAATATGAAAGTGAAATTAAATTATCTCATGGGGCAGGTCTTGTATAAAACAGTACAAGTCGTGAAAAACAATGCGGTGTTAACTTGACAAAAAGAAGTCTGTGCACAAAAGAGAAAAAATTTCAACAACAATTCCTATAAAATAAATCACAAAATGACACTGGGATCATAATCACCATTCACACAACTGAGGCCAAACAAAACTTACTCTATATATTTGTCCAGATGCTGAGAAAAAATAGAGCGAGTGAGCTTGTTGAGGAATGTAGAATCACCAAGTTTGAACTCATGCTCAACGCAAGCTTTCGATAGTTCCACTGTCAACTTCAAGGTTCTGTGAAAATGAAACATGAAATTAAGAAAATCAGGTAGACTCATAATATAATCAAAATAAATTTTCATGTAACTTTCTGTTCAGAAAGTCACTCAAATAGGTCTATGAATTGCAACAAACTGATAATGCAAGAATTATGCTCTTACAAAAACATGGGAACTTCTAAGACAAAAATATAATCTAAAAGGAAAATGCAGTCCTTTGTCACTTTTGATTGCAATGAGAAATTGAAGAACAGATTTCCATCCAACAAATCATTGACCACTATTGTTGACAATCACACTTCATAACCACTGCACCTTCACTTCGCCACCAAAGAACTATTTTGTCCAAAGTGTACTTAAGTATAGAGGGACTTTGAACAAAATAGTTGTGAGGCAACAACTTGGCTTATTGTATCCAATCTTGTCAATGGAAAAAGCCATCTCCTTATTTCTCCTTCTACTGATAGATATATAGTTTGACAAGAAGCGTAAGCTTTGCAATTTAAAACAAAACAAGCGTGCTGTCTGTCTTACACACACTATCATGCGAGACAGGGCCAAAGTGTTGAATCAGAGTGCTTGCTCAGTTTCAGTACTTTAAAGTAGTTTACATCATGACGAATTGTTCTATGTAGGTTTTGTAAATGGATAAAGTCATCCTTCACTTTTCTTCATACTGATATATATATATATATAGTTTCGCCAATCTGTCTCTTAAAATTAGTAAACAAACATCCATTAAAGATTGTGACCTGTGATGTCTTGCACACTGTGGGATTTTCTTTTGCATATGGGGATGCATATATGGTTAGCAATCAAGGGTTTAATTACTTGACACACATATATCACAGGACTGGATGTACTTACTTAACATACATATCATACAAGTTGTTGAGGTATACTTCAGGGTCTGACTGTTTCTCTAGTCTGGAGGCTACATGACCCTGCATAAATAAACATAGAAAACAATTTGTGTAAGAGCACAATTTATAACTGTCATGTGAAAAACATGGTAGTTGTCAGTATGTTAGTGTTTTAGTGCCTATAAATGGCAGCTTGCACTGTATGCTTCCCAGGAAGTTCAGGTTGCTTCAGTATGCTCTCAGGTCTGCTGGGGTAATAGTATAGATTGTGAAGCGCATAGAGCTTGCTATTGAGCGGAGATTTGCACTATATAAATGCTATCTATTATTATTATTAGTTCTTGTCAAGACAGCAATACCAAACATTAAGTTCTTCATTGCCTGTTTCTTTGAAATTTCTAAGAGTCAAAAGTGTCTCCTACTTACAGGCAACACAGGTAAAAAATGTAACTGAGAAAGTGAATTTTCATTACGATATTCCTTAAAATAGCCGCACTTAAAGTTATTTCATGGTACTATTTTTCCCAAAAGATATTGATGCTAACATGAGATTAAACAGTAAAAAAAAAGATAACATAAGAAAAGAATATTACTATTACAATAATGTAAAAATACAAATAAGTAGAGAAGTGAGTGAAGAAAAAAATAATTTTTTGTACCTTATTCTCTTCATGGAAATATCATCAAAAAGAATACAATTTGTCTAAGCTTCATTAACATCATAACTGAAAATTTAGGGACAGACGGGTAATTCAACAAAATTAACAAAAGGAGTCTTAACATACTTATTTTCAATCCTGTAGTATGCAAAATTGATACTTTATTTCTTACAGCCTTATTTCAAATTAAACTTATAGCCTACATCCATTAAAGGTAAACTCAAAGTCAAAGCTTCAATAAAAACATGATTTTATTCGATAAGACACATTTCTTTACATAACAATACATACCTGGATGCGCTCCTGGAAAACACTCTGCACTAGTTTGCTCATTACAGTGTCAGAGTTAGAGAAGACCGCCTTTGCCAGTTTGTTGGTCTCCACACACAAGGGAACAACATCGTCAAAAATACTTTTACCCTTGTAAGCATCCTAAATAAAAAGATAGAACTTCATGTGCAAATACAAAACATTTCAATGAGAAAAAGCATTTCAATACTAAGGCTGCCTATCATAAAAGATTTGCAAGAAAGATAAGTGTGTGCACTCATTCCACTGTCAATAACTAAATGCTCACAAAGAGAGGAATGAATGGTCATAATCACAAGGCTATAGCCTACCAGGGAGTTTTAAATTTTGCTTTATTCTTCTTTATCTTAAGCAAAGAACTCATTATTGTTATTATAAAAAAAGAATGAAGACAGATTTGCTATAGAATGTAGAAAACACTTTGGATAAAAAAACAGGAAAAAGTTTTCAAAGCTTTCAATTTCTTTCTACAAAGTCATCCATAAATTATAGACTAATGATATGTTACAAACCTTCTGACATTCGACGATGAAGACATCTATACACTGGCCATAGCTCTGGAAGAAAAAGTACAAACATGATAAAAAGCCATACTAATTTCAAACAGTACAGTAAACACAAAAACTTCAGGAAGATTAAAGAAATACAACAAAAATACAAGAAGATTCACTACAATTGAAAATAAATCCAGACAAAGGTGGAGAGAATATACGAGACATTGAAAGAAAAATAAAACTTCATGTTTCAGTACAAGTTTAAATATCAGTAATAATGTGTGTGTGTGTCTAAAGAAAGGTACCTAAAGTCAGATTTTGACCATTTTGAGTTAAAAGGGTTGTACCTTATATGAAATTTAATGCTGAACCCAGGGGCCCTTGAATTTTCTAGATATCTAAAGTAGTTTTTGAGATATTGCACATTGTGAGAGGTACGGTATAAAAATATAATTTTGAGAAAATGAGCGTTAAAGTTTAACAAACGAGAGAACACATACAAACAGTAAAAAAAATGATTTTTTTATTGTATTTTTTCATGGAAAATTCATATCCAATTTGGCATTCACTTGACATCAATAATGTGAATGGAATTCAACGGTAAAACATAGCAGAGAAGAGAAACCATGCTTCAAGAATAGGTTTTAACACCTTTAAAAAGCAGGTTTCATTGTTTTTTTATACCCTACCCTCAAAATAATTAAAAATAAAAATATTTGGAAGTCAAATCAATTAAAACGCTTTGAGCACATTGTAAAAAAAATGGTGGATCTACAGTGGGTGTCGCATTCAACGAGGTCGCCGGGACTGGCTTATTGTCCTCGTTGGATCAGACCTTTTGTTGAACATGACTAAGGCTAAAGAAAAGAAAGGAGACAAGTTATTATATTACACGATGTACCAATACCACTAATTAAAACTGTTGTTCCCCCTGAAGACAAAAATCTCAAACAGCATCAGCAAGCGCGTGTTTGAGCAGTGTTCTGACCGTCATTTCTGCATTAAATTTTTTTTTTATTCGAAACACTTTTCGAGTGGAAAGATACCCTCTCACATCTAGGCCAAGATCAACATAAAGTAAAGGCGGAAGCTGGTACTTTCTGATCAAGGGAAGAAAAGAAAATAGAAAAAAAAAATGAAGGTCTCCATCTAGACCTACCCATCCAGAGTTCATGCAGTTTCACACAGCCGCATCACATTCTCACCCACCCCCTCCTATCCCTACAGTAGGCTAACCCTCACCCATCCTCTTGGCTTTGGGGCCCATATTATTAGGAGGCACACTAGGATCTAGCAATACAATGTGTTAGGAATGGAGGATGGGCCTTGTACTTCACGTGAGATGGAGAGAAAGGAGAAAAATTCTTCGCTTTTGGGGCCGCTAATTGCTTTTATTTGGTTATCGCGATCTCGTTGAAAGCGACTTCGGTCTGTTTGCAACCTCATTGGAGTTGACGTACATTTACAAAGAGATATAGAGGAAAAAATAGGGGATTAAGGATTGCCTCGTCGGAGCCTATTTCTCGTTGAATGTGACCTCGTTGAATGCAACACCCACTGTATCAGTTTTCTATAGAAACACATTTTGGTTTTAAAAAAGTGATTTTTTGTCATTATAAGCCTGTAGCTCAAAACGGTCTGGGGGCGACCTTAGGTACCTTTCTCCAGGCGCACACACATTAGACAAATCTATACCAGAATTTGCTTGCTTTTTCCTTTGAAATATCTCAACAAAGGAACTCTCCACATAATATGATTAGACGATGCTCAAAAGCTAATTCACATAGCTTTTAAAAACTGTTCTTCATCCCCAAATTTTCACACTGAAACTCCCAGAAATAAAAAACAACAATGATTTTTGCCCCTCAATCACAATAAAATGAGGCCTATTGAAAAACATTCAAACCTCCAACATCAGAAGAATATCCCAAACGTGAACAAACCAGGACTATCTTTACAGTGGGAAAAAACCCTACTGGAACAATTACTTAAATACCACTTGAGTAGACAATGATTCTGACCTTGAAATGTTGTAAAAGATTTGTGATTTTCCTCATTTGACGTCTGTCCCCAGCCTGCTGGCCCAGACGAAACTCCTCAATCAATTCTCGTTCTACTTCATCATACTTTTCTGAAAACAAAAAAGGCCCATTAAATAAATAGCAAAGTCCTCCTAGTATATTTTAATAAATATTGCTCAAAAGGGGAAAAATTGCAAATATACTGACCTTGACCACCGGTACAAGACAAACAGATATTTCGGAAAACCCCTTGACACAAATCAATGAGGAAACCTTAAAAGCAAAATCAGTGCATTATGTATTTTTCCCATTTTGAACACAAAATATCAACCAAAGTACTATTATCTTAAATTTTCAAATTTTTAAACTCATGTCTAGTTACACAAAACAAAACTGCTAGTCCTTGTCAGCCCGTGTCATAAGGAAATAGATGTAAATAACAAATTTTTTAACAAAGAACCATGTGTCAGTACACAGATTCGAGTTGGACCCACAAATCATATCACTTGTCTACACCACCAACTCTTTAACTCTTCAATTCATAAACTCAGACGAGATTTCATCAACTTCTCCATAGAGTATCTCTGATAAAAACTGGCTTTGTCTCCTACGTGGAAAACCTTAATATGTTAAGCCTGAGAACAAGAGGTCACGCTCACAGATTCTTAAAATTCTCATTTCATCTAAAGAATAAAAAAAAAATTAAAAAGCAAACTTGACACACCTGCAATTCTTTGCCTTGCTATATCAAAGCGTCCTCCCACAGGTAACTCTAACGCTATCAAGTGCAGCTTCTGTATCACATCAGCGGTCAGATGGAGCTATTGAAAGAGAGAAAAAAAGGTGACAATGTCATATTATATGTATCATAAACCACAAGACTGCAAGATTTTTTTTTTTATCAGCAAGAGACCCGAGACCTATGAAACAATATGTAATACAATTAGTGCAACAACTTAGAGACTTTCAAACCACTGATTTTGAATCCCCATACAATTTTTAAAAATTGAGGCTAACAGTGAGACATTCAATCATAGAAAAATTTGTCCGTAACCACTAGACATATCAAAAGAGGAAGGTCACTTTTCCCTCTCTCTCCTCCTTCATTAGCGATTGAAAAACTTCTTCCAATATCAATATCTGTTAATTCCATATCACTTTAATGGTCAAGGTGCACTCACATTGACAAAACACAGGTCAACAAGTGTAACTGACTTTTTCCTTAGTTTTCTCTCTCTATTTAAAATCCAAACAATTTAAGCCAGAGCTAAATTCAGTGATATGAACCAAAGCAACTGGACAACAGCATTAGGTACAATATTTTATGACAGCCACATTTAGAAACTGAAAACAAACTTAGTAACTACCCTCGATATTTTGAATAAGAACAGAGGAAAAGTAATATTCATCACAGTCCTCAGTGTTAAAATGTACTTCAAAATGGTCCAGAAACTTCAAGACAGTACACACAGAAAATGTGAACCATATTCAATATAGCAAGGACAAACTTTCAAAATTGCATTCATCCTCCCAAAGCTTACAGAGAAACTTCAGCAACACACAGTCAGGACGAAGCATACACTTAAGCTATAATATGGAGTCATTTAGATCCACATCAAAGTTTAAATTTCTCAGTAAACCATATCAATAACACATCATGGCTTCAAACAACACATTTTTTAAGGCAATTAAAGTATGTGATACCGAAATTTTACAGTGTACCTACTAGTGTTGTGTAATTTAGAGGGAATGAAACTTGTCTGTAGCTTCGAAGCATGAAGTCACTATTCCTGCTGTTTGAATATCATATGCAAACTGTTTTTCCCTACACATAAGCAGCATTCACTATTCAATAGGTATGCACTGTTCACGGTGTTATTCATCCAGTGTGCATCTGCCTCTTCATGTACCGTGGCCACAGCTTGAGCAGCACAGCTCATAGTTCTCATTATCTCTTGTTTTATTGGTCCCTACCATCTTTTAAAATCACCCACCCATCCAGGAACACGAGCTAGCTTAACAGACTTTGTGAGTATGGTGGCTGATATTATTGCTTCCTTTGTTTTTTTTCTTCAAAACAATTGTATGTATTCCCCCTAACTCCTCATTACAAGCCATGTTACGATGATGCCACATCAACACAATTCTAGCATCCTACCTGGAAAGGATCAACTAACACTGGTGACTTGAGAGGTTCTTCCGTCAGGAACTCTCCCAAATAATTCATAAGTTTGTGCGCCTCCACAGCACGCGCCCTTGGTGTGTTCACACCTTCTAACTGGTCTCCCAGATGAACAACCTTGGTCGCCACATAGGAAATCCTCTCATCCAGTGTCTGGAAGTCTGTGTACAGGGACTGTGGTTCATAGAGTAAATTCATCATTTGAGTACACATTCTACATGCAAGTCTAAAAGAACTGGACCCCGACAGGAAAAAAGAAGCAGATTCACAGGCTTACTTGAAACTGTAAGGCAGTTGTAATTCCAGTCATTAGTCAAGCTTGAATTACACAGCTCTCGGTTTTAGGGAAATTATCTTTACCTCAGAAAATAAAACAAATGAAATCTATGGCAGCCACTCTTATTATCAAAAGACATCCTCCTACAAACTATAACTGTATGTGAGCATGTGTATTCAAATGTACTTTATTTCCAAGGCTCAAATAACAATATGTAAACAAGGACCCTTGTTAATAGGATTGACTGCAGGGCTGTCTACCTCAAAGTTCCCATTTCAGGTAGATTCAGGGCCAGTTTCAGGTAGTTTGGCCCAAAATCAGGTAGTACAAAGACAAAGAAGAAAAAAAAAAAAGATGATCGTTGTCCCATCGAACGCGCTTGCTTTCCGTGGTATAGGGTAATTATATTTTGAAAACTTGTTTGTGAATGCATGTCCATGCTCTCGCGTGTGTTTATATATGTGGGGAGGTGAAGGGGGTGTGCACAAGTTAAGATGAACAGTGTGTATGGAATGAGGCAAGGTTGTTTGTTTGTTTTTTTAATCATTTATGGACCATCGTTCAAGGCACATATCATTCAGTATTGAATCTGGAATTGAGTGCAGGGTGATAGCCAAACTGACTTCAAAACCCCTAGCCCATACCAATAGAAACTATATCAAAACATTTTTCCTGACACTAGCATAGGACACTGATAAGTCCTTCCTGACTTAGGTATGACAGACAATTAATTTTAACTAGTTTTACCCTAAAAATACAAAATGAATCCTGATCTGGGCCTGAGGAAAGGCAAGAAGAACATTAAAACCATGTTTGCACGACAATCTAGAAATCGGAGGACGCTTGTTTTCTTTTTCTTCCTTTTTTTTTTGTCCTTATGGTGACATCAGTGGGAATATTGATTTAATTTGTATGGCGACAGTGTGCTTTGTATACACAAACTGCATGTTACAAATTTTTATTAACTGTAAATCTAACGTTAACAAACTACCATAGGACAATTCTGAGAGGTAACGAAAGCGAAAGTAGATTTTGATTTTCCCGACGGAGTCTCAGTATTACACCTACATTTCCGCCTACCGTCATAGCCGCTTATTCGCGTGAAACGTACTCTCGGACTGCGGAAAGCCGAACGTAATATCACAAACGCGACCGGTAAAATATGAACTCAGTAGGCTTTTCAGATTTGGTTTCAAGGACTTTGTGCATTTTCTCGGGTCTCCCGCAGTCCCCCTGCATAGAATCCTCATTTGGTACTGACCAATTATTTAGACCAAGACAGATTTTAGAATGTTCTGCTTCGATACCGATTTTGTTTCTACATTCACAACTCTGTTTTCTAGATAAATGAATTAAATGCACAGATTTTCCAGCTGCAGCAAAAACCCAAAGATAGACAGAAAGAAAGAATGAATGAAAGGAAGGAGGAAGATTATCTATCGTGAGTAGACAAGATTTTAGCCGATATGCACGTGAAAAACTATTGCCGACCGAACGGCACAGATAGACAATGGTCGAGTGTACGAAATGCGCAATCTGGCAGTTTCTAATACAACTTATTGCCGAGAGTTGCCGTAAATATCTGACAAGTTACGGAGGCAAGTGCTGATTTCTCTCTCTCTTTTAACGCATGGAGTTCATATGATGATGCGGCAAGTACGCAACTTTCGGAATGTACAGATTTCCAAAAAACTAAGAAAAATGGAAACTGCAGAATTGTTTTTTATCTTTATTTTTTCGGCACCCATCGCAAATCCGGTAGTTTTGACACCTTATCGGTGTGGCGTTAGAACATGCCCAAAATCGGTATCTACCTGAAAAATCGGTAGATTTAGGCAGCCCTGTGACTGTACAACTCAATCCATCAAAGAAAAATTTGAATAACTGTGAATATATTGAATTGAAAACCTAATTGTCCACTGACAAACATGAAAGATTTACCTGATTCTTTTTCTGGAGCTCAGCAACTCTATTCCAATGACGCTTTTCCTCATCCTTACATTCAGCTTCAAGGCGATCAATTTTCCTTTGAACCTACAAAATACGTCACATAAATATTATTTAACTAGCATGACAACCTTTTCAATCAGATAAACACTCAAAGCCCGCATCTTTTTTATAGTTTACCCACAAATCATAATCAAATTAAAGAAAAGTAATTTTAAAATGTATAAACATAAGGTATCAACTCATTGCTCACAAATGGGTTACCAACTGAGTGTGTTCATTATAATACCTAAAATAAAAAGATCCCATTTATAATCAACACTGAGTGCTATTTAGATTTAAATACACTTCATTTCAATTCAGGGATGGGCTACATCAATTACAAACTACTCCCTATTCAACAAAGTTTGGTCATTTTGTTGCACTAATGTTCATTTATTATAAAATATCAGAGAGCAATGAAAACTCAAACAGAAATTCTGTGTCGAAACCAAAAACCTTTCAGTCAAAATTATTATTCGAATCATCACATCCTACCCACCTGGTTGTTTTTATCCTTCAGATCACGTATCATCTTTTCAAAAGCTTTATGTAGTAAATCCGGATCAAATTCTTCAGGGCTGCTGCGTGCATGGGCACCCATAGTTTTCCATGCTAGCCTTTCCACAAATTCGTGGACGCTAAATGGTTCCTGAAACAAATGGAGGATTCAAGTATACAGTGTGTGTATCATCAATGTTTAACTAGCAAAGTCTCCGTAAAATGATATTTCCTAAAGATCAATGTACCTTTTATTAAAGGAAATATCGATATTCTCCTCAAACCTACACAGAAAAATAATTTGACCTTAACTCGTTATCTCTGAGGGGGGTAGACCCACTATGCTGGGGCCCTCTTTTGGTGCGAAATCTAAAAGTGACACATACGTCACTGAATTAGTCATTACGGTACACCACAGAAGAAGCGGACAGCCAGAAAAAGTCAATTTTGGTATCCAAAACCGATTTTTCGATTTTGGACTATTTTAGAAGAGCAACATCGGCTTTATCGATAGGAAATATTTTCAAGTGTCTAAAACATCTATAAAGCGCTCACTTATGCCATGTTTGCGAACATTTTGTTGAAATAGACCAGTATGAATTTGGTTGTTTTTTTTCCAGTTTTCTCAAAACTAAGATTTTCTTAGGGGGGGGGGAGATATTTCAGAAAGTACATGTCACAGCTCAATCCCACTTTGCATGACTGTTTCTAGATAATATGTCTGCAACGTACTAAAAGATTATTGTGATATTGTAAGTTTTCTGTCAGTGTAAAAAAGATTGACAGTATCACTCTGATTTGTGATCAATTTTTAGTCTGAGTATCGTATATGACACTAAAAGGGCAGTTACAAGAAAAGTATGAGACTTAGGAAAGTAAATCTTTAGTACGTTGCAAGTTGTATATATACAGAAACATTGTGTTAAAATATCAAGGCTGTACCAATTCAATCTTTTTCAGAACCCCAGCACAGAATTTGCACGAATTTTGGTCTGTCGAACCCTTCGCATCTGAAGAATTCAGAAAATTGACAGTGAAATCATATCATCATCATCATCATCCGGTGCCTTGCCGACTGGCGTGGGCAACCATGGACCTCCACTTCACCCTGTCCTTCGCTGCAGCAATGGTGTCTGTTGTTCTTGCTGCTCCCAACCATGTTGTCATCTTGTCCAGTATCTTTTCCCTCTGTCTGCCTCTGCCTCTCTTTCCATCAACTTTCCTGTTGTGACAATATTCTCCAATGCTTCTTTCCGCATTGTGTGTCCGAAGAAATTTGCCTGTCGTTTTCTTATATTCATGATAATTTGTTTTCTATAATTTGCTTCAACCAGGAATTCTTCGTTTGTTTTTCTAGCTGTCCATGGGATACGTAGCATGCGTCTTATGAACCACAACTCTGTCGCTACAATTGTTCTTTCCAGCTGTTTATTGATTGTCCACGCTTCGCACCCGTATAATAGGATTGGCTCGATGTAACTTTTTAGTACTCTTTTCCTCGTTTCCAGGGACAGATTGATGTTTGTAGTATCTGTTTCATCTTGTGGAAGGTTGTTTTTGCTTGGCAAATGCGGCTTTTAATTTCGGTGTGACATCTACCATCTGATGATATAATGGTCCCCAAATATTTAAAATGTTGTACTTGCTTGAGGGTGGTGTCGTTGACTTTGATATTGCATGTTGGGATTGGAGTTTTTCTGCTTATCACCATCATTTCGGTTTTCTTGATGTTTAGGCTTAAGCCCATGTTGTCACTCTCTTGTACGATGACATTTAATAGATTCTGCAGGTGTTCTTCATCTTATAGGGATAGTGTATTTCTGTTTCTTGACCCATATTGGTTATTGGGAAGCCAAGTATTTAATTTAGAGCCCAAACAAAAATGTTCACTTCAGCTGCACCTAGTGTCCCTTAAATCAAAACAAAAGAACCTAATTTGATAGTTTTTCATCTAATGAATGAACTCCCGGTAAAAGAAACTTGTTTTCGGCAATTAATTTGATTTCAAAGTCGTCATAAAGGTATGTGCCCGAGCCTCTGCCAACAGCTCACTAGCACACGGTTCCAACAGTGAGCTGCTGGGAGTGGCTTGCCGGAGATAAGGAGTTAACACATACTACCAATAAAAAATTAAATATCAATGTGAAAGATCCCCGCAGTTAGAAAATATAATAAAATCAACTGGGAAAGGACATTTCAAATAGACAATAAAAGACATTTTTTAAAACAGTGAGAATCTATGACTATCTTCTCATTAGCTGGCATGGAATCAGGATAAATGTATTATGTATCAAAGCGAAAATGATGGAAAGTGGTTTTGTCTCAGTAGCTTTATCAGTATTTTCCTTGTTGTATAATAGTAGCTTAACAGAGAGCATCCACCTTACATGATGAAGCATGTGGTAACTGTAAAGTTCCAAGCAGTTCATACAATCTGTGGGAGTAGGCCTAAGTTTAGCACAGTTATAATGGCACAGGAACAGCTAGGCCAACCAAGTGTATGTTATCAACTTTACCGAAGTACATGAATGAGAATGACATGATGATGATGGGTAGAGTCTGAGTAATTTAAAACAAATAATTTGAGTAAAGTCAAAGAGCAGTCAATGTCATCTAATTGAGTCATCAAGGAAAAATTTTCAGCGATACCATGCAAAGTGAACCAGACGTCCAGTATTTTTTGCTTATATACATACATAGCTTCTGACAGACTTCCTCACTGTATTCCTCCTTGTGCTCACTTTTAAATGCACTAGGAATCAAGAGTACGCCTACTTTACCACTACCACTGACACCAGTAGCCTACCTGAGTACCACTGTTCTTGACTAACAGCTACCGCCATCACTTCAGACTAGATTGTAGGCCTACATATTTTTATAAATGGCTATTATTTGGCATAGATTATAATTTTAAATGATAACCTATGATATGGCATGGTAAATGTATGAAGGTGTTGTAAATCACCCTAATTTGGCTCCAGGAGAAAAGGTCCCGCCCTAATTTCATAGAAATTTATATTATACAATATAATGTATACAATCCGAAACAAAAACGAAAGTCGCACAAATAAGAAAAGGAGATGCACGGGGGACGCCCCCCCCCCCCCCCCACCCCAGCTAAATTCACAAAAATATAATGGTTTGGTGACAGTTTTTAGTGCCAAAATATGACCTTCAGTTGCAAGAGCCTCTACCAAAACAAAACACAGTGGCAACTCAGTCAGCTTTTTCACTCAACTTCCATTTTTGTCTCAGGTTTTGTATATAAATTTCAATGGAGTTAGGCGGGACCACTTCTCCCGAAGAGCAGTGGCGGTGGGTGGTTCTAAACGTGGGTGGGGCTGAGAAATCAGGGTAGGTACAGTTCAAAGGTAAGATTTCCTTGGTTCAAAGGACATTCCAGATATGTGTGAGTATGTTTTATTCACACACTCACACGCAAACGCGCTCATGACCTTATACAGTTGCAAGCGCCGTAAAACACTTACCATTACCAAAAAAATTAATTGAGTAATTAATTAATTAGCAATGACAATGAAAAATTAAATTTTCATCCAAATTGCTTAAAAATGGGCTTAAATGAAAATAGAGTAAATTCTAAAAACTATGGTTCTTAATTTTTAAAATCCATTGATAAATAAAAAAGTTATTGGGATTTTTGTTTGCAAAATGTTGGAGGACCTTCATATAGGAAAAAACCGCCAAAATGTGGGACATGTTTTGATGTATTTTGAGGAAAAACTGTTCATAAGTCAGTAATGAATTGGAGCATATGAATGCTATCACTTTTTCGATGTCTTTATTACTTTGGATCTTAAAGAGTGATATTTGAGTGAAATTTGTTGAATTGCGTGACATCGTTTTTACCGCGACACAATCACCCCTTCTAAAACTCAGTAAAACGCTATCGGGAAACCCCGCGATGTAGTCATCGGTGACCTATTTATTTAGGCAGCCAATCACATGCCGCCTAGCGATCACGCGCCTCTTGCATGCTGACACCTCGCGTTTGGAATGCGGGATCTAGTTTCCAGCTCTAGTGTTTTATCAATGGATGGGTAGTAATTTTAAGTTGGTACGTAAAATCTACTAAACGCAGAGATCTGAAATTTTACAGCAATAAAGAAGACATGTGGGGCGCTTGTGTGGTCGGCGATCAACCCGCAGCTCCCCTTAGTTTTCGAACCACAGAGGAAATTCGCACAAACACAGCAATATCTCCGGTTCTAGTATTCGTTCGGGATTGTACGCTGGCATGTCGCTAGTTTAGCCTTTCCTCTGATTGGTTGCCGAGTTTCATTTATTTTCCTCCAGGAGTTTTCCCGTAACTATACTTAGAAGAGAGTCACTTCTGATTCCGAGCGGCCCAAAAATTACCCCTCGCGCGGAGGCCGATTTCCGGCCCAAGGTGCAGCGGGCGATTGGCATTGCTAAATGAATTAAACGCGCAAACGCCCACATACAACAGTAACTGGATTAGGCCGTGGGGTCGTAGATAAATAATAATAATATATTATCACTTATATTGGCCTATAGCACATTTCCAAATGATAGCAAGGCATTCCTAAAACGTTACATGTTTTGGTTACTGGGTCTCTGGGGAAAGTGTGTCATGAACTTTCTCCCCCATTGTCTAGGCTGGAAGAGAACGAGCCATCTCTAACAACAGTTTCCACAGGCTCTCAGTTGTTTCTTTTACCTTTTTTTCAAAAAAAGTTTCATTAAGAAAGGATCATGGGAATGGGCTCAACCTTTGCTGAGCCCCAAACACATTTGATTGGCTGTTAAATTACTATCATTGTAAGCGGTGACAACAGTGATTGGATTATAAAAACGAGCAAGCGTGGGTGTTCACCAATGCAACTACTAAAGGCGGAGGCGGAAGATTCTGAAACAGTTCTAACGGTTTCAACTGATTATCTCGATTTATAATATTAGAAGAAACATTCATTAACGGAGGGAAAGAGTTTGGGGGGTGGGAGTGGGAGTGGCAAGCCCTTTACTAGATCTACATCTAGATCTATATATACTATAGCCGGTGCTTTTTCGGTAGTTCCCACCCCCCTTATTTGAGCCTGACCTACATCTAGATCTAGATCTATACGTTTGATTCGCAGTGAGCTAAGATATCAAACCTAACAACTGCAAAACATTAAATTATGGTAAAATTCAGGGGGGCATGCCCCCCTGAAACCCCCCTTCCTATTTGTTTTTAGGTCAGGGGGGCAAGCCCCCCTGAAACCCCCCTACTCTTGTGGCCCAAACCCGTGAATAAAATTGCGGGGTGGTAACTACCGAAAAAGCGCCCTATAGCCTATAGTCTATAGCCCTTCACTACGTCCCATCACTGCCGAAGACAGAGTGACCCTTATTTTATGAATCTATCTTGTACTATCTAGACCTAGATCTAGATATCTAGTTCTATTTATTTGGCGTAGATCTAGATCTAGATATAGATCTATATCTAGATCTATATTACTTTTAAAAAAGTAGAAGATATAGATCTATCTAACTGATTACCACCCCGCCCCGGCGGTAGTAGCAGTAGATCTAGATCTAGAAAATCTAGTGGTAACTGTGTGTAGGCTACTTTTCTTTAGATCTAGTTTATTTTATTAATATTTTAAAATATCTACATTATCATTATCATCTACGATACGGGAAGACTCACCTGTTCCAACTCTTCGACTGACATGTTAACGACAAAAAGTTCAGTCCATTGAACCAGATTCAACAAGGCCTGGAGCTGCTACTGGCAGCTACTCTGAATTTTAGTGTATACTTCCTCCTATTCAAGCCTAGCAGACGAGCGAAGAGGGAGGGCAAAACTAAACAGAGAGGCGTATTATTGGCGGAAGTGGGGAATTAATGAGGTGGCTGGATAGGCCTATATCTACATGGACTAGATCTAAAAATCTAGATTCATACTACTTTATTTTCTCTTTTCAGGTACCAAGAGGGGCAACTTTTACCTTTATTCTCTTATTGAGTAATTTCATATTGGATCTCTTATTAAATACGAATTATAAACTGGTTTGGTGAGAACAAAAATAAAAAAATACAAACACAAATTCTAATAATTAGCCAAACCAATTGCTGGAAACAAAACAAGGGAAAGCACTCTTGATTACTAGATTACTAAATTTAGATCTATCTTTTTTTACTGCTAGTTCTAGTAGCTAGCTAGTAAATAACATCGTCGTAAGTTCGCCGGATAAAAAGTGAAACAACAAGTTATATATATCTAGAGATCTAGATCAACAGCAGCTCACAAGTCCAAAGTCCGCAGTCCGAGTCTGTTGACGGTAGTTCTTTATAAAAATAAGTCATAAGTGCCGCTAGGCCTACCGTTGTGCGAGATTCAAAAACATTTCTCTAAGTCCTATTTCGTGCTGCTCTTTGACACTGACGGTTTCATGATGTTCAGCTTAGCCCGCCTCATCTCAAAGTCAGCTGGTTCCACTGTTGCTGGTAACTGATTAATAATATTTTCTAAAACTAGATCTAGATCTAGATTCTAGATCTAGTCTGTTAGATCTAGATATCTAGATCTAGATTCTAGATTCTAGATCTATCTGTCTAAAATTAGGTACCAGAAACTAAATTTTCAAACTAGATTCTAGATCTAGAATCTAGCTGTATGCCAAATTTATCTGTTCCATTTGAAAGGCCTAGATCTATATCCACTGAGCATTTTGGTACCATTCTTTAACATCTCCGTCAATTTTTAAGAAAATTGTAGTTGTTTAAAATTTGGTCAAATTTGTTAAAGTCAGTCACTGGCTGCAACCCCATGTTTGACAGACAATAAAAAAGTAACAAGTCCACTAAACATCTCCACATTAACAGAGTACAATCACTATAACAAATATATGGAGCATAATTTTTTTCAAGACTGAGATCTTTACAAATCAGTACTTTATCACCTCAAACACGATATCTGTCGTTATTTCGACAAAAACACAGAGCGTTGACCCGGCCGGCGTCGCACCGGCCCCAGCGGCGAGCGAGTCGGCTCTATACTGTAGTTGTAGTGTACCCCGCGTGCGGGGTCACATGCTTTCTGAGTCTCGCAGAAGGATTGATGTGAAATAATTCCAATTTAATTACTTTATTTTAGAAAGTGGCTATTCTCACCCGCCCGGAAGTTCTCGCAAGATCAACTCCTCCCCTCTTCTCTCTCTCTCTGTCTCTTTCTGAATACTGTCTATCAGTGTGGACGATCAAATTGACCAAAACAAAGTTAAAAAATGATGTTAAAACCCAAAAGTAAATTAATTTGGTTGTCTACAAAGATGCTACGGCTATTTAACTTTTCTAATCGAGCTAGATCTACTCACCAACACAAAAGAGCTCCAATTTACTCGGTTGCAGTTGACGCTGATGTCCATTTTTGTCAATTGCCACCGCGTCACTCGGTGGCAATTGACACTACCTATTTTTTAATAGAATTTTTTTTTTGATGAATTTAAGATTTAATTAAGGTAACAGTGTTTTAGATCTAAGGCAACATGCGTATATATATCTACAGGGTCCCCACCAAGTCGGGAATTTTTAGATAGGTCGGGAAAAAGTCTTGAATTTTGTGATGGGTCGGTAAGTCGGGAAAGGATAGGGCCTGTGACTGTGTAATATTAGTAGTGTAGCTATCTAGACAGTATGGTTGATGAATCATGAAGAGGAAACGTAATTGAACCGCTATGGTGGAAGTGCATGTACACCGTGTGACACCAAGGCTCGATCGGGAAGAATCAAGATCTACTTTTGCTTTCGTTACCACCCATAAATTTTCCGGTAATAGTCTGATAGATAACGCAACATTTGTAACATGCAGGTTTTGCGCTACGAACGCCGTGTGGCCTTGAAAATGAATCAATATTAAAAATTTGTCCTCTGCTGTCTCTTGTGAAAAAAAAAAAGAAAAGAAAGTTATATAAAAGCGTCTTGTCAGGTTTGCCCTCGTGACCGGTCAATGAACCTGTGAGTACTGGCGGTCTGAGCGCTGTGAAGTATATGACTCCGGAATGAGTTGGGGGGGAGGGGTAAAGATACACTCAGGAAAGGGGATTTGGGGGGGGGGGGGGACTGAAGACTACGCTAGAGGTCAAGAACTGAACTTGGAAGCAAATTTTTAGTATTTAGAATTTTGATAACTACTATAAGAGCTCTTGGCAAAGCGTGCGTTGGTGCAGGCCTTGTGTGGAATCAGGATCCGTCATGCCTTGTTATTGAACTAAAGTGTTCGCGTTTCATTGGATGTGGTGACTGTAATTTATAATCTATATTTTAGGTTTCTGTTCAAGATTGGCAGAATTTCAGTGTCACTGCATCTTTCCCTCCCTCAGTTCTTACACACCTCTCGCACTGAATAGGTCTACTTGAGCCATTCAAGTTAATAATTATTACTAATATTACTCTACTGGTTATTGACAGTCGATATTCTTGTTCTAGGTCTTTTCTCAAGCTCAAAACAGGATTCGTTTTTTATATAGGGCATATAGTTTATATAGGCTAATATGATGAGGGTAAAAATATAAATACATGTAAGTAAGAACAGACTGAGAACCGGTCACACAAGATCCCAGGGCCACACTGACATGTTGGCTGGATATAATGTACCTACATGTGTGTGTGTGTGTGTGTGTGTATTCACAAACATATACATATTATATTAGATATAAATGGAGCATGTGCTGTCATTGTTATGTAACATGCCCCTGGAAAATGGATGAGCCCTCCCCCCGGGAAAATTGAGAAGCTGGGTAGCAGTCACCCAGTGTTATAATCATCTGTTGTTTGAATGAAGACTACTACAAAATGTACATTTGCATTCATTTAAAGACATTTTGACTTTTTATCATTGATAGATGGCCTTTTTTGGGGGATCATTCTTGACGCGCTGCAGCCTGATTTTTCTCTCAAATTGGGTTCTTGAAAAAAATTTCAAGGATTTGGTGGGGACCCTGTATTTGAACTACTAACTGAGCCCCCTTTCGATGAAAGGAATGATCGGTGCATTAGATTAATATCAACTGAATATCATTTGTCTACTACATTTACACTCTACTGGAATGGAGCAATAAAACTTGAGAGAAAATTGACACACATGTTTCCAAGTTGCCAAATTAGATGCCTAGATTGATTCTCTATTCCACTTTTGTGGTTGTACAGAAGCATGTTGAGTTGATTGTTCCCAGTAGCAAGAAAAAGGATTTGACAAAGGGGTCCAGAAAATGCGATGATGGGCGTCAAATGAAAGGATCACAGTCGAATTCAGCACCAAGTAAATAAAGAAAACATGAGGCTAGATCTGTACGGGTGGCACACACTTTAAATAGTGCTCAGTATTGCGCAATAGTATCGAACGGAAGTACGACTTGAAATAAACAAACCTGGCGGATTTTCTAAAATTACAGAAACAGAAGTGCCGGCCTACAAAAGCGATCAGCGAAATAAAGAAATTTAGCTTTTTGCAGCAAAACTGTCTCAAAACTGAAAAAACGAAGGGCGTCGTGATCTGAAGAATATTTTAAAGAATCTTTTGGTGAAAACCGCATGTCGATCAATGCAGCCATTAAAAAGCCTTTGAATAGCAAAATTGGGCCACCACAATTAGATAGATATTAGACCCAATCATAATGTACAACAATAACACATTGGAAGGAGTTCCGCAGAGGGCCAGCCAATCAACAACATTCAAAAGAAGGGATATAATTTTGAGCGGGATACCTTAACCCTAACCCTTGTATAGTTTGCTCAGTAGACCTTGTCACGATAAATGCCGGCCCTCTTCGGAACTCCTCCCAACATGTTAATACTTGCATTTGTAGCACTTTACTGAACCCAAACAACAATAAAACTTACTGACTTAACGGTACGCCAACTTGTGCAGTGACTACATTCACGGCGCCGTGGCGCAGTGACTACATTCACGGCACTGTGAACGGAACGTAGTTTGCAGGCTACATTCTTGGTGCCCTGAATCATCAACAATTGGCTCAGATCATGACTGAAACGCTACGGTCGCTCAAACGCAAAGAGAAGTGAATGAGGAAACAGCACAGCAATACTCATGTGAAAAATAATGCAGCAGTGGTCCGAATGCAACAGATTTACGGAGGGCGAAGGCGAGCACAGCAAAACAGTCTCAGTCAACAAGGATTTATCAAGGGGGGAGCGGGGAGATGATTTGGTTATGACTGGTTTCTGTTTTAGAAAGGTTTCTGTTAAGGCAGGTTCGACTGCTTTTATTGTATTTTAAATGGAACCTGAAAATCTTTTTCTGTGCGCGTGCTCACTATGTGCATTCTAGTGTCTAGATCTTGTTTCCAGCTTGGAACAAGTAGTGTAATTTTCTAGCTCTTAAGATCATGTATTACAGTAATCTGGCCATTATATTGAGCCTAGACTCCTTGATCAAGCTCAGAGAGTTCAAATGTGTACAAACATAATATTCATATTATATAATTTCAAGGTTTGATTTATTTTAGACGATATATTTAATTGATAATATGGATCCGTGAATGATGATGTTGAAAAGTAGACTCAATTTTATATATGGACATGAACAAGGCCCTATTCACTCCACTACAAATAACCCCCTGAAATAGATCCTAGAAATTCTGGATTGATCAATCTGACAGGAAAGCTCCATCTCAGTCTATTATGGATCTTCAAATTTCAACTACCAACTATTCATAAAAAGTAGTCTCACTTATAATCTGACCACTTCCTTCTCTGACATCATATAATATATGTTATTTCAGGTGAGGCCAAACATGTGCCTTCAAAGCTGTCATTAATGGCCAGAGCAATGAGCTCCCAAGTAACTTACGAGTTTGAGACATTGAATGTGACTTCTCCTGAGGAATATGTCAAACATGTTGAGCTAAATCGCCCCAAAAAGATGAATGCCATGAACACAGCCTTTTGGACGTAAGTTTCTCGTGTATTTATTGTTACTAGGTCAAACAAAGATTAGATTCACTTTGATATATATATGGTCTCTTTTAAGCACAAGGGGGTTATACCAGAAAAATGCTGTTTTGAGAAAATCAAAGTTTTTGGACCCCTGTTCAGTTTCTGTAAAAGACAAGGAAAGTTTTCTCTTTTCTAAACAAATATACACACATATGAAACCAAACTTCTCCAATAGGTAGGGCAATGCCCACTTTTGGTGTAGGTCAAGATTCCTGGAAACCCCCGAAATCTGGGTTAGCCCGCTTGTCCTTAAAAGCGACCGTACTTCTCTTCAGTAATAACATTTTTCTCAAGAAGCCCACAAGCTGCACAGCGAGTGGAAATGAAGCTCTTAATAAATGCTTAAAATGTAGCAGACACTTCAGTGCCAGAATTGGTTTCATTTGCTATTGCAAAAGCCACATGTATGCCATCTCATTTTTTCTGCTTTACTACTTATGAAATATACTCACTATGCATGTGTATTGGTCATTGTTAATATGTTAAACATTGAAGGACAAACAATTATTATTATTACAATTATTATTGGTTATAAATTTCAAAAATTCTTTGTTTGGATAGACAAACCTGTGTACAGAGGCCATAGCGTGCTTAGCATCCATGTGTTATTTCTGTCAGGATAATTTTGTGGCCTTCTTACTTTTACAGTCTTTTACTTTTATTTACTTTTTTTTTTCTTTTAAGTTTTTCTGTTGTAAAATAAATCATTCCGTGTTTCAGCGAAATGATTGACTGCTTCAATAAACTAGCTGTGGACCCTGAGTGTCGAGTGGTTATCCTTTCTGGTGCCGGAAAGATGTTTACTGCAGGTTGGCTGGTTTTCATCGAAGAATTTAAAAAAATAGTTTTTACTTTTCGCCTCATGGATTACTTTAGTTTGTAACTAGAAGAATTGTTTAATTGTTTCTCATTAATTGTAATTTTTGTTTAGTAACTTTACTGTGTACTTATTGGTTCAAGAGGAGTAGCTTTTAGTCAAAATGTCTCAATTTATATTATATAATTGTGTAACAATTCAGTATTAGTCAGTGGCCCACTAGCAAGACTGATGTCTCAAACCAAATTAATGATTGGGCAAAGAGAAATGGAATCTAATGGTTGTGGACTTCGATTAAGCCACTCTGCCAGGCGAGTGATGGGAGAAGGGTGTGGTTTGGGAATAGCTGTTACCCCACCATGCGAGCCCAGAGTAATGCAGATGGTCAGGCTGGCTTGGTGTGAAATTGTCACATCGCTGCTTGTGTTCAAGTGGCGTGCCGGCACGGAAACTTTCCTGGGTAGCCAGATTTGTGAAGTTTGACCACTGACTGCTGCCAAAAAATAATTCCTCCGAATCGATGTTACATGCAGGGGAGGGATGGATGACATTTGTTGATTGTGCTTATTGCATCAATGGGTGGGCGGGGCTAAGAGTGGGAACAAAGGAAACGTTCTGTCTTTTCTGTTTTTAATAGGTCAAACAGTGGTCCTAATGAGGAGCAAAACTGGTGGCAATGGATTAGAAAGACTGATACATGTACATGCCATGATAAATTATCAGAGCAGCTAGGATAGCATTTGGGAGGTATGAAGTTTTGACGACTGCTTGCAAACTGGACAGACGACCTTTGGTCCCACAGCGCACAACTAGCCCCTTGGGGACCCCCCCCCCCCCCCCCCAAATAAAAAAAAAATCCCCTAAGATGGATTTTTTTTATTCTGGCTCCTTTACAATTTCGTCTTTGACAGGTTCCATAGTATCATAGATAACATTTCTTTCACTTAAATTCAGTATCTGTGCTTGATTTTTCTATACTGTTGAGAACAGCCGTGTGTTTGCTAAGACCTGTTCACTAATATTTGGGGAAAATTAATTAATTTTAGTGCAAAGATAGGTTTAACTGTTCACTTTGTTTTATTTCCAAATAACTAATTTCCTTGAAATTGAATGCATTTCAGGTCTAGATTTTAGTGACAACGAGTTTTTCAAAACACTCATGGAAGGTGATGAGGTCAGCAGAAAGGCCTTTATATTTCGTCGTGGTATACCAATGATGCAAGAATCATTCAGTGTTTTGGAAAGGGTGTGTCTTTTGTTGATTGTGATTTACTTGTTTTCTGTATATCGATTTTATTAAAGTTAATATTTTTGTAGAAGTTAAAGAAATGGGATATTAGGTGATTGCAAGACACCACTTGTCGATGGTGAAAGTTTGTGATCTGGCTATTCCATAGTCCCCAATTGAGTTCTCAGTTAATGGGATGGATTGTTGAATGAATGGTATGGTGTGCAAGGTGAACATTTTCATCATATGAAATTGCATCTTTTGCTCACACCATCTGGTGTTAGCTGTGACACTGGAACATTTCAGGTTTGCATCTTGCAAAATTTGCAAAAGTAGTATTTTCTAAAATATGTTCATATTTGGGAGTATAATTTTCAATTGCTCCACAGGCCTGGATTTTAACGATAATGAGGTGATGTTGATTCAGATGTCAGATTTGGATGTAAGCCGAAAAGCAGTTGCAGTGAAAGAAGGTTTACGTCACTTGCAGAACTCTTTTACGTCCATAGAAAGGGTGCGTCTTGCTTTCCTCTTATTCTCACTAAAGGGTGGTACAACTGTTCTGGGAAATCAGTCCATTATTTTTACATTCCTAGACTTATCCACCAACAATAGCAAACCCCCCCCCCCCCCTTTCCCCCAGATATGATTGTTCAGTGTGTTTCTGATCAGTGTAAAGTATCTGTAACCTTAAACAGATGATGTATTTTAAGTAAATACAGAGAAAATAAAGGCTGTCCCCTGTTTAAACTAAAGCTCTCTAAGCTATTAATAATGATGAATTCTGTTTGAACCAAGTCCCAAAGGAACCGAATTCATGCTTTTTAATATGGAAGCCATTTGAGGAGTAAGCCAACAGAGGTCTGACTTTTACAAATAGATAATCAGTTCAAAGCTGGTTTTTAGCTCTTATAAGGCAGTTTTTCATTTTTGTAGTGTACATTCTTTGCTGTTGAAGCGATATATATTTATTGCTGTACAGAGTACTGTGTTATATAACGTACTATTATTTCAATGTCCTTTCTTCTTGTTCTACTGAGGTGAAATCAGTTTCTTGATTTTTTTATTTACCGGTGTCTGTGGTATTATGATAGGCATTTCCTTGTCACACACAGGAGACGAGTTCGATTCCCAAGTGGGGAGAATTTTTATGATTATCTCAGTCTTTCTTCTGGGATGTTGTATCACTCTAGGCCAGGTTAGAAGCCTGCCTCCTAAATGATCTAAATTGTGTGGATGGGGGTGCAAAAACTCTGATGTTGAGTTAAACCTTACATGTTTCTGGGTGACAAGGATCAAATGTTGTTGCCATAACGACCTAAACTTCATGTAAAACAAAAAAATAGAAAAAATCCGCCATGTGGTCAGGGGAAAAAAGCCAATTTTCTGGGGGGTGCTATGAAAGCTAATTTAAGCACCAAAATGTTGTTTTTATAACGACATAACCTTCTTTTTAGTGTAACATACTTATTATTACCCAAATGGAAGGAAAAGCGTCTTAAAAAAATAGGGGTTTTTTTTACACAATCAAGAAGTGGTACAGAAGGTGTCGCATTCAACGAGAAGTCGGCTCCAATGAGGCAATCTTTAATCCTTGATTTTTTTCTCTGTATCTCTTTGTAAATGTACGTCAGCCCCAACGAGGTTGCAAACAGACCGAAGTCGTTTTCAACGAGGTCACGATTACCAAATAAAAGCAATTAGCGGCCCCAAAAGCAAAGAATTTTCTCTTTTCTCTCCATCTCAGGCGAAGCACAAGGTCCATCCTCGATTCCTAACATATTGTATTGCTAGATCTTGTGTGCCTCCTAATATGGGCCCCAAAGCCAAGTGGATGGGCAAGGGTTAGCCTACGGTAGGGATGGGAGGGGGTGGGTGGGAACGCTATGCGGGCTGTGTGAAACTGGATGGATAGGTCTAGATCGAGACCTTCATTTTTTTCAATTTTCTTTTCTTCCCCTGATGAGAAAATCCAAGCTCTCGCCTTTTCTTTATGTAGGTCTAGGCCCAGATGTGAGAGGGTATGTTTCCACACGAGAAATGTTCCAGAAACAAATATTTTAAAATGCAGAAATGACGGTCAGAACACAGCTCAAACTCGCGCACACTGATGCTGTTTGAGATTTTCGTAACCAGGAGAAACAACTGTTTAATTACTGGTATTGGTACATTGTGTAATACAATAACTTGCCTCCTTTCTTTTCTTTAGTCTTTGTCACGTTCATCGAGAAGTCGGATCCAACGAGGACAACAAGCCGGTCCCGGCAGCCTCGTTGAATGTGACACCCACTGTACCTTTCTTTTGATCACCAGTATAATAATATTGTTCTAATTTGTTCCATGCAAAATCTATAATGTTGTTGTGCTGAATTACCGTAAGTGTAACAAGTCAATTTACAATCATTTTCTTGTTTGTTTCCGTGCAGTGTAACAAACCAGTGATCACAGCCATGCATCAGGGTTGTATTGGTGCTGGTGTAGACATGTCAGCTGCTGCTGACATCCGTTACTGTACAGATGATGCTTGGTTTCAAATAAAGGTAAATCTGTACTGCCCAAAACTGAGTCGATAGGGCCATAAAGCACCTTCTCAAACAAACAAATAAAAGTAAATCAGTACATTTTTGACAGGGGCACAGTTCCTTGGTTACAGTTACCGATGATGCATATTTTTAGATTGAATGTGTACTGTTGTTTATACATATATCTTTTCCTCATGTTTTTTGTGTGGAATTTTTTTGGAAGGAGCAAGTACATCATTTATGTGATACAGTTGTTTCATTATTAAAAGCAGTTTAAAAGCAATGTATTGTTTAGTAAGATTTGTCTGCACGACTGTGAAAGTCCCAAACTTAAGATCTATTGGAATATTTTAAGTCAGCTGCATCAGTTTCACACAAACTTAGAAGAGGAGTGTTTTGTCATGAATATAAAAGTATTAATAATGCTAAGTACCAAGAATAGTACTTATATGTTATGTTCTCCTGCAGGTTTGATTTCAAATTTTCCCATTTCAGGGTGTTTAAGGGTGAGGTGAATTCTAGAAATATTCCTTCAGAAGTTAACTTGTTTTGAATGCCATTTTTCTGACATTTACCACAAGAACAAAAGTAAAACATTAGGCCATATTAAACGTGCTGTATGCCATTCACAGTGTACTTTTCTGCCTTGTGTGTCCCAAGATAGAGATTAACCTAAAGCGTTGTAAGTGATAAAATGACAGAAGGGTCCATATTGCAGTAAAGTATCAACTGCCTGTCCATTTTCCTTTCATTTCTTTTTTTCTGATTTCTTGAAAAATCAGGAAATTGAACTTGGATTAGCAGCAGATCTGGGCACCCTTCAAAGATTCCCCAAGATCATTGGCAATGACAGTCTGTGCAGAGAACTTGTGTACACAGCCAGGAAATTTACAGCAGAAGAAGCAAAGGATATGGGATTTGTCAGGTGAATGGAGTGTACTATTGTAGAACTTGTATTAAGACAATTACTTGTACCTACAGCCACTTCCCATTTCCTCCCTTGTGTATTTTTTACATCATAATGACATCTTGTAAGACAATCACCTGTCTAAGGCCGGTCCCAGAGAGGCTCTGTAGGTCTGGCCTGTAGCTCGCCTGGCGCGTACCGCGCAAATGAAAACAATACGTTACATGTGCTGGAGCAGCGTCGCTGTGTGGTCTGTCTGTTATCAGCGGAGCTGCGCGACGCGTCAGACATGCTATTCAACAGTATTCAGGGATGCCAAATCTCTGGTTTTTCCGTTTTTTTCATACACTTTAGCAATGCCAATCGGGCTTTCCCGCGAGGCGAAAATTTGGTCCCCGTTTACGGGCGATTTTGCGGACCCGGCCGAAGCGTAGGTGACTAACTTTGTCAACCTCGGTCTGCTCTATTTCCGAACCAATCCGAATGAAACTCGGCTACCAATCAGAAAATAGGGCAAACTAATGATATGTGGACGTTGAAGTTCGTACACATAAATTAACCTATACTTTTGGTGTCGGGAACACTTTCGTATCGTGTACACCGAAAACTATAAGTGACCTACAAATACCAGCATGACTATTCCGGGCCCGTTCATTGGTCACTTGAAATAGGGCAATGGCGGGCGCGCGCATCCGGTTGTTTTTCTCTCTATTCCCCTGTAACATCGCAATGGGGGTATTCCGAGGCCAGGTTATCTCGTCTCGGGGTGTTCGCGTCTCAACGGGGAAAAAGAATTTTTAATTGTACGGCATGCTAGATTGAATTAACTTATCTTTTACGGTTGGCATGGTCTAAAGTCATCATAAAAAGCTTTGCAATTATTTAGTCACGCTGCCGACATATATTCTTAAAGATCCCATGTTGTGATACGATGCTATAAATAAAATGGACTCATCCCGACACCCCTTTTTCGCAAAATCGTAATATGTACACCACAATTTTAATTATAACAAAATAACTACGAAATTGGTAGTAAATCTGACTGCAGAAATGATTTCTACACTCCAAAACACATCAGGTAGCCAAGTTTCTCTCGAACATTTGGATTAGTTACCGAGATATCATCGATTTTCTTACAGAATCTGCTACTTTTTAGGAGTATTTTCCTATATGTGGGTCATCCATATTTTGCCGACCTTTACAACCCCATAACTTTTTTATTTATGAACCGTTTCTCAAAATTCAAGAAGCATAATTATCAGAATTGAAAATTCTTTCTTAGGTACCAAAAAAAAGGGGGCAAAAGTGAAAATTTAAATTTTCATTGGCATTGCTATACACTTGCAAAGGAAAGGTGAATGGTAAGAGAAGTGTTTTTATTTGCTCATTTAAAGATTTTACAAGGTTCGTTTTAGGTGAGGTGTGATGCTCCGCTCATTTTCCTTTTTTTTCTCAAAAGTCATTTGGCATCCCTGAGTATTGTAAAACTCATCTAGCACGCAGCCTCACTTCGTGTTCATTATCGACCGAAATTCTTCACAGGTCATCAAAATCAGCAAGGAGTTAGTATTATTAGGTGCTTTACTAATTAGATGTTGACCACAAAATCCCAAGAAATGCTCTTTATCATACATTAAAATTTCCAATCGAAAGGTTAACCTAGTTTTGACTGTTTACATTCGTAGGCCTGTGTGCTTCTAGGCTAGAATCTAGAACTATAATCTAAATCTAGATTCATAGTTCCGGAAATGAGATGCAGAGGGATGTCCCTAGAAAGGCCTAGATTCTAGGTATAGATAATAATTTACATCTGATCTAGATCTAGATTTTTATAGTATTCACCTCAGAATCTATCTAGATCTAGACCAAGATCTATCTAAATATCTGGAGTGCAGTGTCCGTAGACAGATCTCGAAGCAGGGGCTAGGTAAGGATGAAAGAATATTGTATCATATGATGATGAGGAGATCGGAATTATGAAAGAAGGAAAACAGACCAAACGAGCGAGGAGACAGGATTGAAGCAGAGAGCGCATATACAACTCTCACAGGGTTCCCACTGGTCTTTAGAAAAGTCCTTAATTAAAGTCTGTAGTTTTTGTCAAAACAAAATTAAGGATGAAAAGTCATTAATTTCTAACACCAGGTTGTCACGTCACGTCCTTAAAGGTTCCTTTAATTTGGCAATATTTGTCAAAATAAGGTCATGGAAATTATAGATGATGTTACATCAACGCTGTTGCATGGCATGAACTTGACTGTAAAACACGGCACACCGTAGGCCTACATAGCAAGGCAGACACGTCAGTTGCCCAACACCAACCCACAGTGCGGCTGTGCTGACACGCAGCGAACGTTCCTCGCGCTCGCTCCGACACAGACGTACCAAGCCACTCTAGGACTGGCCTAAGACGGCCACTTTTCTCCTTGATGATGGGTGTCTGTGTTGAACAGTTGACCTTTATTTTGTCCCCTGTTAGGGAAACAACTTGGCCAATGTCTTTTGTTGCTGAGGGTATTGTTCTAAAAAGCTATTGCCTTTCTGACTTATTAAAGGATGAGCTACCACTTCTAAAAATAGGTCAACATTTTTTTAAAAATCTCTTTTGGAGGTTTGATCATGTGAGGCAGAGTTCTACCTTTGCTCATAAAGGCTTCTCTAATAATTTTACGCAACAGATTTTTTTTAACATGTAGGTGGCTTCTCAAAATTTTTGATAACTTTAGTATAAAAAGTTCTTGGCCCCCGAATTTTGGTATTCAGGCTCCAGTGTGAGTGTATTAGTATTAGAGCAAGTGTGGGATCGTTTTCTTCAATGTGACAGATAATTGGATACTGAGGAAAAGCAAGTTGGAGAAAGAAGATAACGTGGAAATGAAATAGAAATGAAAAGATAAATACCATATAATACAAAAACCAATAACCAATATGTAACTTGCCGGGGGGGGTTAATTGAAAAAGGCACATAGGCCTATTGCAGAAAACCTTGAGAAAGAAGATTCTGAGTCTAATCTCTATAGCCTTTGAGCAGCACTCTTAACATTACACAGAAGAGATGTGTATATATCTCAGTACATTGTAGACCTACACTATCAGAACAGTTTGTTGGCTCAGAAATTTATAAATGATTACTGTACAAAAGATGGAGGGCATTATATGTGTCACGACGCAGTGGAATCAGGCTCTCGTCAATTTTTTGGCAGATGGAGTTGTTGGTATCATCTTAAAGCTTGTTCATTTGTCTTGATTTATTTTGCTAAAAGAATTTCCCATCGATCTTCAAAGGAAGTCAGAATATTTCGGATTGAAGGAGGTAGGGGTCACCTGGTTTTAGAGGTAAAACTTGTGAGAAAATGGCTGCCAAAGTTTGGTGACTTCCAGAGCTTGAGTGTCCTTGAAAACTGCCAATTTGCATTTTATGTGCCTTTAATCAACATTTTCAGAAAAATCCACACTGGAATCTGTTTTTCAATAGACATTTACACTTTGCCACCACAAGGCTCATATAGTAAAAAAAACCTTGCCATCAAAGGCAACGGCATTTTGGGGAAAATCCAAAGATCCAGGGTGGTAAACATCGCCAATTAGCGAGATGTGACAGAAAAATGTTAAAGGTGCTAAGCAAAAAAACAAAAAATTGATTAAAATAGCCAAACCAGCGGAAAAATGCCAGTTTCTTCAATTTCATGATTTTGGCGAGTGCGTTATTTCACCACGATGCCTTACACATTGTGTGTTTTGATTTGTGGCGGCAAAAGGGTACTGTGGCAATCTCTTGAAATGCATTATTATGTAAATGATACTTTACTTTATCCGTCCTCTTGTACCTCTAGGGCGTCGAGGGGAGAAAGAGCTTCCTGCCTCTAGCAAGTTTGATGGCCTGGCTGGGTGGGATATTGTATGTTCTCAGGGTGTCGTTCACACCATGCAGGTCTTTCTTGGTCTTCCTCTTGCCTTGTACCCTGATACTTTCCTTTAGTAGGCTTTACTGGTGAGCTGGTTAGGTGCCATACGTGTGAGATGTCCAAACCACCTGATTGTTTGCCTTCAAATGTAGTGGAGGACAGGTGTTGTTCCCACCATTTCTCTGATCTTGTTGTTTCTGACCATGTCCCTTCTGGTTTTGCTGACGGCTCTCCTTAGACATCTCATCTCACAGGTGGTTATCTTACGTTCCAGACTTTTGGTCAGGGTCCATGTCTGGCACTGGTAGGTCAAAGTGGGGATGAAGAAAGAGTTAATGAGCTTGGTTTTGGTCTCAATGGGGTAAATGATATCAAATGCTTAAAACAAATTTGTTATGCACGGTCTGCAAGGATAACCATGGAATGTACTGATCAGCTGAAAGAAAAATTGTGTGAACTTGTGTGGGTTTTCAATATTAAATGATAGAAGACTACATATTATTTATTGCCCACTGTTAAAACATTTTTGGAACAACAGCCCTTATTCAATTCGTCCTTGAAAGTTATCACTGGCTTACTAATATCTTTAATCAGCTGCTTGATACCTGAGTTTGTTTGTTCCAAGAATTAAATTGTAAAAGATGGTGCCTTTCTATTACACTCTTAATAAATTTGAAACTAACAGTTGTCTGAACACTTAGCCAAATTCATACAGTATTTCTGATAGCTTCAATTTGTTTTTTTCTTTTAAAGTTGAATTGTTCTTGTTATAGTCTTCGGGGTAACAATAAAGGCAAATGCATTACTAACATCCCTGGTCTTTTTTAGTCTCCGGAATTGTGTAATTCTAACAGTTTTCTGACTTTGCAGTGTGGTTTGTTTTATTTTCAACCATATCTCTATTTTCTAAAATGCCTTTTTCAGTCGCATATTCCCTGACAAAGAAGCAATGATGGCAGCAACTGTAGAATTGGCTCAAACTATTGCTTCAAAAAGTCCTGTTGCCATCCAGGGGTCAAAGATCAACATGGTCTATTCAAGGGATCACTCAGTTCCAGAAGGCCTTGAATACATGGTGGGTTCTGTTTACTTTTTAGTGCTATGTCTCTTAAGAGCAGTGTTACGGTCTTATGTGGGTAGTTACAGGGTGCTCTTGTTTGATTTGCTCCTTCTTTCCTGTCAAACGTCTATTGTCCTAATCTGTCCTTTTTTGTGTGAGTTTGTAACTTTTGTAACACTGCTAATCTTAGGCACATATATCATCTAACTGTGTTACAAATGGACATCTGCGTACAGTCCCGTAATACCATGCCTTAGCGCAAAGGACGTATGGTCCCCTAGCGCCAAACACTATGGGGGCGTACGGTCCCCTAGTGCCAAGCGCTATTGGGGCGTACGGTCCCCTAACAATAGCCATTTCTATTTCTCTGTCTATAACCCGTTTCCAGAAAAAGTGCTACCTAAATAATTAAACTCCTTCACCTGTTGTTTACTATTGACCTGGATGTTCAGGGGACTATGGTTTGGGCTCACTTTCATAACTTCTGTTGTTGATGTGCTTATTTTCGTGTCAAATTTCCCACAGCTGTTGTTCAGTTTGGTAGTATGATTTTGGAGGCTTTGTTGATTTGAATGAATAAGACATTGATGGTCTGCAAACAGAAGTTCATTTAGAATTTCCAGGCTTTGATTTGCTTCTTACATTATTGTGTCCATATGGATATTATATAAAGGAGGGAAGATAAAACACATCCCTGTCACACACTAGACCTTACTTTGAACCAGTCTGCATTGCCTTCCTTTGTTCTTTCTAAGCTACTGCTGTTGGTTTATACAGCAAGTATTTTCAATAAAAAAGGTTCATGATTTCATTCATAATATATTCGTTCACAAACGGGGATTATGTGTTCCAGTGAGCGGATGGGTCTGTTTATTATATTTTTCCCTTTTATTTCCCTTTTCTTCCTCAGGCCACCTATAATAGTGCCATGCTCCAATCTGAGGACACAATGAAAGCTGTCATGGGTTTGATGACAAAGGAAACGCCTGTCTTTGCCAAACTATGATTTGGATTTTTTATAATGATTTGACTTTTTTTTCAATCAATTCTGATTTTGTGGTAGAATAATGACTGCTTTGGAAATGTTTTGGTGTAAGCTATATGTTAAAATAAGAAGTCTGTTGCTGAAGATAAAACACACCATTGAGATTACGCTTTTTCCAGAGCTTTGGGGAATATTGTCACTTTCGATCTTCTGAGGGTGAGGAAATCTGTTCATTAAATTTATTTGAGACAGCTGTATGGCAGAAGCTAAAGCACTCTTTATTAGTGCGTTGTTGGGTTTTTTTGTATTGCATTTTTTTTTTCAAATTTGCTGCAGACCATGTCACTCTATGAGAATACTTGTATGTTACCATAGTAAGAAAGTGAAACTTGAAGAATGAGATTCTAGATACACAAGTATTATTGTGAATTACAGTAGGGTCCCTGCTTAGAGAAGGAGGTGATTTTTTTATGTTTGTATAAATCGTTTTTAAACAATTTTTTTCTTGACAGAGGAAAATTAATCCCGGTATCTGATTGAAAAAAAAAATAATGATTGGGTTACAGTGGAACTTGGATTCAACGAGCTCGGATTCAACGAGATGAGATTGATTCCCCGGTTTTTTTTCTTCTTTAAAATCAATAAAAATAACCCAGATTCAACAAGCACTTAAATCAGCGAGCTCAGATTCAACGAGTTCGCTTCCAAGGTGAACAACCTCCGCAGACGTGGCTTCGCTCATTTTTCTTCCAGAACGAACTTTATCTATTCCCTGAAACCATCCATTGCACCTGCATCATGAACCATCATTTACCTAGCCGATTGCATGCGACAAATCAGCAGCCTTTTTTCATACCAACACATGCATTGTTGACACACGCACGTGTCTACTCTGGCGTGTGTCGGGGTCGGATGGGCAGCCTGCACACGTGTGGCTGTGTGTGCATGTCGGGGGGGGGAGGGGGCACTAGCGGTCCGTACGTTGAACGTCGCAGATACAAACGCGTCAGTCTTTTTTTCCCTCTCGGCAACTGATCACTAATACAATGATAAGCTTGTCTTGACGTAGATCTACATAATGAATTGTGCGCTGGTGTATGGAATCAAAAGTTGCTGTACGCTAGGCTCTATACAGCAACACAACTTTTTGGTAAACAATCGAGATAACTCAGGCGTATGCATTTGAACGAATCGGGTCCTTTTTTACACTGCTCATAATATGCAGACATTTCATGCACTGCTTGTGACTTCTCTTTATACATTACTTGCTCAGTGCCTGTAATTATCTACTCAAAACCTCGTGTTTGCTATAACGAACACTCGGATTCAACGAGATTTTAGGTCAGTCCCGGCAACCTCGTTGAATCCAAGTTCCACTGTATCATAATGTGAATATTGCATGAAAATAAAATCAACTGATATTTGAACATGTACTTGATATAAAGTTTCAAGAAGCTGTACATACTACAAGTGTGAAAGTATGTATCTATTCTGTGTGAGTTCTGTTCAGTTGCACTGATTATGCACACTTTTTTGTTTGCTTATTTAATGAATGGGTCAGGCTGTTGATTTTGGAATGAATGAGAACCATGTCTTGGTCGATAATCCAGTACATGATAAATTGTCTGTCAATTCAGATCAAATAAAGAATGTCGTCAACAGGCTATGATAATGGCTCACTGCTTATGTCAAACGTTAACTTTTTCCTTTTACTTTTTCCTTCCTCTGGTTTTCTTAGGATGTCGATGGGAGGTGCAGGTTTCAGTCCTGTGCTAGGTGTGTAGCGTCTGTGATAGATATTTTATGTTGTTCCAGGACCTTTTTAACCCCATCCAGCCAAGTCTTTCTTGGTCTCCCTCTTGATTTGAAGCTGGATTCTCGGGTGTTGTAAGCTCTAGCCGCTAGTTGTTTCTGGGGCATTCTGGTTAGATGTCGAAACCGTTTGACTCTTTGACACTCTATGAATTTTATTACTTGTGGTATTCCGGTTTGTAGACCTATGGTTTCGTTTCTTATGCGGTCTCTTCTGGTGACGTTGGTGGTTTTGCGGAGACACATCATTTCGCTTTCATTGATTTTTTTTTCTTGTACCTTGTTTAGAGACCGTGTTTGGCACTAGTTTGTTAATGTTGGTATGAAGATGCTATTGATCAGCTGGGATTTCACTTCAGTTGGGATGTTCTTGTGACTGAGCAGGGGTGCTAGCTGGTAGGTCACTGCATTTGCCTTCGTAGTTCTTGTTTCTATAATTTCTTTGTCCATATGTCCATCTTATGTGTCAGACGTTAAATAAGTTAATAAATTGGAACTGACCTACCTTGTTCTTGGAACGGACCCTCCTTGACATATTTTCTTGGAACGGGCCCACCTTGACACATTATTTTCTTGGAAGGACCCACTTTGACATATTTATTGACCAATGGCTTAGAACCATGTAATGAAGCTAGATCTTCAAAACTTCATGCCAGTTAATTTACAAGAATAAGAAAGAAATCACCATGAACTAAGTCGTGAAAAGAAATGAAATCATTAAGTGGTTGTTGTTTGTTGGGTTGTTGTTTTTTTTTGGGGGGGGGGGGGGGGGGTTCAAATCAATCAGACTTATCAGGCCATTATCGTAGCATGTTGACTGTCTCTGAATTCATCCTATTTATTTGCCTTTGTTTGTATGGAGCAGGGGTTTTTTTGTCTTGTGCAAAGTGTTTGTTTGTTGGTAATCTTCTCTTTGAGTTTGATTTTTACTGCAGGCACAGGCCCTATCTTTTGTCACTTTAAAATGATAACGTACTTTCTGCCTGAAGGAAAGTATGCTGTGGGTAGTTGATGGGTGCTCTGGTGTGGTTTGCCACTTCTTTCCTATCAAACATCTATCGTCCTGTCTCTCCTCCTGCTATTTGTGCTTGTTACTCTCTTGGTAAAACCTCAAATGTCGATGGTTGGAGGGTGCTCTGGTGTGGTTTGCTCCTTCTTTCCTATCAAACATCTATCGTCTTTATCTCCCCTCCTTCTGTTTTTTGTTTGTTACCCCCTTGTAACACGTCTAATCTGCGGCACTTATATGACCTTATTGTGTTGCAAGTGCCGTAAAACTCTTACCAAAATAAAACAAACAAAAAATCCCACCTCAAATATTCAGCACTTTTGACCTTATTGTGTTGCAAGTACTGTAAAACTCTTACTACTGAATCTTATTTAATCTGTACAAATTCCCTCTTTTGACACATATGACATATTCTATACCTTGTATTTTCCTCAACTAAATGCATGGTCCCTTCTTCTGAATTCACATAGTTCACTCTGCAAAACACCAGCACCTATGGTGAAGCAGTTAGGCACTTCGCTGTCATACATAGGAGACCCAAGTTTGATTCCTGAGTGCGGTGTATTTTATCAAGTATCTTGGTCTTTCTGCTGGGATGTTGTATCTGATCTATCTCAGCCTGGGTTGGCCCTGACAGACAGGGTCGGAAGCCCATCTCCTAAATGATCTTAATTATATTGCCAGAGGAGTGAAAATACCTTTTTTAAAATAAAAAAACTGCCAAACCAGTCTGAGTCAAACTCAATGGCTGAGGCTGGACGGAGTAAAAACTTCACTTAACCCTGAACTGCTAAAAATAGGCTTCACGAACCTGCTTGCAGAACCTTTTCTTCACCATTTTTGTTCTCTCAACCCTTCTTACCCACATTTACAAACACACACCCATGCATGCACACACACACACATGCATGCACACACACACACACACACACACACACACACGCATGCACACACTTATATTTAGGCATCTTCACACAAATACATGCACCCGGTACTTGAAGTACACACTCCACCCTGGAATGAAATGGACAGATTGTGCAACATCGTTTTTCTTTTGACCATCGCTTCCCAAAGATGTTTGAAATACCCAGTGTGTTGATTGTTGATCTCTGCCAAAGGTCTCTGCTGACCAGTAAATGTACGAGAAAAGAAATTTCATTTGGTCAGTCAGTGGGCACCTCATTAGCTCAGCTGGTATTATGCTAGGCTACGGAAAGGAATGGCCTTGGTTCAAATCCCAGACTGGGCGTTCTTGACCTTGAGTTGTTGTGTGGAGTTTTCAAGGCTTTCAACCCATTTGGCTCCATCCTTTCAGAGACGGACGGACGATTCGGAGGACCTGCCTCTTAAATAACATAATAATTGTTGATAGGAGCGGTAAACCCATAACTCACTTTATACTTTAGTCAGTATTATTTTGCTTGATACCTATTTTCAGTGACTTTTGTTTTAGCAAACTACGACTGATGATTAGCTGCTTAAAACTTTTATCATATATGCAATTGGTAGATTTTATTCTAACAGCTTTTCAAGCAGACCTGAGAACTGTCAAATGAATACGGTTGAAACTTTAAGTTTACGATTGCCACCCATTGTCTCAGACTAAGAGAAACGTGACCATCCTAGACAAAACTGATCAAAATGAAGAAAACAAACCATTCTCTTCTAAATCTAAGGGCCTGTCCCCGTGGTTTTATGCACCCCACATAATTTAGCAAAGTTTGATCATTTTTTGCTTAATTTCTGATTATTTTCCTTTATCATTCTTTGTTAAAATTAGAATTAACAGAATCGCATAATTTCACATTTTTTCTTGCCTAAAACGACGGGGACAGAAGGGCCCAACAGGTCGAGGCCGTCGCAGTTTCAGGACTGCTGTAATTATGCCTTTTATTTGATTTTTTTTTTTTTTTTTTTTTTTTTTAATGTTTAAATTTTTTGGTAATGCAGAAATGGAGGTTTTGTGGCAGCTGTAAGTTGTAAGTTCAATTCTACAGAACTTATCTAGCATCTGCGTTTGTCGCGGCCGCGATTTTTGGCATTTTTTGGTCCGCGAATCGCTGCCGCAATTTTTGCATTTTTCAAAAAAGACAAAACAACAAAGCTACTTCATAACATATTAGACACGTATTTTGATACGTTTTAAGACATCCATGTGTATCTATTTTCATGCGGAGAATATAAGTACATCACATTACATACTTTATGTATTTATATATATATTGCTGTCTTGTATTTTTCCTTCTTTGTTGTGTTTTAATTTGTTGGTTAGCTAATTTTTCTAAAAATGTTCTGAGGATTTGTTTTTCTTTTTTTGTGTTTCTACAGCGTGATGTCATTTAATTTGATGCTGTTCCTACCCTTTTAGAAATATAAATGTGTTATGTTAGAGTAGAGCCTGTCTCCACCAAAACCGAATACTGACACTGGCACGCCCCAATTATGTGTAATTCCACAATTTACTTGTAATATCCTGTAGGCCTACTTTTTCTTGAAATACATACGTTTAGGGTTAAAACAGCCAATCTTCGGATAGATGGACACGCGCCCTAATTTGTTAATTTTTGTGGTTATTTTTCCGTGCTATTTTAATTTTGATTTCATTCTGTTTTGAAACCTTTATTTTTCACGTTTTTACACTCTGGGTGGCGACAAATGATATTCTGGATGCTTAAAACAGAGCACAAGAAATTATGGTGCTATTAATTGTTACCTCTATCAACATAATATATTTCTACGTCGTCACAGAGAGTTGAAAGCTTGAAAATTAATGGCAACATTTTTTGGCAACTTTTAGACAAAAAATGGCAACAAACGCAGATGCTAGACTTATAAGGTACCAGATGAGGAAAACTGTGTGGTGAGGGGTAAAACAAAGGAAATGTGTTCAGGGAAGACAGGCTGCTTCAGGAAGTTCATCATGTTGACGACCATTAATCACTGACTGGGTAAAAAGAGCGACTGCTGATTGCACTTTTCGTGAATGGTTAGAGTTGTGGGAGAAGCTGAAGGATTATCAGTTCACACGCTTCCCTCACCAGCAGCTGGAAATGTACTACACTTACTGACATCAACTTTTGTGGGCGGAGCTAAAGAATTATATTATGACAGTTCACACACTTCCCTCACCACCAGCTGAAAATTTGTTACCAACTGACATCAACGTGGGTTTACCGTGGGAAGGAATACTACGCAACATGATCAGTTCATTCATTGGAGGGACTACATGTAACAATAACGACAGAAGAATGGATTATGACGGTACGTCCACGCGTCTGGGGCCAATACATTATGGCAACGCATCGGGCGATGAGAGATTCGTGAGGCCTCGCTGGGGCAGATTTAGGGGGCTCATATTTGCGGAAAGTCCGGGTTCGAGCCTTGGTTAAGACACGGATTCCCCCCGGGGCGGTGCCACTGACTGAAGTGTCTTTAGGCCATTCCCAAAGGGGGGGACATATCTCGTTCAAGCATAGTAGAATTGTAAATGGGCTGACTCATATCACGTTCATAACTGTATGTGCCTGATCTACAACAGGGAACTGCTGCTTTTTCTTTCCTGGTCCTTACTATTGTCATTTTCCTCTACTTCTTTTGTATGTTTGTCACTCCCTTGTGACCTGCTGCTATTTTGGGGTGCCTTGATAGTCGAAGCAGACCTTGTGCTGTTGAAGCTAGAGAGGTGAGAAGTCTAAGTCTGATTCCCTGTAAAGACTTCTCTGTTGACACCCACCCCTTGGCGCTCATATATGACCTTATGCAGTTGCGAGCGCCGTAGAACCCTCTACTATAAAAAAAATATATATATATAATCATTTTAAAAGACACGGATTTTTTTCGCCCCCTCCTGCACAGCCAGCAGTAATGGGCACCTGACTTCGAGTTGGAGAAGTAAATAGGCGGCGTGGAAAAGAACTGGCCACCCTACCACAATATGCCGAAGGCCCAGGAAGTTGTCTCACTAACAAGGCTCTCTCCAATGACTAGATCAGATGCGGGAACAACTTTACTTTTTACTTTATTTGCTGATAGTAGAATAATTATGAGCCCTTCCTAAAACCTCAGCACGGAAAAGGGGACAACAGCCTCAAACGGCGTTTCACAAGCTTTTATTGTGTATCTTGAGAAATCAACACTGACCAGAAAACTGAAACTTTCCTTAAAATTTTTAAAAATTGATTTCATCAGTATTTGTCAATCTTATGACATAACGTTCACGACATGTCTTACTCACATTCAGTGTGCTTTTAGGGTACAGATTTAAACACTTACTGTTCACTTTTCAAAATTGCAACATTCAAGAAGTAGACATACATGTATATATCATGTAACTAACAAACACACACACACACACACACACACACACACACACACACACACACACACAAACACACACACAAACACATACCTACATACATTTTTAAAACAAATTTGGTAAGCGTTTTACGGCGCTCGCAACTGCATACCCATGAGTTATGAGCTTGCGGGAAACATTAAAACTTTTCAGTCGGTAACAAATTTTGAATTTTGCCCGGGTGGCGGCCGAGGCCTACTCTTATCGATTTTAGACCACCAAGGGATCTTTAACGTGCGCAACTTGCACACGGGCCCTCCGAGATTGTTCACCCTTGTCCGAGAAGGCTAGGTGTACATCTTTCCTATCAGAACATCAGGAGCCAAGGAGGAGCAGTAGAAAGATGAAGAAAGAGTCAGGAGCCCAGCGAGGAGGGGACAAAGGAGGTGATTATGAGAGGGTGGAGACGAAAGTAGACGACAGAACATTGCTAGGGAGCAGGAAAGGAGGTGAAAGGAGACAATTTTGAGAAGAACATTTTTCGGTCGCTACCTGGATTCGAACCCAGGACCTTTGAATGAGAGGCCACCACCGTAAACCTCTAGGCCACGAGAGCCCCCATACATAAATATCATATAGTATATCAAATATATATATATATTACGGACGCTGATTCCGAAAGGGAAATCCGTTTTTAGCCGCAATAATTATCTTAGACATTTTACACACAACGTTTAGCCTCTTCAAAATCTGACCCACTTTGTTAAAAAAGTTAAAGCTTTGGCAACAGCCAGTCGTGCCCAGCATTGCACACAAGTGATTTTTAAAAATACAAAACATAGGCCTAGTGTCTGTATACATCTGACATCTAAAACGAGCAAAAAGACATGAGCTTTCAAAATGGGGCACAAACTTATGAAAACACCGGTTATAAGACAGGGGAAGCTACTCTGGATAACTAATTATTCTACTTTCTATTTCATTTGTGATGTAGTGTTTATAAATAAAAATATCAAAGTCCATCCTTTTTCACCCCTTCATTCATCCTTTACATTGCAGGCAGTAGCAACCGACAGAATGTTCAGTCGGACCTTGAACCAAACCCACCAACTATCAAAGTCACTTGGAACCTTCGTTGCCGGTAAATTATATCCTCTGGCCTCTTCTGTTTTTCTTGCTTTTACTTTTATTTTTAGTGAAGTGATTAAAACTGTGATTTATTAATTCAGCAGAGGGAGCTTCCCGTTTGTTTGCAGAAGAATGATAAAAAACAGAAGTGATTGCTAAGGACAAAAGTGGCCATGTAGACTAAGAGAACCCTACCACATTACAGTAATATTTTTCTGCCTTTTTTGTGTTAAAAATTTACACAGTGGCTATTTTTACGGGGCCACCTCTATTCTCACCCGGAGTGAGAATAGTGCAGGCGAGTCTTGTGGCTATTCTCACCCGGTGCGCGTTCACCAAATTTTGCGTTCACCCTAAACCACAGAATTCTACACTGTGATAACAGAAAAATTGTAGAGTTCTGTGCCGTGAACAAACGTTCCATTACAATTATTGTAGCCTACTAAAACTAAAAGCGTACAATTTTGTCTGTGGGCAGTGGAGAGAGAAAGAGAGAGAGGAGTAGCGCGAGAATTTCCGGGCAAAACAAAATGGCGACCCGCGTAGTTCGGCTCGATTCGAAAAGTTAAATAGCCGTAGCATCTTTGTAGACAACCAAATTTATTTACTTTTGTGTTTTAACATAATTTTTAAACTTTGTTTTGGTCAATTTGATCGTCCACACCGATAGACAGTATTCAGAAAGAGACGGAGAGAGAGAGAAGAGGGGAGGAGTTGATCTTGCGAGAACTTCCGGGCGGGTGAGAATAGCCACTTTCTTTTACGGCGAGCCGTAAAGATAGCCTCCACTCCGTCCAGGGCTATTTTTACGGCGGTCACAAACTGATGACGTGGAACACGTTTTTCAGTCATATAAATTCCGTCTTGGCTTGTAGGCCTAGTAGGCTACTACCTTATTTGTAAATTATTTTATACTACCTTTTACTAAATGACTAAACTAATGTTGTAGCATACTTTGAGCTGGTTAAAACCGAGAGTAGGGCACTATTAAATGTCCTCTATTATAGTATTATCATAATTTTTATAGTCTTTATTCTGGACTTAAACAATTCAATGTTTTTATGTTCTTTACTTGGACCTTGTTGTTGTGGGATTCTTTCAAATAATAAAATAGATCGCATTTTAAATTTTTTAAGTTTTTGTGTTTTGTTTTCTGATGTGCTCATATTATTACTGTCCATTTTTACGGGGAACAGCTCACCCTGAGGGTGATTCTTTTTCCCGATTCATATTTAGGAAAAAAAATTATACGGGCATAAGAAATAATGAAGACAGTAAATTTTAATAAATTTGAAAATATGAAAGTTGCCATGGGATGGAAACAGCACCAACATGCAAAACAAACAATAATTTTAAAAAACCGAAGACTTCTTACTCTCTAACAAAATTGCATGAAAGTTGGTGGAATGGTAGATCTAGATCTAGATAAAGATGCTATGGTCAAAGGTACTGAGCAAAATTTTGATATTTGAATGTAAAAAAAAATATATATATATATGTTCCTGTACCCTGAAATTGTATCACAATAATTAATAAATTAATCATTGTGAACAACAACAAAATTTTTTACACCTCTATCAAAAATCTACTCAGTGCAAAGGAAGGAGGAACATTTTAAAGGCATTCCCAAGGCAAAAAGTGTTAACTCCGAAATGGCCGCCCTTCTTGTGGGTGTGGTACATGTAGTGATGTCAGTGAATGATGATGATGCTGGCAGTGGCAATGATGATGGTAAAATAATGACGAGGAGGTGATGGTGGTGGTGATGATAAAGAGAGGGTGAATGATGATGGTGGGGAGAAGAAGGAAGAGGTGGTGGTGGAGGAAGGGAGAAGGAAGAAGAAGAAGAGAATAGAATGATGGTGAAGAGGAGGAAATGGAAAACCTATGGGGCTGTTCAAATATAATCTTTCACTTTTGGGGACTTTCTTTTTAAACACAAAACCCAAATACCACTTTTCTCACTTTTGCCTCCAACCCCCACCCACACCAATTTAATATTAGTACTTTTATTTCCGATCTTCAACTTCCATTATTATTTTAAAGATACCTGTACTAGATCTATACGTCGCCTTTTTTTACCAGCTTGTAAAAAAAATATTTCAGTTAATACAATTTAATCGAACCATATGAACTAGAAAGAACGCATATATGTGGAAGACATTGAGACTCTTGTCAATGCAATAGGTACGTGCCTTACATTTATAAAAGACATTAAAAGATCAACAAAACAGTTGCAAAGTTACAAAGAAGCTTTAAGAAATTTGGTATCCACCTACAGAATTTTCATCATAATTTCAAAATTATTTGTAACCCCCCCCCCCCCCCCCACCCCCCCTCTAAAAAAAAACAACAAAAAAACAAACAACAACGGGGATCTGCTGTGATCATGTAGATCTGGGTCTTGTTACTGGCATTTATCCACTTTTTCTTTTACCTTTTCTTCCCAGTCAGGAGCAAAAATCGTTCATCTCACAGAAGTGTCATATTTGGTTAACCTCCCCACCCAATCTTACACTTTTCTTACAGAAGCCAAAGACACCCTTTCCCCTCTGAGGTGTAAGTTTATATTTTGAAGGGCCCCTAAAGGCCTTGATCTAATACATTGAGGCATGTCGCGTACATGAGAGGCGGAGTAGGGTTGCTTTTCGAGGATCGCCGTAAAAATAGCCTGGGACTCACTGGAGGCTATCTTTATGGCCAGCCGTAAAAATAGCCACTGCGAAAATTTATTTTGGCCGGATTGAACTTTAGTAGACCCACTGTGTTTAGCCACATGCCGTTAAACATAGAAGACGCATCTTTCTGATTGGCAGCTAATTTTAATAATGTGATATAATCACTTCCTGGGATACCCACAGACTATTTTAAGAAGGCCGTGGAGGTACCGCATGGAATGACGGGTTTTCGGCAACATTTCGGATTTCCTAGATCTAGATCTTAATCTAGTACTTGGACATGATGGAAGATTGCTTAGATCTAGACTAGATCTAGATCGTTGAAGCTCAGAACAGTAAGATTAAGAACGCTGATGCTTGAAATTGAAACACGGTAAACGCAAAGACAATAAACCGCGCGAAAATTGCCGTAAAGACGCTGGAGGATTAGATCTAGCTCTACCCCCCTCTCCCCTCCTGCATTCTTCATCACTAATATTTATAATACTTTTTTTTTTTAAACTACAAAGCCACAAATTATAATTTATTGGACAAACTGTTGGTCAGCCGGGAGGAGAAGAGAAAAAAAAAGCTGTCGGGGACCGGGATCGAACTGCTCATAAAATCATTGCATGACTGCAAACGCAGACGCGCTGTCTAATTCGGCCATCAAAACTTTCGACAGCGAGTGGTAAATTAAGCTTGATATACATAGACACTTCCATCTTTGGTGCCATGCGGTTGGCTATACTTAGATGTAGTCACATGATCGGAGGGGTATCCTGATCTGACGTCAAACAAGATGGGCGCCTTACCTAAAAATAGTTTACGTCATTCTACGTTTAATGGCATTCTGTTTTGCCTACTAGACTAATGCGCACTAGCCATAACAGTGACTCAGTCAGTGGGGGGTTTCAGGGGGGGCTTGCCCCCCTGTTAGTGTGTGTGTGTGGGGGGGAGGGGGGGGGGTTCAGAAGGGGGCGAGACCCCTGGCAAAAATAATAATTTAAAAAGCCCACACAAGAATCTTCACGTTTAGCCTACATGGCAAATTATAATCAGTAGGCCTCTATATATAGATCTCTATCAGTTTCCAAATGGCTGCCAATGGAACAGGAAGGCTATTTCCAAAGAGCGCCTAATATATATAGATATATAGATTCTTCTTACACTTAGGCGGCTAGGTAACTTACAGTACAACAAGCGGAGAGCTAGAGAACGACAACTAAACACCATTGGCTGATATTTATAGTAACAGCCATCTTGTTTGACCTCGTAAGGGGGATGGCCGCCGCGTCATCTGATCATGATTCTAAAAATAGTGATGATTTTGCACAACGCGCGATTTGCACTGGCAGTTTCAAAGCTTCCCTCTTTGAATCTTTCCTATTTAGTGGTTCCCCCTAGTAGTATACTGATTTTGTACCTCACAGTATCTATTTGCACACCTTGCAGTCTCGAATTAGATCTAGATCTACTCCATTTGCAGCTCAGCGTCCTTTTGAAAACTCTTGTTGTTAGTGCTTAATTTCTTGTTCTTACAAAACTTTAACAGAAACGGTCGAGCATTTGCACTGCGTCGTTGATTGAACTTTGTTTGAACTTGCTTTCGTACATAGGCCTACTCTTACTCTTCTTCTTCTTCTCAGTTTACGTAGTGCACAGCATCAGAACCAATCTGGGCGGAAGAAGGGTGATGCACAATCACAGACAACTGAACCGAACAGTTCTGGAAGTTGCAAAGAAAATAATCCTGCAGGCTGCTGTCGTGCAGTCATGTTGCCACCATTACTGACAAAGTGGGAATCCCTCAATGGCGTCAAACAAGATGGCTGTTTCTATAAATATGGGCCAAGTTGTTGTTTTCTAGCTATAATCCGCTTGTAACAGTACAGTGGGCTTCAGTGTCTTACTCTCTTGTACTAACTTCTAAGTCGTAAATCTAGATCTAGTAGTAGACACCTACAAACTAATGAATTATAATAGTGACATGTCATAGTCATCATACTCATACACTGGCTGGGGTGTATCACATCATCATCAGTCATACTCATCATAGATAAAAGTCTCATAGTCAAAGAAAAATGGTGCCAGGCCAGACCAGGGCAGTCAGGCCTTGTGTAGTACCGGACGTTGTCTTGTCTTTAGCCTCTGCTCTGACTGTGACTCTCGCACACTAACCACTGGCACTGACGACGCAGAATGTGACAATCTAATTATTTTAAAGAATGTTCCAATTTAAACAGTCAACAGTAGATTCCTTCTCTAAGACTAGGAGGACTAGGACTCTTGGACTGCAGCACTGCAATGTTTTAAAAACATTTTTTTGCATACCCACTTCCCTGCATAGTCAGCTGATCAATGAAGTAGGAATCATTGAGTAGAGAAATGAGTGGTAAACCTTGATTGCAGATGTCTGTTTCAGATCTTGCACTTCGAGAAAAGAAGAATTATGTATCTGGAATAGGAGGGAAAAGCCTTTCTCATGCAAAGTATATTTTTGTTTTATTCCAGGCGAAGTCAAGGGTGTACCTTCCAAGAAGTCCTTGGTTGCCAGAACCATGAGTTCTCAAGCAACATACGAGTTTGAGACCTTGAAAGTAACTTCCCCAGAAGAATATGTGAAACATGTAGAGCTAAATCGTCCAAAAAAATTGAATGCCATGAATACTGCATTTTGGAAGTAAGTTTATTAGCGATGATTTTCTAAAACTGACTTTGACTTCCTTTGTTCCCAAAATACAGTAGTCTCCGCCTAAGGTCCCGGTGCTTGGGAGCAAAGAAAATACAGGATCTTTGGCGGACCGGGATCTTAACCAAATGGCCAGGGGGAAGAATCCACAGCAACTCATGGTCAGGCCCATAATCCGTACAATGATCTTCCCTTACTTTAAAATGAACTGACGTGACTCCTGGACACTCAAAGTTCTTTTCAGAAGTCAGTTTTTCCTTTTTATTTGCTTGGGGACAGGGGGGTGGGGCTTGTCAAAAAATGTATTGCTTTCAATCTCTAACAGAGTTCCCTGCCCATGTCATGATGCATCATAAATCATTGTGTTGTGACCACACCGATCAAATTTTTAAAAAATGAAAGGCAGGTTCACTGCCAACAGAAGACCCCATTACGCAGAGGTGATCGGACAGTCCACGAGTATGGGCACCAGTCTGTCTAGGAAGTAAGAGCGCAAAACTGAAAGACGAAAGCGTTGGTCGGGAGAACGTAAGTGTCCACGAGTTCACAGTTTGATGGAATGCAGTCTGGATCTTAAGTGGAGACTACTGTACCATACATATATGGAGCCTTCAATTATGTGTCACTAACTACTCTAGAAGGCACTCTCAATCATAAAATGTATTGTTCTTTGTTTATTTATTGTGTGGAAACATTTTTTATTGTTAATAATTTTATTGTTCTAGTCTATCACAGTCTCACTCTACAGATTTGGTATTTGTTAAGAAGATACAACTCAGCCTCACAGACATCACTGTATGCTGATATCACCATGTGCTGATTTTTATACATACTGATTTTTTCCATATCAACCGTGTTTTTCTCTAACCGTGTAACTGGAAAAATTGAGTCAACGCGGATTTGTTGTTTTAACGGGTCAGAAGCCATTTTCGCATATTTTCTATTCATATGGGAGGTCATCATACACAATAAACAGCACAAACGATCATGTTTTCTAAAAGCGCCTCGACAAATGTACAGCCTCCCTCTCTCACTATCCATGTAACTGGAAACATGCTGAAGTTCACATCGGAGCACCATATTTCGTCTTTTTATGCCACAATTTGTGCATAAAAGGTAAGATTTTTGTTGATTTCATAAAGATACGTTATTTCATATGCATACAAATCATGATCTGTTCGGGAATTCATATATTAATGTACTTTATAGGCCTTTTTCAGCCAGACATAGTCAGTTACACGAATAGAATGTAACGGTTTGTTGAGACGAAAGGTGCCACTTGACGCCCTCACCAAATGAAGGTATTGGAGTAGAGGGCATGAGAAGGGAAGACATTGATGTAACCGTAGAAATGGAGACCATACACCAAGAGCACGGAACAAACGGGAAGCAAAAAGCCAGTGGAAACACATGTACAAAAGAAGTCAATAAGAAAGGAAGAAAAAGGTCAGGAATATCTGGAAAGAAAGTGCACGTCAAAGGTTACATTTTGTCATGGAGGAGAAACCAGCCAGAATTCTCGTTGATCGCCGCGGCTGCAAAACTTCCTTAACCTATTGCAACACAATGACAGATGAGGACCGAAAGTAAATGTTTGACAAAGTGTGGAAAAGGAATTGGGCTTAGAAACAACATTTTGTGTCAGCAACGACACACGGGAAAGACGTCTCCAAATGTACTACACAAGATTTGGTCCTCAACATCAAGAGAATCAGCGTCGTGTGTGCACCACTATCTGACACGAGATAAAACTTTCAACAAATGTATTCTATGGACTGGTGGTTGCAACTATCAAAATTGAAATGTTATCTTGAGTAAAGCACTGACTCATGTTTCTCAACAGCACGGCAAAATAATTGAACAGAAAATCCTTACAAAAGGACATACACAGGTGCGAGTCGATAGTGTTCACAGCACAATCCAAAGGGCAATCGGAAAACAAGCGATTTTTGACCTGGCTGATTATGTCAGAATAATGGAATCTGCAAGGAAAAACCCAAAGCCGCATAAGGTTAAATACTTGGAGCACACATTTTTGATAAACATTTCAGTACATGTCGTGCCTTCAGATCGATCAGGCCTGGTGATCCAATTGTTGACATCAAGGCTCTGCATTATGAATCAACTGGTGAGATTACTTTTAAACTGAGTTTTGTGGATGACTGGGAACTGCTTCTACAAAACATGGAGAGTCAACTTTTTTTCATTAGAGGTCCTGTCCCACTTAATCCTGACAAGCTTCCAATTGTTACATCAAAATATAAGCATTTGCCAGAACTGAAGCCATACATTAGAATGGATTTCCATGCCTCTTATGATGCTCTGCCACATTGATTAACTTTCTCACCCTAGGACATTCAAATTCAAAATGTCAGTATCTCTTAAACCAAACAAAATGTGGCTGAGCACTGTAATATCCAGAAATATAATTGAATCCTTTTGAAGGCAACCGAGGCAGGAGTAGGCCTAGAGCAACCTACTTGGATAACCTAAACAGAAGGGTGACAGGGAAAGATCAGGGTAATGTCTGCGCAAAGGAATGAATGGAAAACCATGATCGCCGATGACTGTCGCAGATCTGGCACTTAAATACTTGATGATGATGATTGTAAGCTGATACCTAAGTTAACTGATTGCAACGTAACCATACCAGATATCACTGTTCAGCTTATCATTTATAAACTGAGTGATGTAAATTATTTGAATGCATTCAAATGCCAGTTAACATGTGAATGTATACAAGTGTCAGCCATTTTAATGTAAGCAGTTTCAACGTTCATGAATACAAACGGCGGTTTGTTTGGTTTTTTCTCATTTTGTAAATTTCAATTTATTTTATTCGTCATATATTATTTTTTCTTTAAAATATGCATGACTATACTTTACAATTTTGTCGTGATCCTTAGGCACTCCTCTCCATTGTTGTTAAAATGAAAATTTGATTAATGATAATGTTTATCATTGCTACTTTTTGAAGTAGGGCCTACAATAAAACTTGGTTTGACTGTTTCAGAAACACATTGTTTGTTTTTGTGTTTTTTTGTTTGTTCTGTTTGTTTGTGTTTATGTGTGTGTGTGTATGTGTGTGTGTTTGTGTGTGTGTGTATGTGTGCGTACGTGTATGTGTGAGTGTATTCAAAACAATACGAAATATACACAACGAAAACATTCTACAAACACACATACACACACTCACACTCACACATACACACACACTCATACACACTCACACATACACATGCGCGCGCACGCACTCATAAAAACACAAGCACACACACACATATACAAAAGCACACACGCACAAACACAAACACACTCTCACACAAACACAAGCACACACACACACACTGCGTTTGAAACCTAAGCATGTAACTGGCTGCTCCTTTAACGCCTAGCTGGTTCCTGTCGCTGATTCTGTCAGGCTCTAATCGCACGTCTCTCTGACTGTGTAAGTGCTCGACAATATTTTGTGCTATAACCGATACGTTTTTACTCTCTCCTGAAAAATGTCCCCAAAACCAGTTACACGGTTAGAGAAAAACACCGTCGATATATATCTTCTTTTGTGTATTTATCACCTTTTCATCTATCTTGTTTCAGTGATATGATTGACTGCTTCAGAAAACTAGCAGTGGACCCGGAATGTCGAGTAGTCATTCTTTCTGGTGCGGGGAGGATGTTCACTGCAGGTTTTTTACCTTTTCATTATGTTTTTTATGTTTTCAGTTTACGCTGTCCTTGAGTGATAAATTTCTTTGGTTCTCAACGTTCCTTTTATTTGAACGTTTTTAGCGTGCAATAACCTGTAAAGATCAATTGCAAGGTACATTTTTATAGATCCCTTCTATTTATGAGACATTTTTCTGAGCTGTGCATTACAAAAGCTATGTGTTTTGTTAGTATTACTATAAGCCTTTGTACGCAAAGAGAAAATATTTTGGTGGCAGAAATACAGTGGATCCGACCTCTCATTGAACGTGACTAAGGCTAAAGTAAAGAAAGGAGACAAGTTATTATATTATAGGATGTACCTATACCACTAATTAAAACAGTTGCTCCCCCTGATGATGGAAATCTCAAACAGCATCAGTGTGCGGGTTTGAGCTGTGTTCTGTTTTTGTTTGTTTTTGTAAAGTGTTTTACAGCGCTCGCAACTGCATAAGGTCATATGAGCGTGCGGGACACACCTAATATTTTCAGTTGGTAGGAAATTTTGAATTTTGCCCAGGTGGCGGCCGAAGCCTACTCTTATCGATTTTAGACCACCAAGGGATCTTTAACGTGCGCAGCTTGCACACGGGCCCTCCGAGATTTTTCGCCCTTGTCCGAGAAGGCTAGGTGTAGATCTTTCGTACCAGAAGATCAGGGGTGTGGCTGAAAGACAGCAGTAAGAAGAAGCGAAGGAGTAGCAGTAGAAAGGCTGCAGAAAGAATCAGGAGCCCAGAGGAAAGGGCAAAGGAGGTGAGGGGTGGGGGCAGAAAGAGGAGGCGAAAGCAGACGACAGAACATTGCTAGAGAGCAGGAAATGATGTGAAAGGAGACAAATTTAGAGAAGAAAATTTTTCGTTCGCTACGCGGGATTTGAACCTGGGACCTTTGAATGAGAGGCCAACACCTTAACCTCTAGGCCACGAGAGCCCCCGCTGTGTTCTGAACGTCATTTCTGCATTTTAAAATATTTTTGTTTCCGGAACACTTCTCGTGTGGATATATACCCTCTCATGTTTAGGCTTAGATCTACATAAAGTAAAGGCGGGAGCTTGGATTTTCTGATCAGGGGAAGAAAAGAAGATTGAAAAAAATGAGGGTCTCGATCTTGACCTAGATCTAGAGGCTACCCATCCAGAGAGATGGAGAGAAAAGAGAACAATTCTTCGCTTTTGGGGCTGCTAATTGCTTTTATTTGGTTATCGCGACCTCGTTGAAAGCGACTTCGGTCTATTTGCAACCTCGTTGGAGCCGACATACTTTTACGAAGAGATATAGGGGAAAAATCGGGGATTAAGGATTGCCTTGTTGAAGCCGACTTCTCGTTAAATGTTACCTCATTGAATGCGGCGCCCCCTGTACATATATTCATATGATATCCACTGTTTTTATCAAAGATGAGTCCCTTCAAGCATACAATTTTCAGTATAAAATTAGTCACTACAGGTGGCTGTTGTGAACCTTGTTTATTGACTTGAAATGTCAAATATGTGAGTATCTTTGGAAGATTCATCATGATATTTTTATAGAATCTTTACTTATGATCTATTCTGTGAGTTTTGCCGTTTCTGTTTTTAAAGTAAAGAGATATAGAGAGAAATTTTTGGTCAAAACACAATGTATTATTTATATGTTATTATTGTAATGTATGGTGCTTTGAGCCTGCCTGTATACATTAATCAGGGTCGAGTGCTATATAAATAATTATTATTGTTATTATAATTATCTACACTTTGTCCTTTAGAAAAGAGATATGTCATATATGTATAAATAGTGGTAGCTGTTTCATTGTTCTCAAGACCCTCAGACATGCTGCAAAAAGCTATAAAATCAAACAAAAGGTTGAGATTGACATATAAACTGTTTGTAGTTTGATCAAAAGGTTGAGATTGACATATAAACTGTTTGTAGTTTGATGACAAGAAAGTATCCAAATATTTTTTCATTGGAAAGAATTATTTTGCTCCTTTTTATTCTCACCAGTCATTTGAATCTTTTAGCTAAACAATGAGCTCTTGTCTTCAGTTGCTGGCATTGGGTGTTATTTTCAAAATGAGTAATGTTTCATGGAAGAACTAGTTGACTTACAGTTGAACCTGTGTAAGACAGAATCGCAAGGGAACCACACAAAAAATTCCATTTTAGACAGGGGAATTTAGTGGGAGATGGAGTGGGGTTTCAAAGGCCCAGTCTGTGGGATCAAGGATCGCTTGTGTGGTCGCCAAGCAGTGGTCCAAACTTCACACCTCTCAATGGCTATCCTGTCTGATGATGACGTCCGTCAGGTTTACTTATCCAATTACCGCCAGTGCTTGCATTTCATGAGACCACTGTTTGACCTATTATAAACAGAAACCTTTGAACATTTCCTTTGTTTCCACCCTTAAACCCACCCACCGGTGTAACAAGCACAGTCAACCAATGCCACCCCTCACTGCCATGTAACAAAGATTCGAGGAATTCTTTTCTCGGCTGGCTGTACGATCAGGGCGGCAGGCATTGATCAATCTAATTTCACCCCTCTCTCTTCTGGTTACCCAGAAAAGTTTCCGTAGTGGCTCGAAACTCAAGCACTTTCACTTGCACTCATGAAATTTCACACCCACATCACCCTGACCATCTGCATCACTCAGGGCTAAATGATGGGGTAACATCTACCGTACCCCCAAATTGCACGCTTACTCCCCTTCCTCGCCCAGCGGCATGGCCATGGCGTTAAGTTTAGAGCCGGCGGAATTAACTTGCGAGTTTTGTTTTAAATCAGGGCTGAGTGGGCAAAGCATTTTCTGTCTTGGACAGGTGAAACCCTCGAAAAGAAGCGGATTTTTCTTTCTGTTTCCACGTTGGACAGGTTTCCATTTTATACAGGTAATTAAAGACGATTATATCAAGGGGGGAGTGGGGAGATTCCGTTAAGACAGGTTTCCGTTTTATACAGGTTTCCATTAAGGCAGGTTCAACTGTATTTCAAAATTTTCAACCAAAATGTTTGAAAACACCCTGTCAATGCGGATGGTGCTATAACAGTTATGTTATGACTAAAGAATTTCCAGTTCACTGAAGTATTAGTTTTCTTTGCAGATGCAAAGTCTCATCAAAGTTTGAAAACACTGGGTGTGCCTAATATTACCAAGAGCAAGGGAAATAAGCAAGTTCTGAAAATGCTTTAGACCCGTCCTTTCAGGGATTTGTATTTCAAAACCCCAGTGGAGGAGCTCCTGCAGCTCTTATGAACATGTGTCAGGTTTCTAGGTGTATAACGGCAATATGGACCAAAGGAGTTGATTTTCTCCATCCGTGGACACTTTTTGCCCTCCTTGTATTCTTTACTTAATTACTTACCTTCCATAACATTGAATACTTTGCAGGTCTTGATCTTTATGACAACGAAAATCAGAAAGATCTTGCGGAAGCTGGTGATCCTAGCAGAAAGGCCATTATAATTCAACGCTTTCTTCCAAAGCTGCAAGAAGCTTTCAATGTTATGGAAAGGGTGTGTTTTATAGATGTACTGTCTGCATCAGTTCAGAATTTCAAAATAGTTGCTGGCCATCTTTTAATACAGCAAATAGTGGCATTGGGACGAAGGGCAAGTGCTCAAAGGCTACTGGAGTAACAACAAAACAGCAACAACAAAAAGGAAAAATTGTGTTTCGATTTGCAAAGCTTCGTGTAAATTCTTTTGTGTTGGTAAATTTGAGAACTCACCTTTTCCTCGCGCAAATTCTGGGGGGAAGGGGGGGTGGTGTTTGTCGCTGAAAAAGCTATTTTTGTAATAGTACTTTATTGTCTTTCATGTTATTATAATATCGTTTAAGCTGTGCACAAAAGATACCTATATATATACCTGATATTATAGATGGCCTGCCACTAGTCTTTTTTTAAATTTTTATCCCAAAACATGCAGGATTCATTGATGAGCTTTTTTTTTAAAATTGTGGGTCAAGGCTCTTGAAAAGCTAAAATTTTAATTTTCTGGGAGAGGGAAATTAGGGAACTTCTGAAAAACAATACATATATATATAGTTGTTGCCTTTTTTTTTTTCTTTTTTTTTTTTTTTAATTTTTTTTTTAGGAAAAGGATTAATAATGTAAAGGAATTGCTTTGAACTTAACTTTTAACAGTCCATCAGTGAGTCCTTCATGGAATTTTGCTACTACCCCAGAAAATTTTTTAGGACAGAACAATTTTTTGCATATTACAATTATAGTGCTGGACTTTCTTTCCACCTACAGGTATGGATTATAAAGATAATGAAGCATTAAGGACTGCTTTGTCTGATAAGGAAGTTAGCAGAAAGGCAGTTGCATTGAACCAAAGTTTGCTCCACATGCAGACCTCTTACACAGTCCTGGAGACGGTTTGTGTAAAGTCATCTCAATCTCGGCTATTGAATGCTCACATTTCTGTTATCTTGTGGCTTGTTTAAAGGAATAGACTTCCCCTCTATGGAAAAAAGTTTGAGAACTCCAAGAGCTGTTTGATGTGCTCAAGTCTGAGGACTCAACATTTCCAGTGCTAAGATCCTATGAGAAGTCTCTCATGTTTTTCTTTTGATTTATAGAGTCAAGTGATTCCCAATCAGTTAACACATTTTTTTCTGCTTTTCTGTCTTTTTGAGATCACGTCAGTGCTCACAAATCACAAAATATTCACTCTAATCTTTGTTCTAAAATCAAAATCATATTTTATTAATAGTGATTCTTTGTAATCCTGAATTAAATGCATCTTGGGTTAGATCCGTAACATACTGTTCATTAAGAATAATTTGGTTTTGTTTGGTTATCTTGGCCTTATAAAAGCTCACTGTCATAAAAAGAGCAATATACTGATTAGTGCATACTTGAATGTGTGCCTATCTGCTGCCATGTCACATTAATAATTGTATGTCTAAAAAAACTGATACTCTATTTGCTGGCTATGAGTTCTTGTCCTCTTTATTGATAAGTAGATTTGATTTTACCAGCTTACCTTAAATTTATTCTTCTACTGCCAGTGATGTGCCTTTGCTGCTTTAAAGAAAGCACAAAGAACATAGTATTATATTGATCACAGTCAATATAATTGAAGTGAAAATTCTCTATTGGTTGTTTGGGAAGATAACGGTAGATTTCGCATCTCTGTGTTAATATATATAGTATATGCTTTAGCTTGGTGCAACTCAACATTTTTAGTGACTTTTTGTTCTAAAAAAATATTTACTTCATTGTTAAGATGAAAACAGCCAGCTAGACAGATATCTCTCAAAACTTATTGCATGAAACATGAAGCTTCACAAACAAATAAAGTGTTCTTATATGTTCTGTTCAAATTACATGTGAATACTTTATGAATGCTTACTTAATGTAAGACTCTGCCATGGGCCATTTTGAAAAGTGACATAATACGGAGTCTTACACTCAGCAGTCGACTTACAAGTGTGTGGACAAGGGATTGTGCTTTGAATTTAAAGACTAGTTTTCTTGTGTATTAATCATGAAGGAGAGTTTATCCTACCCAGAAGTTAGGTTCTCAGGAGGTTTTTTTGGTACCTGCCCAGTGCTTGTAAGGCTCCACCCCCGTCAGTTGGTTCATGCATCATGTTGCCTTTTATTATATACAGTGTAACAAGCCGGTGATTGCAGCAATCCATAACGCTTGCATAGGTGGAGGCATTGACATGGCATCGGCAACAGACATTCGCTACTGTACAAGTGATGCCTGGTTTCAGATAAAGGTAATTTATACTGATTTGAGTATAATTATTTTTCTTTTTAGTTTGATCGGAAGTGTTGTTGGTGTTCTCTCCCTGCAAATATCATTTATGAACTTCATTTATATTAAACATCTGTTGTTCTTATGCGACTGAAAGCATGTGTTGTATTCAATTCAATCACATATGCCAATTTATAACTACACAGTCATTAATAAAACTCAAGAATACTCTGAGAATTGGGTCCACATACCTGAACACTACAGACTAGCTAAAGGGTCAAACGATACTTGTGAGAAAGTAACGTTGCTACCATATGTCATGTTGTAGGCCCTATATGGTAGAAGTTGTTTAAGTTATTCCTTATTGCAGTAGGATTTCGTTTGATTTTTGGGTAGGGAGGAAAACGATGTATGAACAGGTAATATATTTAATATTTCTAATAAATTTTGGGAAGTTAAAAATGAGAGGGCCAATTTTCTTTTCCAATTTGATATGATATAGTTATTATTTCAGTTCTCGGAAATTCTTAACTTTTTTTAACATGGAAATCCCCAAATTTACTTTTCTATAGTGCATAATAGAAATATAATTACCAACTCCATCTCACCACCACATTTTTATCTACATGCTCTGACTCACTGAGCATCATTTTTGACTTTGTGTCATGTGAAAAACAGGAGATTGATATTGGCCTGGCAGCAGATCTGGGCACCCTTCAGAGATTCCCCAAGATCATTGGCAATGACAGTCTGTGCAGGGAACTTGTGTACACAGCCAGGAAATTTACACCAGAAGAAGCAAAGCATATGGGATTTATCAGGTCAGTGGATATGGAAAGGTAATTTTTAGTAGGCTACAAAAATATTGTTTGAAAGTGCATGTGTTTAGTGTTTGTGTGTAGTGCAGATGGTAAAGTCTTCCTTTTTACATGATCATCCCTACATTTAGGGGGCACAGACATTCTTTAAAAATCATGGTTTTAGCTATGGTTAGGATGTCAAAAGGACACATCTGTGCCTACCAGTTGAAAACTATCACACTGTTAGTACTTAGTTGTTGGGTTGTTTTGGCCCGCCTTCTCTAACCGTGGGTGGTTGGAGGGTGCTCTGGTGTGGTTTGCTTCTTCTTTCCTATCAAACATCTATCATCCTCATCTCTCCTACTTCTTTTTTGTGTTTGTTACTCTCTTATAATACCTCTAATCTTCGGCACTTATATGACCTTATTGTGTTGCGAGTGCTGTAAAACACTTGCTAAAACTAAACTAATTCTCTAACCATATAACTATTGAGGCATCTTTTCATAGAAGAACTCAGCGTTCCTCTTTCTTTGCAACTTTCTTTGTCCCTTCTTGTGTTTTATTATTTTTAGCTACACGATCTTTAGCTTATCAAGTGAAGACTCCCCATCTTTGCTTGCCACAAAATTTGAAAAGATTTTGAACCTCTCATTTATGAAAAAAGTTAGATTGCAATTTTTTGGTGTTTCTCTCACTCATGGAATTAAGATATGTTCAGTAGATTATTACCTGGTTATTGAGCAAGTGAGCCGTTGTTTCTTAAATTTTGAGATATTTTTATGAATATGTTAGTGGCCTGGTTTAATTGTTTTCGTATGTTGTACCTTCAGTCGTATCTTCCCCGACAAAGATGCAATGATGGCAGCATCAATAGAACTGGCCAAAACTATTGCTTCAAAGAGTCCAGTGGCAGTCCAAGGGTCAAAGGTCAACCTGGTCTATTCACGGGATCACACAGTCCAGGAAGGGCTTGATTACATGGTGGGTTTTGTTTTGATGTTTTTTTAATTACCCCCTTGCATTGAAGGTTTCGTTTTAACTCACTCGCTGCCGGCGCCTTTGCTCAGACCAAGCCGCTGCCTGCCAGCTATTTTTTACCTTTTTCAAAATCCAGTTACTCTGTACCTATTTATGTTAGATTTATGAAAATTGGCCAGTTTCAGTAAGAGATGTTGAGCTTTACAGAACAGAAAGAATTTTTGACTCTATGTTATTTTGTTCATGTTTTATAGCTTTTCAAAAAATGACGAATTTTGGGGACTAAAACTTTTTTGGGGCCAAAACAAGCCAGTACAATATTTTTGCTGTTTTTGTGAGAGTGTTGCTGTTTCTGTCTTAAAATACACACAAAAATATATGACAAAACAAAGAAAACTAAATTAATAAGTTTATGATGTCTTTGGCTAGAATCTTGAATCATTAGTTGTCGTACTAGACTCTAGTACTAGCCCACTGCCGACAGGTGATCCACCTCTTTCTCTCATCTCAAACTACCATCCCTACCATTGTTTTGCACTGCTTCATCTGAATCAGAATTCATTGAATCATGTGGATTCAGAATCTCTAAAATTACTAGCCGTTTTCAATTCATATCGGCAGGAGCGTTTTGCCGTTTTCGGCCGCCTGACATTCAAAACAAAACTCAAAAATAGGACAAAGGAAACTCCCGTTACTAAAATAAGCAGTACTTCAAGGGAAATCATTCTAATAAAGTGAAATTGCTCTGGGTGGTCAAAGGGATGTTACTCTAGTAATTGGGCTATGCCGCGGCCGCATATGTGTCGGCAATTAGTAGAAATAAAGAGGAAAATACGCAACCGACAGGGGTGCGGTAGCGGCAGTGAGCGGTCGTCGCCTATGGACCGACACGAGGTGCAGCAACGGCAGTGAGCGAGTTTAAAAAATTTGGAGCGAAATAATTCTAACGTTCAGCTTTAATAGAAACAAAAGTAGGGGCTCTCGTGGTCTGGGAAATACAGTATTTACCTCTCAGTCATAAAATAACGGTGGGTTGAAACATAATGTCGGCAACAAAACAATCGTGTTTTAAAATTTTCCCCCTTTGTCCTCTCTTTCTTTTACTTTTGCCATGTTCTGTCATCTGTTTTCCTCTCCTCAAAATTCTACATGTAAACCTTTTGAAAACTTTTCCCCCGATGAAAGCACAGCACCTGAATTGAGTCCTGGCATAGTTGTACCTGTCTTTCCCCTCTTTGCTTTCTTTATATCATGCACATATATAGACAAGGCCTGAGTAAGGGCATTGAGGTGAACACAATTTACAGCTGTTTGAGGGGAGGGGGGAGATCTGTGATGTGTTACATTAGGAAAGATAATACTCTTTGCTATGATGGGGTACAACAGTCTATAAATGTAACATGAAGAGCCCAAGGGAAAACAAGAGATGTCAGTTTTTGGCTAATTTGAGTTGTAACATGGGTTGGGAAATGTTTATGCACTTCTTCTAGCCCATCTAAGTGTCCAGGGCTAAAACCTGATGGGTCGCCCAATAGCAGGCTTGGAGAATAAACTTTACTATGGAAATACTTGGACTGTCAAGAGTTTCATGTGTTTTTTCTCAAAATGCTAAAAGGGACATCCCTTGTTTGTTTTTCCTTTGAGCTCTTCATATTTGTCAGTTGGGTTTTGGGTTCTTTTTTGTATTTACCTGTACTTCTTGTAAACCAAAGCAAGTAATTTCAGAGATTTAGAGGTGTAATGTTTGGTGTCGATGGGTTATTGAAGTTCACTTATTTTTGTTTTAAGATTCTCTACCAAACTGGCCTCATTATGTATGAATAGATTCCAAAGACACAAATTTTAAACAATTAAAAATTTTAGTTGAAAAAAGTGTGAGGATGAAAATGACTTAGTAGTAGTTATGAAGATGAAATTTATGTGGGACATTTGAGCCACATTGTCCTAATCCTAATCGCTCGTGCCTTCTCCGTCTTCTCAACAGGTCACCTGGAATTCAGCAATGCTCCAATCTGAAGACACAGCCAAGGCAGTCATGGGAATGATGGCAAAGGAGACTCCTATTTTCTCCAAGCTGTGATATGTGTGATGCCAGGGTTTGGCCTTCTTTTTTTTTTTTTTTGGTGCCGTGGGTCAGCCAGATTCTTTTCATACTTCTTTTTCTCATCTAGTGGAAGAGGCATTCAAAATCTTAAATGGGGTAATGGTAGGCAAGTTTTTGTTACTTAATCTGACACGCTCTAGTATAAATTAACCCCAATCTGGAGGAAGATCTGAACACACAGTTTCGTTTTTCTTTCTTTTACCCATTGTCTCTTATTTTGCCTCTTTCAAATAATGTTTTTCTTCTATTCTTTAGCTACAATTCCTGAACAAATGCACACTGTGCATCACTGTTTGTCGCAAAGATTTTCTTTAACCCTATCCGTACGTCGTGTTTTACTATCGTATCCATATGACATGATGAACTCTGTGCCACCACTTTCCAAAGACGAAATTTACCCGTTAATCCGATCCATACGCTTTGCATAGTAGTCTGTCAAAATGATTTTTTGAGAAATTCTGAAAGTTTCAATGATATCTACTTGAAGTATTCTAAAATGTGAAGAATACAACCCTGGGGGTACAAAATGACCCCAGTTCGTACGGATAGGGTTAATAATGCAGACAAAAAGCACGGCTGAAGATATGCCTTCAATAAGTCGGGAAATGGGGGTTATTTGGTCAAATATTGTTGAAAAAAATTAATTTCACTGTCATTGTCCTATGTATACAATAATACATTTTGGAGAAAAAAGTTTCTTGTTTGTGTGCAGAAAATATTTTTATCTAAGATTCCGAAAAAGGAGAGAAGAAAACTATTGGTTGTTGTATTCAACGGCTTGGGTGATGACGAAAAGAGATTTATTATAACAAAAGGTTTTTATTTACTATTATAATTTTGTGCTCATTTTATCCAAGAGGTCATGGCACATTTCTCGTAGGTGTTTCTGCTAGGGGTTACCAAGTAGGCCTACACTATGATCTTTTTCCAACTCCGGCTAGAGTTTCTGTGATATGTTAACTTCAGTGTACTGGGCTGATGTGCAAGGGAATGTGGTTTGAATGAGTGGCTGAAGCCTGAATAATGTGACTTGGACTTATTGTCAGTTGTGGACCATTTTGAAGTAGATGCACATAGGACTTATTTCACCTTTTTTTACTCAAGAGAGAAAATATGTAGATCATTGTTAAAAATGTAAGCATGTGCATGAAAAGAGGATGTTTATGAATAATATGCTCTGATGTGTGTGTATATATATATATATATATATGTTTGCAATTTGATTTTTTGTCTATAATTACATTTGAATCTTTTTTTACCAGAAAGTTGTCACTGCACACTTTTGCTATCAGTAAAGTGTATAAAGAAATAATTATTTGTTTCTTGAGTGTTGTTCTCTTTTTCTTTGTGCAATGAAACCAAGTGCCCTTATTTCTGATCAAGGCTATGGCTGAACCTGTGATTAGGCTCATGTTGTGCTTTAGTCACAACTATGTCTTCATTCATTTTCTTTTACTGATGTGGTGCCTCAAAAGTAAAATGTTACACAGCTTATTACTTAGTTTAGTTTTAGTAAGAGTTTTACGGCACTTGCAACACAATAAGGTCATATAAGTGCCCAAGAATAGATGTGTTATAAGAGAGTAACATGCACAAAAAAGGAGAGACTAGGACGATAGATGCTTAATAGGAAGAAGGAGCAAATCACACCAGAGCACCCGCCAACCACCCATACAGCTTATTACTAACTTGTTTTGGAGAACAAGACAGGCTGTGGTAGTATGTCTTAACCACAGCTCCTCAGCTGAGACAATGTGATACGGAAAGTTTTTCTATGAAGTAAACTTGATTATAAATTAGAAAAATCTAAGGAGGAGTTCTTTCTGGAAAACATACATATTTCTGCAGGAAGAAAATGTTGCAGAATGGCCTAGAACAAAGAACTGAAAGCCCTCCAGACCTGAGTAGTGGGAGGTCTGGGATGTGACCTGATCCTGAAAATTTCTTTCAGTATGTTTGTTTTCCCAATCTATTCCTTGGAAAAATGTGGCTGTCAGTGTCTTGATCCCCCAAAACCAACTACAAGTCCATGACAGATAAGCTCATTTATCAAACTGTCTTGAAAATTACATTACAAGGACAAATACATTTTTAAAATACAACATATCACTTAAAACATTTTTGTGTTTTTTATACAAAATTGTATTTTGTAAAGTTTTGAAATAACTAAAAAGTACTCTTAAGTAAACGAAATCAAAATATTATTCACAAAACTTTATTAACTTGCCAACCAAATGGCACTGCTTCACAACTATAGCAAGTGAAAAAGTCATCTCACTCAGAAAATTTGGTGCTTCCGTTGGTTGAATGTTATCCAGCCAAAATGTGTTGATGAGTGTGGGTTTTTTTCAAAGATGGAAAAATATTTTTACACAACAAATGTGTCGTGAAATGATGGAATCGGGCGCTTGTCAACTTTTGGGCATACAGTTATATATATCACCTAAACGCTTGTTCATTTGCCTTGCTTTAGATGGGAAAAAAAATAACCTATCTTGAATAATAGTTGAGATTATTGGCTATGGAATGAGATGGAGGTTGCTCGGTGCCAGAGGTAAAATTAGCAAGAAAATGGCCACCAAAGCTTGAGAGCCCTTGGAAACTACAAATTTATTTTTGTTTTTGTGCCTTTGATCAACATTTTTCATCTAAATGGATACAAATGGTGTTTTTTTGTTTTTTAAAATATTCGATAAAATTGCCCAAATGAAAGGGGAAAATGTCTGTTTCTTATAGTTCATTATTTTGACCACAGCCTTATTTCACGACAATGACATACAAATGTTGTCATAACTAAAACACACAAAATATCCCTCTTTTTCGCACCAAACTTACTTCATGCTCTTACATGAACTGTGAACAACTTTAGCCTTATGCATTGTTCATGTTTATAGTACAGTGATAAACACAGCTGCATCAAAGATGACACCAGGAGACAAAAAAACCCAGATTATTTCCTCAAAACCAGCAAACAAAAAAACTATTCCCAAAACCTCAACCAAGAAAAACATTATTTTTAAAAATCTATACACAGGGGGCCTATATCTCAAAGTTCTAGAACCTGAGTCTGACCCCCACATTATTATTATGTCTCTTTCTCTCTCTCTCTCTTTACAGCTATTGAATACTTTTTTCAACCAGCATTTTAAATAAATTGTATATACTGCTCTGGAAAAAGAAGCAGTGTGTGAACTGGAAAAAAAAAACCCATCCATATACCGCAGTCCAAAACTGACTTTCAAAAACATCTTAGACTTAAAGGGAGACTAAACTTCTGGGAAATTTCATAACATAATGTAGAGCCGAGAAATATTGCAAATTGAATCATCATGCAAGACTGATTTGAATCAGAATAGATCTTGTGGGGCTTTCACACAGACTTTCCAGCATTGTCTTCGTACAGTAGGAGAATACTGGAACATTATCACTAGAACTTACGAAAAAGTAAATTAAAGCATAACTCTTTGATACAATGGTAAATAAAATACAATAAACAGGAAGCAAATGAAACATATACGCTCTAACATATTCTCCATCGAGAAAGAACACAATAGTATACAAAAATTGATTTTCAGAAGTTTCATTTCCCTTTTCAAAAGCATCAATTACCCTGTGGCTAAAGTTTTTGTTTTAAAAATTTGATAGTACCGACTCACAAAACACAACAGCTTTGAAGAAAGCTGCCAATGACAAAAAGGAAACGGAGACCTGGCAAAGATATTTTAAGTCTTAAAATCCCTACCTGGTCTCCGTTAGACATTGTTCATTAAAAGGAATGAAACAGAAAGGAAATGGAACACCACCACCACCCCCCTCCCATTGCAGTTTCAGAAACTAAAAAAATACTGCACACTTCCAGAAACAACAGATCAGCACACTTTGTTTACTGGAAAAAAAAAAAATCGCATCCCTCCCTGCTCCATAAAATAGATGGCTTTAGATGACATAGACACTAAGCACTTTAAGCATCTCGATTATTTTGTTTTCTTTATACTTCACTGCTTCTGCTTTGTGTGAAACATGCCATTCCATTAAGATTATTGCAATGATCATAACAGATAAATTATCACAAAGCACAGAAGTGATACAAGATTTCAAAACAAGTAAATGGAAAAAGAAAAGAGGAAAAAAAAACATATTCAAATCTACACGATCCTCTATCAGTTTGCGTTCAATGAGAAACCCAGGAATTTGTCAATTCTGATTCTCAGAAGATCAAACTAGTTAACTATAGCTGATGTGTAAAATTGGTTCATTTCTACTACACTTAAAAGCTCACAAATTTCCAGTAAAAATACTTACTACCATACTACTCTGGGTTACAAAACCATCTCAGAATTTATATATTGGTCCAATAAATATGCTAATGACCACCTTCCATTCTGATGCTTCAGAGACAAAAAATATCAAAGAATCTTTTAAAAATAGAACAGTCTAGTATGTGAGCATAAGCAAATTCAAAGTCAATTTTTTTTGGTGTATGTGGTAGTTTAACATTCATTAACCTCTTCACTGCCGTGCCCGAAGAATTTACAAGCCTGAACAGTGCAGCACTGTGCCTACGGCCCTACGGGACTGTGGCAGAGGTTGTTTTGATACCAATTATAAGGGAAGTTACTGCTAAAATCTTGAAATTATTATTGGGGTACCTTCCCTTTATGTTTCCCTCCATTTTTTTCCCCATTTGAAAGCGTCAGATTCAAATTTTAGCTAGAAGAGAAGATTAGATCTAGATCTAACACATCTAAAACACAAAAATGATTTACTGGCACCAATCACAGATGGGCTTACATGTATACATGTATATATATATATATATATATATATATATATATATATATATATATATATATATATATATATATATATATATATATGTATGTATGGATTGTACGAGCGTCGTATAAGGTGGTAGGAAAAGCCTCTTGTCACTTTTCTTTACCTGCAAACACTCACACAATATGTATTCCCCTTTCTTCAGTCTCAGTTCATCATTACTCGAATGTGTGTTGTATATGTTGTTTGGTTGTATTGTTTTTGGCATCATGGTATTAACTCCAACTTTTCTCCATCTATCTCTCAATGAAATTCCCCCAAAATTATATCAATAGAAATGTGATTCAATGTAGAATGTAATGCAGAAATTCATTAGGAAATATTCATAAATAAAAAAGTTATGGGAGGTAGAGTGGGGTCACCCCTCAGTAGCCTTGGTTCATGGTATTTCGCCCGGCACAGGGGCCTATTTACCTGCGGCAATGACGGGGTTAAAAATAACAGTCAGTAAGTGACTCATGTATGGTACATCACAAACTTTTGGATTTCAACCAGCTAGGAAACACTCCACAATCAAAATATTTTTATGAATAATGAAATCAAAAGGGGAAAAAAAACAAGAAAAAAAACAACAAACGGATGTTCAAACACATCATCAATCAGTAGACAGCTATGATCATCATCACTGCATATTAGTATCATTAAAACTTTGGCAACAGATCCTTCAGAAAAATGTCCTATTATTATTACTCTACACAATGCTAATTTCTCCCTTTAGGATAGTATTACTGTAGTGCCAAAACCTATTCCAAGGTAGTTGTGATTTATATTGCTCCAACGCATTCACTTTAATTACGGGGATTCCACTTGGTTCTGTCTAAAAGAACCTGAAAACCCCCTAACTGACAAAAACAGACACAACCCCTGACCTCAGCATAATGAAACAGCCATGTTAACACTTCTCCACAATATCTTCCTATCCACGGAAAGCATCCACACAATAAATAATTTCTTGACAGCATTCTGCTGCTAATGTAAAATGATGTAATCCAGACTAAAGAAGCTATGGTTGTGATAATGAGCAAACAATCAGTCTGACAACAGAGCATGACAACAGAGCAGCATGGCATGGCGATCTCCTGTGCTCAGTAGAATGGCTTCACTCTATCCTTCTCCCACAGACCCAGGAGCACGCGGTCAATATCAGCTGATGGGAATCGATCCACAAAAGACTCGATGAGGCCACTAGCAGAGCACTCGTAGGACTTCAGTTTCACCTCTCCGTCTGAAACACAAACCAGAAAGAGATTTTTAAAAACACTGAATATTAAACATTTTATTCATTTTTCAATACTTCTGCTCTTTCTTTTTTAATTCCCTTTTGGCAATTTTTCCAGCAACAAACTTAAAATAAACCATAATTTTAAGAATACTTGGATATGCCAGTGGCAATTAAATGTACATCTATCCAAATCATTTCAAGAGAAATAAAACACACTCAACCAAGACTTTTGGGTTTTTTAAAAGTAGGCTACACTCTTTCAATACTGTCAAGTGAGAAATGACTGAGAAATATGACTGATGAAAAAGACTTTTCTCTCCGAGTCACAGATAAATATGTGTGTGAGCCTAAAAAATGGTACCAAAAATCGGACTTTAAACATTTTGAATTAAGTGTTGTACCTATAAGGGCATTCAATGCTGAGCACAGAGGTTTTTGAATTTTTGAGATATCTCAAGTAGTTTTTGAGACATTGCACTTTTTGTGAGGGAGGGTATAAAGATCTAACTTTGATCAAATTAAATTTTAAGTTTAGAACACATACAAACTTGGAAAAAACGACGAATCAATTGCTTCTAATGAGTTTATTAACGGAAAATTCATTTCCAATTTGGCATTCAGTTGACATCATACTTCAAGAATAGATTTTAAACACCTTTTAAAAGCAGTTTTCATTATCTTTTTTAAAACATACCCTACCCTCTAAATAATTCAAGATAAAATACTTAGAAGTCAAATCAATGAAACCTCTTTTAACCCCATCCTGAGGTAATTTTGTACCCCCGGGGTTGTTTTCTCCACATTTTAGAATACTTCTAGTGCGAAGATCTCAATGAAACTTTCAGTATTTCTCAAAAAATCATTTTGACAGACTGCTATGCAAAGCGTATGGATCGGAATAACGAGTAAATTTTCGCATTGGAAAGTGGTGGCACACAGCGCCCCATGCTGTATGGGTAAGATAGTAAAACACGACGTACGGATAGGGTTAACACATTGTTAAAAGAATGGTGGAACTATAATTTTTTTTATGGAAACACATTTTGGTTAAAAAAGTGATTTTTTGTCATTATCAGCCTGTAGCTCAAAATGGTCTGTGGCGACTTTTGGTACCTTTTTCTAGGCATACACACATGTGTGAGGCATCGTGATGAAATCAGGCGCTCGTCAAAATAATGAAATTGAAGAAAAATGCGTCTTTCCACCAGTTCGGCAATTTTTATCAAAATTTCGTTTTTGGGCTAAACACCTTTTATGTTTATATGAAAACACAAATTCCATGTGAAATTTACCGAAAAACCTTGATTAAAGGGACAAAATGTGTAATTTTCAGATTTCAAGGACTCTTAAGCTATTGAAGTTACCAAACTTTGGCAGCCATTTTCCCATTATTTTAACCACTGAAACCATGCGACCCCACCTTCTTCAATCGCAAATATCTTGACTCCTGCTCAAGCTAGACGGATATTTTTTTTATTGACAATAAGGCAAATAGATAAACTTTCGGATGATATCAATAACTCAACATGCCCCAAAATTGACGAGCTCTTAATTCCACGTCATGACACATATATGTCTAGCAGACCTTAACCCCTCTCTGCCAAGCAATTTCTTGAGCTATTGGCAAAATTGGAGAGCACCCCTGACAGTGGACAGGAAAGTGCAATGAAAAAAATTTTTAAAGAATAAATAAAAACATTCATTGGTGTGAGCACAAAGGATTCTGGATAGAAAACAACAAAGATTACTACTTAATTTTTTTCAACCGTTCTTTAACAAGAAGCTGTGTGTTGCAATTGATGTATACGTGTGTAGATTGTGGTGTGTGCGTGACAAGTTTTTTGTAGGAGAGAGAAAGAAAAATGCAGAGAAAGAATTTTTATAGGAACCCATCCATTCTTGTATCCATTCTTGTTTCAGGAAGCAACATCCCTGCACTCCGGACATGTCCATTGATGCTCCGTTGCTCTCTCCAAAATGTTGCCGAGGGTCCTTCTACTGATTGTGCCAGTGCACATCTGGTTGAACGTTCTTCTGTTCTTTCCTGCAAGGATGCCAGATTTTCCGCTTCCTTTTTTTATTCCCAAAAGCATCATCCTCTCCACGGCAGTACTGGCCTCTGCCTCCCTATCCTCCTCCTCAAATCAGTTGGCGAGAAAGACATTTCAGGATCTCGACCCTATCTGGTTGAACCGTATTGTCAACTAAGGTGGCCTCACCAGCCAATCTGTCGGCTTTTTCATTTCCCCTAACACCTGCATGGCCAGGGCAGAAAATCCATGTGAGCGATCGTATAGGTGTTGGTTCGATAGCCTGAATCCATTCCGTTCTCAGGAAACCTTTTTCGATCCTTCTGAGGGTACACATGGAATCAGTGATAAGAACAGCATGGGTTGTGTGGGGGCGATCTTGGGTCATCCAATCAAGTGCTTTCGTGATGGCTTCAATTTCCATTCGCATACTTGATGTAGCCCTGCTGCAGGCTCCAGATGCACTGTGTCTGATTTTATTGTTGGCGAATGCAACAAATCCCCATCCACTTCTCTGGCTATCTCTTTTCACTGAACCATCTGTATAAATTATAGGATCCCCTGCTTTTGAGTTTGTGTCAACAATCTCGTTGATATCGCTCTCGTTGATGGCAGCCGCAACATTTCTTCTGTCTCTGCCCATGCTTATTTTGACCTTGGTGAGGTCCCTGTATTCTCCTGTATTATAGGAACCAAACAGTGCTTGTGTTCATTGTATTAGTATTAAATAGCATAGCGCATTGAGCACTTTCTAAGTGGAGATGTGCTATGTAAGTGGAATTTATCATTATTAGTTGCAGTATTACTATTGCAATCATTATTAAATCGCAGTATCAATCGGTAACAAACAAAATGAAGACTCCCCTAAAACAAAACTTTAAACTCACCTTCAATATAGGTATGATGTTGCACAAAAAGTTTGCGAGGTTGTTTGCGTTCCAAGACAATGCTGCGCAGGCTCAGAAAGTGCGGCTCTGCACTATCATTCACATCTGAGTAGTAAGAGTACATCTGCCTGCCTGCTTCCACATCTGCAGTCGCCTTGTACACCTATCATAAATGTGAAAATTGGTTGCCAATGCCAGTATTTCATACAAACAGAAATTTCACAAAGAAAAGTTTATGATAGAAGAACTCAAGTCCATCTAAACCAAGAGCACAATCAAACCTGAACTATGTTTGAAGGTTTCAAGAAAAGACAAAAAATGCCAGACTGAAGTTGAAACCGTCCCTCCAAAGTCAGTTTTTAAATGCTACCACTGACTCTTCTAGCTTCTATTCTTTGTGTGTCTTATCACTAAGATTATCACGCATCTGTTCTGAGCAATTGCTTCCAACAAATGTAGTCAGCTCCTTGAAATGCAGGCAGAAAGGGTTAAATTTGGATTTCAACACCTGGCAGTCAGTGAGTTTTTTTAAAATCTTTTTCACACCCACTAACAATCATCAAAGAAAAGTGCTAATGGTAAGATAACATCAAAGGGGTTGTATGAATGTAAACAAAGCCAAAATTAAGCATTTCCATGGATCTCTTGAAAGGTATGAACAAAACAAAATTCCAGTTCATTATAAACAGAATATGACAAGTTACCTGCAGTTTGCAAAGGAATTTTCCAATGGCAGGTTTCCCAATAGTTGTAATTTTGGCTCTGTTCAGCACCACCCGGAGATCTGGCTTCCCATCCTCTCCGGTGAATTTCTCAATTTTCACAAGTCCTTCTCCAGCCTCCAACAGCACACGAAGAATCACAAACCTGGCGTTCATGTGAGCCTATAACAAAGAAACAAAACATTCAGTTTCAGCACTACATCGACACAACAACTGTCATTTAGAGCAACAACAAAATAAAAAGATAAAGAAAAACCTCAGAATGAAAGTAAAGAAAAAGGATCTACTGGTAGCTCTCTACATCCAAAAACATAACATTAAAAACCACACCACAAGTAAAACCAGATTCAGAGAAATATGCAAAACCCATGGGCAGACAATGGAAAAGAATGAGATAAGTCTACTTAACAGGGAGAGTCTGAACAGTCAGTTTTGGTGCCAAAGACCTGAAAGTATATCATCGCTATCGTGATAAGATCGGATAAGTGACATCAGGTAAATTTTTTAGGGGAGGGCAAAAAACCAATTTATTAAGAGACGGCTTTTAGTTGTATATTTGAATATGAATCTTTAACTAACATATGAAACATGCCTTATAGAATACATTTCGCAAAAAAAGCAAAATCGAAAATTGTGTAGCTATCTGATTTTATCAAGATGGCGCCTATATCACCTCCAAAACTGCATGCTTACTTACAGGGAGAAACATTCTCACACTTTCACACCTCTTCTGACCAACAATCCATGCCTGGTACAATTGACACACTTACAACCCCCACCCCCACCACCACCATTCCACCCACCCCTTTCATACCAGTGCTGTTCACCTATCCAACACAATCTGACCCAGACAAATGGCCTAATACTACTGTTATAACACACCTATGGAACGCACGCTTTGGCATAAACCAACCTGAACAAAATCTCAAATTGGTCACATATAAAGACTAGGCGTATCTCTTGGATCATTGCACAGTATATAATAAGCTATACACATATTTTAAGATCTACTTCTTGACTGATCATTGAGCACTCTCTCCTTCTTTCTCTCTCACTGACTTTGACCGAAAAACACTAGCCAAATCTAACATGACGCAATTAGGATATCGAAAAGGGGGAAAGTTTCAAGAACATCATGAACTGTTAATGAAAAGGAAACGATATAACAAATTTAAAGCTGCATATAATATTGCCATGCAGCATGCATTAAAAAACATGAAACATTCACAAAATTTCACATTTTCAAAAACTTCTACAGAAGAAAAGATCCCTAATCTTCTGTTAGTCTCACCTGGCGCCAAGAACTGGTGTCTGGCGAGTAAAACTCCAAGGCTAGCAAGCCTGCCCTCACCATGTTCAACCAGTTGATGTAGATAATGTCATCTGCATCATCCCCGGTGTGACCAAAGATCCTGAGGGGGAACCATGACATAACAACACATCTCTTAACATCAAAGAGACATTTTGGGGGGTACCTTGTCTCTCAAAGAAATCAGCCAGTCATTGAAAACAAAAATAAAGAAGAAAAGAAAAGAAACATAAATGCAGATGAGCCACTCAAGCACCTGTGTCTTTTTTTTTTCCAAAAAGAAGTCCAAACCAGTAAGACTAGGAAAAAATTATGACTTCCTTTCACACTGCAGAAATAACTCTGAAAAGAAATACTTACATCATTGGAAAGGAAAAAACATTAAAATTTGCATGAAATCTTAACTTTTCACTCTCTTTGAGAAGTGGTAAGACTTAGAAGTTAGAGGGTGTCTCTTTATGCGCGACACGACTTCTTGTCGTGAAGGGCCCTTACCGCTCTAAAATTAATTTAGTAAGACTAAAGAAAATGTCGCCTTGCACGCAAGTGATGTATAGTCGCGCGCGACTGTCACCAGGGATTGGTCCAGGTAGCGATTAAACAGACCGGGGGTGTGACAGGTTTAGAGCATCACGATTGGTAAAAATACCTAGCCAACAAGTGCTGGTCGACACGCAGTGTGTGGTGTGTGTGTGTGTGTGTGTGTGTGTGTGTGTGTGTGTGTGTGTGTGTGTGCAGAAACAATAACCATGGAGGCAGAAGCATTGAGACCCTTTGAGCGCTTGATTGAACTCATTAGTGGAGAGCCTGCTATTTATAACCTACAGCTGAGAGAACACAGCAACTTTTGGAAGAGTGTTGAAAATTTAGGAAATAGGAATACCTGAATGGGCAGGTAAGAGATTTCTTCTTTTTTGTCTTTATTGTAACCCCCCTTCATTCTCCTCTCTCCAACTAAAATGTTATGCATTCGAAAGTGAAAGCACAAAGTTCGGTATATACATTAGACCATGAAATTGGAACTCCAGCTACTGTTCCATGTAACCTCCACATTATGGGAACAGTGCTAAAACTAGTCAATCGGGTGTGGGTACTAATATATACTGTGCGTAAGTGAGATTTCTGTATCATGATCTCAATATTAGTGTGACAGCACATAAATATGGCAAAAAGCACCCGTTATGAAATTACCTTCAATTGTTTGCATGTGAGTTACACTACAACAAATACCAAGCAACCAACCACCAAAATCACCAACCAACCAACCGACCAACCAACCAACAAACAAACAAACAAACAAGCACACACACTACAGTAAAGAAAATAAAAACAAAGGTCTCAATAAAGAATAGATCCAACAGAAAAAGTGCCTTTAAAAAAAAAAAAATTTCTTTCAAAGATCAAGAATGCAGGAAGAAGTGGAAAAACCTGAGAAACACATTCAGACGAAAATTGCACTTGGGGAAAAGCACAAAAAGTGGACAAGCAACAGTGCTTTCACCAGCTGAAGCTGAAAAGTAAGGAAAATTCTGCCGGGGGTCTGGGGGCTCCAGCAGGGACTAGGAACAGCGTCCCGGTGGGTGTTCAGGGGGCAAAGCCCCCGAAGAAATTGAAATTTAATGTTTTAAGAGGGTTGAAAATGGCACTTGGGAGCCTGTTTGAAGAGATTGCCTGCAAAACCATAACATTTATTTTTTCACCAACATTTTGTTTTGTTTGATTTTTTCACAAAGATCTACATAAAATATTTCCATTGATGGCATTGTTTAAAAGCAAGCTCCCCTTCTACTGTTACTATAATTCAATAAATTTGTCATCGCACCATTGATAGAAGGCAAACCTGAATAGATATGTACCTCCACAATACAGAGTTACCCGACTTATACCCTAATTTTCCTTAAATTTCACGCCTGAATGTCGCATGTCACAACCCCGGAACACCACTTCGAATTATTCTTGATTTAAGTAGTTTTAGGCTGGTTTTAGCATGAATTTCTTTCATCGAGGCCATTATCGCGTTCCCGAGCCGTAGAATCTTCGTATTGATCATTTCTCTAGATCTAGACAAATTTTTTTTAAAGTTTCTTTTCGACAGTAACTTTCTGTCTAAGATCACAAGTCTATTTACTTGATCAACGCTCAGATTTTCCAACCGCAGCAACAATCCGAAGATAGATAGACAGAATGAGTGAATGATAGAAAGCAGGAAATTGGCACAAAAAGTTTGCCAGATTTTGATCAATCCACAGGTAAAAATGTACTGTCGACAAGCCTGCAATGAATGCACGGGGCATGGCGGAATAATGGCCGATTGCAGGAAATGCGCAACCTGGCAGGTCTCTATAACATTAACTTATTGCCGGGAGAATTACCGTAAATATCCGCAACTTATACTAGTACTAGACAATACGAAGGCGAGTACGGATCTTTTGCTACGGAATTTCGGTAGTCCTACGCTGTCGCAGCTTTTTACGGACGGAGTTGATAATGATGGAGGAACAAGTACGGAATTGGCAGAAAGTATGGATTTCCGTAAAAATACGGAAGAGTGGAAGCACTGAAGCAAGTAGAAAGTCCATCAGATGGGAATTCTACGAATAGCTGACGTGTATTATTCCATACATGGCCAATCCTTTGTAAATCCTCCATCTTCTCCTCCTCCTTCTCCTCCTCCTCCTCTTCCACCAGTCCTCCTCCTCCTGCTGTCCGTTAAAAAAACAAAACAATCAAATTAGATTCACAAAACTTGTATTGGGACAATTGAAGATGAATATTACACACACGCACAAGCACACGCACGCACACAAACAGTCATGCTTCTCTATGCTTTGTTATAATTTGTTCTTTACTTTCCAGCACAGATACAAATGTACCTGGTGACAGTCAGACAGAAGATTCATTCGAAGACTTTGCCGAGGAGGAGACAGTCCGCACGGTTTCTGGAGAGGGTGAGTTGAATGCAGTGTTCCTCTGTGCACTACACTGAGTTGGTAGTCCAAGCGGTCATCAACAAAGCAGTCCATGAAAGCTTTCCTGATTGAAATTGAATTCACTGCGCCATAGTGACCAATTCATTGAAGAGGCTGCATTGCTTGAGCTTCATCCTTTTCAGCTTCCAAATCGTAGATTCTGTCTGCAGGCTGAAGAAATTGTGTAAAACACACGTCGCTTTCACAATGTTGTTGACAATTCCTGGCTCAACATTTATACATCTGTACGAAAGATTCTGAAGCGATTAGCAAGTAATCGAAATGCACTTTCTACTATCCTTCTTGCCTGACTCAAGCGATAGTTAAATTCCTTCAGTCCTTCAATGGACAGTTGCGTCCAGGAAATGGACGGAGTAGATGTCTCTGAAGGGGAAAAGCTTCATCGCCAACCACAAAATATGGAACAGGGTGTGTTTTTTCAGGCAATGGCTCATCTGGTGGAAAGTTGAGCGTGTTTGCACCAACAGCTTGTCCAAGGTTCGATGATGAAAAAATGCCTGCTTCACTATTCCTTCCATAGGCACCGACATCGATACAAAAAAAAGATAGTTGGCATCCACCACAGCCAACAGCACTACTGAGTGCTAGCTTTTGTAGTTACAGTGCAGAGAACCAGAGTTTTTGGGGGCCTGCATTCTAATGCGCTTGTTATCAAGTGCACCCAAACAATCAGGAAACTGCCACTTTTGATGAAAATATCTAGCTATTGCCTCTTCTCTTCTGGAATTGATGGTGCCTTGGTGTAAACATTGGCCATTTGAGCCCAAATGGTTTCAGTGACATCTCTGACAATTCTGCATACTGTCATAGGGCTCACCCGATACTGGAATGCCAGAGAGCGATATCGTTCTCCAGTGGATAAGAATCTGGAAATATAAAGATATATTATGCATTATTTGATAAAATTATTTCAGTGTGAACGCACAAATTACATCTGTGTAATGTTTGTGAGGAAAGTTTCGTATTATTAATATCATGTTTCCTTGACATCTAGATCCCCGACAGCACCAAGAAAGAAAGTTAAGCAACATCATGATGATTGGTGATCTATGCTTGTGGAACATAAAAGAGCAACTCAACTCCTTCAAGACAATTTGCTAAAGAAAGCAAGACGAAAAGAGTGCGTCTCAAGTTTTTTGGAGAGCTTCGCATTGCACATGGAGGCTCTAGAACCACACACTCAAAGTGTGGTTCACATTCAAATTGCTCAAGTGTTCCACAAAACTGAAAATGTCGGCACATAGCCTCAAATTCCTCTCACCCTCTTCCACTCCCAGTCAGAATCTGTTGCTCATTACAATCACCAGTACCATTACAACAAGTTTTCACCAAATTAAATTCAGCTGTGAGGCTGTTCCATAGTAAACTTTTTAATGGAGTTCTACTTAACGTTGCATTTTTTTCTTCTTCTTCTGCTGTTTGTATTTTTAAAGAGGTGTTCATTTTTGTAATAAACATTTAAACATAAAAATGCGACTCTACCACCATGGATTTTGTTTCTGTCTCTTTTCTTTTGATTATTATTGTTGTAATCATAATGCAGTGTAGCTTATTTTGAGGGGTCGCTGACATGCAGTGCTCCTCTCTCCCTCTGTCTGTCTGTCTGTCTCTTTCACTATCATAATCATCATCATCATCGTCACCCCCACCTTCGTCATTATAATAATGATTGCTATGTTAAATATAACACTCACCTCAAACATATGACTGGTCTCTGTCTTGCACAAGTAACTTCACGACTCAGAGAACACTTTGTGATTTCTTCTTCAATGCACGACAGGACTATTCCAAACTGCTGCTTGTTGAGTCGAAAATACCTTTTGAAGTTGACGTCGTCTAGTTCTAACTCAATCATCAGATGGTGGAAAGCTCTGTAATCTTGTCACTTTCGATACATATAGTGTAACTAATATCTATAGCGTCTTCTTTTCCTTTTTTTGTAGGCACTCAGAACAGCAACAGTACTGGTCATGAAAATGTGCTCAGCAGCCATTGTGTCCACATCCATCTTGACATTTGCCACAGTCTCTTTTCTTTGAATTGCCAGTCCTGCGAGGACTTAGCCAGTCGCACGTGGCTAAACAATGCGTCATGCATAAGGAGACAGTTTTGTTGCTTTTACCGCTCGCGATCGAAAATTTCGGCACAATGTGGTCATGCATAAAGATACGTACCTTGGGACTCATCACTAGCGACTGTCGCATCGCGCATAAGGAGACATAGGCTAAAAATCCTGTATCAGATAATTTCAGAAGTAACCAAGCCTTATGAATTTTCACTACAAAGAAGGCCCACTACAAAACAGATAACTACTCTTTTAGTGGTGAAAAAAAGTCCTAAAAAATGCGGTTAGCGACATCAATATAATATCATTGCTCATTGGATATTATTTTCAGTAATGACTACCGTGTTTAAAAATAGCAGCAGCCAATATGTTCTTAAATCAGTTCTGAGTAATGAAACAAAATGTTTTCATCATCCTGAATGGAAATGTGTACAAATTTGCTATTTATACAATTTACTGACACGTTCTTGAGGAGCAAACCATCTTGAAACTAACATAACTAACAACTATTAATTTATAACTAAAATAGCAGCAAAGATACTACTTACTCCAAGACGTCTGACAGAAGACAGAGATAGATGCCAACACACTCGGCTCGGCACTCCTCATAAGTGGAAGCGATGGTGGAGAATTTGGAGTCCCACGTCTCCCCAGGTTTGTACCATTTACTGATCTGCAGGAAGACAGTGATAAGGAACAAATGATGAGCTGCTCCATACAGAAGCAACTATAAAGGATAAATCCATGGTTTTGAGGGAAAGAGCTAGTTTAAGCATGTCTCTAAAGAATCACAGTAAAGAAAATTAGCATGAATTTCCCTCACTACACTCAAGTGTGAATGATGCCATAGCCAGTGAAAGATCTTGTCAGTGTTTCAGTGTTTTAACACCTGTAAAAAGGCAGCTTGCACTGCATGTTTCCCAGGAAGATGAGATTATTTCAGAATGCTTTCAGGTCTCCTGGGTTAATAATATACATTGAAAAGTACATAGACCTTCCTATTGAGCAGAAATTTGTGCCATACAAATACCGCTTATTATTTTAATAAATCATTTCAAAGAGCATTTTGTGGCCATCTGAGATAATTCCACAAGAGTCTATGAAAACAATCACAAAAATGAAGACAAACTAAAGGGACTGGATTCCATTCCAAAATAAAGCAAGAGAAAGGAAAAAAGCAAGAGTCAGAGTATACAGTTAGTCGTTAAGAGAGTGGAGGTCCTCTTACTAACTGCTCATTTTGACAGTTTCCCTTCTGGATGTATGTAAAAAGAACTATTTAACTTCTGTTAGTATGTATCTAATAACAAAAACAAGTTCACCTTTTCAGTGGAGTCGGGATAAGTCACAGAGTCCACATCAAAGTTCAGAGACCCATCCTTTTCCTGCAAGAAAAGAAAATATCAAGTAGTTAGATTACTAAAGACTATGCCTCAGAAAAGTCAGATGTTCCCCCACCCCCAGGGCAGTGCTACTGACTGAAGTTATCTTTACGCCATTCCCAAAGGGGGGATATTAACATGTTCTTAAGCAAAGTAGTATTGTAAATGGGCTGATTTATCAATGTCATGCTTATACTGTGCCGGAAAAACATAGGGGGAACTGCTACTTTTTCTTTCCTCATCCTTACTATCGTCAGTTTTCATCTACTTCTTTTGTACGTTTGTCACTCTCTTGTGAACTGCTATTTTCGGGGTGCCTTGATAGTCGAAGTAGACTTTGTACTGTTGAGGCTAGAGAGGTGAGCAGAGTAAGCCTGATTCCCCATTTTGACTTCTCTGTTGACATCTACCCCTTACAAAAAAAAACCCCAGTCAAGATGTGCAAAAGCAGTTCAGTTATTTACAGAATGTCCATTTCTTTAACCGCATAATTCTATCAGTGATCGTTTTCCATAACACCAGCTTACGTACTTTCAGCTTTTCAAAATATATTGCACAAAGCAGCGTTTACAGTCCCCTGCTCATTCAGCCTTCATCTCCTTTCAAAAAAATAGTCATGACTTCAAGGATAAGAAAGTCACTCTGGGGCAATTCGGATCAAATGAAGAAGTAAAAAGAACAGGAAAATGCTATTCATTAAAAGAATGAAAGTGCAAACAGTAATCTTGAAAGAAGTCTACTAAAAGATTAAAAACAGTTCTCAAAGAATAATATTTTATTTCCTCTGAATTGGACTTTGACATTTAGAAATTTCCATTTTTTAACAAGATTCGGTCAACTGAGTTCACATGGCAATGCCTTTCTTGGTATCAGCTTTAATTAAACTGATTATATAACAAAATGAAAGAGAAAAAGTTGCATTTTAGTGGTGGAATGCAAACAATTTTTTCAGTACTTTAAAGAGAAGTTAAAATGTGTATAGTGTCAAAATTACAAATAAATTGATCTATCCTACCAAAAGTTATAAGCAACAAACCATTTTATTTTCCAAACGAATGGCCTATAATGATTTCACTCCAATATACTTTAAAGAAAAAACAAGAAAAGAAAATCAGTAAAAAGTATCCACTGGCAGCACTTTCCAGTGCTCTGACAAGTTGCAAGTCTCTCACCATCATCACTTTGTCATACCAGTCTAGGAACAAATCCACATTATTGTTGGTAGTGTATCACTTCGAACACATAAAATCTTGATCAACTTGAAAGTGGTAAACCCCTTTGTTTTTTGCTTTATGACCTGAATCATACAAATCACAGTATCAAGCGTAAAAAGACGAAAAGTGGTTTTAAAGTTGTAACCGGTCTTTTGAGATCTGCTTACCTCCACAAACAGTTTCCCACTTCCATGGCCCAGGAGCTCATGAAGTCCAACCTGCACCTCAAAGGAGGAAATCTTGTACTTGCTGTACAATTCCTGTCAAAGAATAGTTAACACTTTCATGATATCAGCCCTATTGATAGAACCTTGCATCTTTTTTTATTTATTCGTACGCTACATCAGTTTCTTCCTAAAAGAGATAAGCTGAATTTTAAACATATATGATGCAGCGTGGTGGAATCAGGCTCTCGTCATTTTTGGGCATGTAGAGTTATTTGTATCATCTTAAAGCTTGTTCACTTGTCTTTATTTGGATGAAAAAAATATCCATTTACTTTGAATACAAGTCGAGATATTTGCGAAAGAAGGAGGTGGGGTCACCTGTTTTCAGAGGTAAAATTAGTGAGAAAATGGCCGCCAAAGATTAGTTATTTCCTTAGCTTAAGAGTCCGTGGTAACTGAAAATTTACATTCTTTGTGCCTTTAATCAACGTTTTTTCAAAAAAATCCACACTGAAATGAGTTCTGTAATGGGCATGAAAGGCGTTGAGCAAAAAAACAAAACAAAATTTTTAATTCAGAAACCTGCGGAAAAATACAAGTTTCTTGACTTTGATTATTTTGACGAGAGCCTGATTCCACCACGCTGTCTCACATATAGACTTTTAACAAATGAAACTAACAGTTTTATTAACACTGTAATATAGTGAAAAATAATTACAGTACATTATCTACCTACCAGTAGATGTTACATTATATATTCATTAAATTTTCCTTCTTGAATGATCTCTCAGACATAACCAAAGGCTCATTTTAGGCTATCTTGCATCAGAAAATAACAAGCACATGATGACTTCCACACATACCTTATCCTCATCTCTCAGGAATGTGATTTTGCTGTCCTTGTAGCCAGACGTTAACACATTGCCCAGTGACACATTTTTAAAGCCTTCAGACTGTCGAATATCATCATCTACAACAGAGTAAAGAAAAAAGACAGTCAGAGTAAAAATTTGCTCCTCTCTAACAAAAAGAAAATAGAAAAAACTAAAGAACTTTAATTGCACACCAGTTTGATTCTCTAGATGTCTCCTGAAAATCTAGGAAAGAATTTCATCAGGGTGTCTTCTCATTCCAGCTTCATAACAGCAAACTAATAGTGTCAGTACATTCAGTGAATAAAGTATTGTTTCAGCAAAACCTTTGGTTACATTTTTTATTGTCACATTCACAGAGGAAGAAATTAAAATAAGCAATCATAGCATTCCACCTAGTGTTGGCAGTAAATTATAAAACTGGACTTTCACGTCGGTTTTGCTCACAGTTTGGAATATTGATGCCGGCTGGGATTCCACTGCCTCCAAAACCCAGCACGTCTAGAGATGTGAAGTCTGGTCGGAGGAATTTGTCCTTCTCAAATTCTGCAGGCCAGGGAAGATGGGCAAGCAGGTGTTCTGCACCCGAAACAAGAGCGGCAAATTTGGTAGACATCGCTTTGTTGACCACTGCCACAAAACCTGGAACAAACAAAAACGTGTAACTCATTTTGCACAGATCTGGACAAACTTTATATTCAAGTGTCTCATACTAGCTCAACTCTTTGCTTCCTTACCTATATTCCTAGTGATGTATCAGACAACATCAATTTCTTAGAGCAAGCAAAGCACTATTCCTCTCTTCTTTCAAATAAGCCATTCTGTTTGAGCAATGCTGTTGTTGCTTCAACTGACTGAGGTTAATCAGTCTACTTACGAGTGATAGAAAGTACCAATATGAATTCCATATAAATATAAGGATTTCACTACCTCTCACCTGTCTAACAAAAAAATTAAGTCTGAAAGGTGAAACATCCAGCAAATACATAATAGTGACTGATACCGCAATAACTACTAAGAAAAGAGACTTCCTCTGATAAGAGAACACCAGGAACCTACCTTCAAATTCGCCTCTCACACCGTATGGGTCTCTGTATGACTCAATGAATCCAATGTACCTGAAGGTTGGTAAAAGAATACAGAAGAGGGATCAATCTCTTTAGTCCAGAAATCTCTTGTTTTCCCAAAACCGACCCCAAGCATATAAAAAATCAGAGAGGCTTCTCTTTTTTCAAGCCTTTTAAATTTCACCCACTTACATATTTTTAACTATGCTGAGGGGGCTCTCGTGGCCTAGAGGTTAAGGCATTGGCCTCTCATTCAAAGGTCCCGGGTTCGAATCCGGGTAGCGACCGAAAAATTTTCTTCTCTAAATGTGTCTCCTTTCACCTCATTTCCTGCTCTCTAGCAATGTTCTGTCGTCTGCTTTCGTCTCCTCTTTCTCAGTTCTGCCCTTACCTCCTTTGCCCCTTCCTCTGGGCTCCTGATTCTTTCTGCAGCCTTTCTACTGCTACTCCTTCCCTTCTTCTTACTGCTGTCTTTCAGCCACACCCCTGATCTTCTGGTAGGAAAGATCTACACCTAGCCTTCTCGGACAAGGGCGAAAAATCTCGGAGGGCCCGTGTGCAAGTTGCGCATGTTAAAGATCCCTTGGTCGTCTAAAATCGATAAGAGTAGGCTTCGGCCGCCACCTGGGCAAAATTCAAAATTTCCTACCAACTGAAAATATTAGGTGTGTTCCTCGCACTCATATGATCTTATGCAGTTGCGAGGGCCGTAAAACACTTTACAAAAACAAACAAACAAACAAACTATGCTGAACCTTTTGATATGTTAGTGTGTAGACAGACAAACCTTTTACAAGCAAAAACTTTTTGTGTCTTGAAAGTATGCCCTCAGGCTCACACACTAAAAGCTCTAACAAAGCATAACAATAAAAATCTAGGTACTTCGAGATAGAAGTAGAAGATTAAAGTATCACCAAACATACAAATATGAATTGGCACAAACCAACCAAAATGGGCAACATGAAATGACAATTTCAAGCGATTTTCAATCCAAGTCTCATGTCTACACATAATAAGCATGAATCTGCACTGTCATGGAACAAAGCAGGATATCCTCAGCAACTCTGCCAGCAATTCAGATCTTGCTTAATTTGTGCTGTAATTCAAGTTTGGCACTTTCACAATGTGTTTTTGTTTTTTAAGGGGGGGGGGCTACACCTGGAGGCTATCTCGCTTATTACTGGACCGAATTTTACCAAATTTCACACATATAACAAGCATAGTAAGGAGTCTTAAAATCCGCAATCAAATTTGAGAAGAAAGTTTCGTTTCCATGGATATGCCGCCATATTGGATTTTATTGACATGTCTTACGTAATGAATACCGCACTTATCGCTTATGGAAATTGATTGTTTTTTTGCATGGGTGTTTACAAACATTAGATCTAAAAATTTGTCTGTTGTTTTTTTCCTAATCGAATTAGAAAATTTTTAATGAATTTTTTCCTGAGGTAGCATGCAAGTTTGCGAAAAATCCGTGAAAATCCACACTCCAGACACCACCAACAAAAATCTATTCCATATATAAAAAATTCAACGGACAAATTTTTAGTATTACCTCTTCTCTTCATTCTGTGAAAATTTCATGAACATTGGATGAAAAATGGTGGAGTTATTCAAAAAAGTATAGAGAAAAGTCGCATTTTGAGAAAACGGCCGATAAAGAAAAATAAAATACTGACTTTATGAGGAAATGGCGGTTACAAACATGCCCGGTATGGGAAAAAATACGGTTTTGGGGGGTTCTTATGCCATGAAATAGTTGTAGGAGAGGCTGAGGAAGCTAAAAATGCCTACAACTCAAATTGTAGCCCCCCCCCCCCCCCCCCCCCCCCCCCGATAAGAAACCATTTCAGGAAAGAGAGCAGTCAAAGACCCTCTCCACAGAAAGCAACAGCGCACATGAGTATCTAGCATAGTTGAGACAAACGGTTATATTACAGTAACTACAATAGATATCAGTTTCTGGCAGTGAGTGTTTACACTCAGGCAATTGTTTTACCCTTTAACTTTTAACCAGAATTCAAGCTTTGAACAAAAGTAACACATAGCTGATGGTAATAGATGCTGTTCACACAAGGACATGCGAATAAAATCAAGTTCAAAACTGTCCACGCGTGTAAGCTATACAGATGTCATAAACTTACGTTTCAACAATAGGACCTTTGTTCTTGATCCAGAACCTGGAACCATCTTTGTGAGCATTAATGGAGCCCGTTGTAAAACTCTTGATATACTCTTTCAGCATGGACTTTTCATTGTCATTAGCTGCGTATTGCTAAAAATTAAAAAAAATGTCAAAGCTTTAATTACAACTATTGAAGCAAATTGCAGCACCTGAAATAGTCAGAAAATATTAAGAAATACTCACAAAAACAATAGGCTGAGAAATGACAAAATCATTTTTAAGTAAGACTAATACATTGACAAATTACCAATAGAAAAGGCCAAACAATTTGATAAGAATAGTGACATGAACAAAGCCAAACATTAACAAATTATTCTTCTTACATTCAAATCTTGTAACAGATACAGAAAAATACAAATTGGAATCAGAATCAAGTATATCCTACAAAGGATTACAAGCAGACTCAGACTTAGTATAATGAATAACAACATATTTATTTCACAAGAGATGCACACTTGAAGATAAAAAGAAATGCATATAGTTCGTCTTCACATATGAAGAAAATTATTAGTAAGTGTTCTGCAGCACTTGCAACACAATAAGGTCATATAAGTGCCAAAGATTAGTGGAGTGACAAGAGAGTAACAAACACAAAAAAGAAGGAGGGGAGATAAAGACAATAGATGTTTGATGACTACAAAATTAAACCCACTATGGGTCAAAGTCACATTTCATATAAAATGTACCGCAAAAGAGATCAAATCCACTTTTCATACTCAATCAAACCTTTCTCAACCTAAATACAAATGATTAAACATTTATCAATTTTGTTAGCCTTGGGAAGTTGTGAAACTAATCCCTTGCAGATTAGAAAGGCCCAGTGTGTCAAAGTAAATCAACGGTATATAAATCAATAAAAGTACCTCAGCATTGGAGAGCTCTTCACTCAACATGAGCATGAGGGGGGAATAGTCTCCCCTCGTGACCTTGAACTTGATGGCCTTTTTTTCCCCACTAGGGGTATACATATGCTCACCAAATACAGAGTCATCAGGGAAGCCAGAAATAACAGCAGCTGCAACAGATGAAATATTGTTTTTTAATGATCACTAGTGATTCTTCTCTACGGCTACAGAGCATAATCTCAAGGTTTATCAGCTTACAATAAAGACCATATCTTATTGTATTGTCCGTAAATTTCAGAGGAAAACATAACATAATATGTTTCTCCATTAAGTAAAATATTCTACTAACTCTTGAAAACAGTTTACATTCAACACATAATTCTCGTAATACAAATCCTATTACACAAAAGGTTTTGTCTAAATCCATCGTGTAAATACTTTAAGTCAGAAGTGCTCACAAAGCATTGCTCTACCTGTCACCTGATGATAGGAACCACTGAGTCACTAACCTCCATGTTCTGCTGAAGCCAAACACACTTCATAGACAGTCTCACCACACTCGTCCGCGGTTTTGACCAAGCGAGTATTGTAGGGACTGATTTTCTGTAAAACAAAAATTAAGTTGAAATAATCGGTTATCCCCTTCCTCTCCAACACTCAAGACAAACTTCATGGCAGCCTTTAAAGCAGCCACATAGAGCATTTCATTATTTCAAGACAGTCTTCCACAGTCTACATTCATGACATAATTTCTTCCCAGACATTCCATGAGCCATGAAATAAACTTTGCAATTTCAATCTAACCAAACCTCATTTCTTTCTGGCTTCACCACGAGTCTTATGATATGATCTTTGGGTAAAAATATAAATGTTATAAAAGTCACTGGCAACCTACTAATACAGTATATTTTTATCTACATGCCCAACAAGCCTTTAAAAAGGAAAAATAAATTGTGTACATCTCAAAACCTCGTCTTTTCCATCAATTTATCAAAACACATTCCAATGACATAAAGTATAAAGGCTATCCTTCCTCACAAGAACAGTTACAGTACTACCATCAAAGCAAATTATTATTTCAGAAGTTTCATAGTAACAACAATCGATGAAGCTCCTAAAATATGTACAGGCATCATGGAAAAAAAGTTGCAATGCACCCACTTTTTCATCCAAGAATGGCTGGACAAGTTTGGCATCATTCTCATCGCAGTTGGCAGAGTAATATGTGCTTGTGCCCTGGAAAAATATACGCAACTTATCTACAACAATTCACAACCATTGTTTTCATAAAGCTTCCTCAAATATATGTGTAAATAAGAAAATGTGTATAAATTGTTACAACAGATAACTGAAATATACATAAACGCAATCGTTAACTCCAGCATGAATTTGCTGGAGAAAGGGACTATCCCATGCACAGTGTTAATGTGGTGGTGACCACCATTCCAATAGCTTCTGGAACAGCCCAAAGCCAAGTTGTTGAAAATAGAAGTCTTGAAGAGTTGTTCCTCATGAGAACTAAAGTTAAGCAAGTTCAAGTACAAAATACACAACACAGTAGTGTCAACAAACATACCTTATAATGCCTCTTAATAAGTTTACCTTGAACATGACTGATATCACTAAAACCTATGATTCATATAAAATTTACAAAGAGCAAATGTTTTTTTAAGAAACATTAGCATTCACACCATTGAATATAACCACAACAAATTTTAATATCAAATATTACATGTCCGCTCACAAACAGTTTTTAAAAAATTATTTATCAGATCACTTTCAGCATCCTAAAAAATAACTATTTTTACACACATAAATCAAGTATGCATGGTACAACTGGGAGCCCATCACACCAGCATTATCTGCATCTATTCTGTTCATTCTACAGTAAAAATTTACTACGCAATAAGGTAACCTGACTTTTCCAAAAAGATTAATTTCATTCCTTATCTTTTACTTCTTTTTTCTGCATCTGTTCTTTTTTAAGACTTGACCATCTGCATTTCGTAGTACAAGAAGTTTCTGAAAACCACCAGCCTTTCGATAACAACAAGTCCAACGTACAGAGACACAATACAAACCTTGGGAGCCAAGCCGAGTTCTTTGTCACGGTCACCGAGGGAAAACATCCTTTCCTTGACCTTGTCCCAAAGCTGCTGCAGACCAGCACTATCATCCGTGTAAGCTTTGCTAGCTTTCACCAGCAACTCCATTTTGCTCTGTCAACACAAAAAAAGGAACAAGAACAAAAGAATAAAATTCAAAGCCCAAATATAAGTTCTGCAAGGTTTTTTCAACTTGACAGTCATTTTGTGTGGGTAAATGTTTTTACTACTGAGAAGACATCATGCAGATAAAGGTGCTAAATTATTGAGTGGTGTAAAATCCTTAAAAACTAACACAAACTCACCCAAAACTATAATCAAAATAAATCACTCTCATGACAGTTTTCTTAATAGTAAACACCTAGTGAATCCAACTAAGACAGGCGCTGGTACAATATATTTCATGTTTGACAGAAAATGTTGGGACAAAAAAATAGGACACAAATAAAAAACAACTATCAATCCTCCATATATGATTTTTTAAAGATTATAATTAAAATTCATAATAATGACATCATGATGACTTATCTGTCACGACAATGAAAAGCTATGATATGAATAAGAGCAGATGTTAGGAATAGGTAATAGAACGGTGTTCAACAACATAACCTTACCTTTTCAAAAAGAAAGATTACAGGGTATTCACCTCTGGATAATAGAGTTGGGTCGCGCTCGCTAAATCAGCGCCCGCGAGTAACGAACTACTTGCTGGCACTACCCGCAAATGAGAACAGCCGTCCGCTTGAGAATAGTTCGCTACTCGCTACCCATCGGACAGAAACAACAGTTCGTTTAGCGAGCGAGCGGACGGGCAGACAGAGAGACTCCATGCATTTGAACGGTCGGACGGACGGACGGGGAGCGACTCCTTCCATTGCATACTACCTACACCCCCCATCCCCCCCCCAAAAAAATCACCCTTCTGCCCCACATTGTAGCTAGGCGTTCATGGCAGAAATTTCTGTGCCCCATCCACCACCAAAAAAAAAAGGCCTTTGGGAATTCTTTAAACTTCGCCTTCGAGATAATTGGAACGTAGGCTACACAGTGTGCCCACCAAAAGTTGAAAGGTTACACACATAGATCTAGTACGACGTCACCAGCTTCTCTCACTCCCTGTGGCACCGCTAGCTGCTTGAAACACTAGGCCTACGCCTAATTAACAAACAATAGGCGACGGGCCTAACTTCGCGTCGAGTATCTTGTCTGCTAGAGTTCGTCCGTTCGGCCACCCGCTCAGTGAATAAAATTGTGGAACGGACCAAAGAAACTAACCGACTTGAGACTTGAGGTCCGCAGTCCACTCACTGAGCGAGTAAAATTGTGGAGTAGACCGAAAAAACAAACTATCTTGAGGTTCGCAGTCCGCTCGCATAGCCATCCGTTACCCACTCGCTCTGACTGAGTCCGCGAGTAACGAAACCCGTCCATCCGCTCGCCCCAACTCTACTGGATAAGTGCACCTGAACTAAGATCAAACATCAATGATGTACTCCCAATGCAAGGAGCTCAACACCAAGATGACTAGTTCCCCTGTCCCTCCCCCTATCTTCACTCTCGGGAAAACATTACTAAAAAAATTATATTTTCTTATCGTAAAAAGTTGGACAAAGAACTTACCCGTTCAACTGCTGGGACAAACTTGGTGTCACCAAAAGATTTGTAGTTTCCCATGTTGCAGTAGAATGCAGCAGCGTAGATGAAAAAAGCCTGTGGAAGTAAATATCACATGTATTATACATAACGTACCATTATTAAAACATACATGATATATATATATACTCTTACAGAGTCTGTAAAAAGTTTCAGATATACGGGAAAACTTGTCTCTGTTTTAAAGAACAAAAACATTGTTCATTAGAAATTTTACATAACCAGTATACAAGCCAACATTAAAAAGATCAAAGCTAGATATATATATATATATATATATATATACCATATATATCTGTACCAACCTTACAAACAAATTTTTAAAGCATCAGAGCACAAGTCATTGAAACAAGAAATAACAGGTTTCGCCTTTTGCTAGTATACCAAAAGACATCACTGTAACATAAAGCATTATACCTGGACATCTTCATCTGAGAAGCCCACACTCTTAGCTAGTTCAGACACTTCAGCTGGACTTTGACTCCTGAACAACTTTTGCAACAAGACAAATATCCCTGGCGATTCGGGAGATGTCTGTAAATAAAATAGAGAACAATTAAGGGTTGTAGACGAACATAGATAATCATTTCCAATGACAGTGAGAGCAAGGTCTGATCTGATTATACAGCTTTCGACGAAAGGATTACCATCAACAAATGGCAAAATATACAGTTTTTCAAGTGAAAGGGGGCACTATAAATAAAAGTTTGCTGTTGGTACAATTATTGTTACTAAAGTTATTATTTTGCCAGAATATTTCCATTGAGGACTACACCCTCTCACAGTTCATACCACAGAACAGTAGAATTATTTCTAACACTTCACACAAAGACTCTCTCAACATCAAATCGTATATAATGTACTAAATCAACCATAACAAGAATCATAACTTGCACCATCTAAAATTAGTCTCTATTGCAATTTTCATGAACAGCACTACATCCACAAAATTTTGGCTTTGTGTAGCTAATTAACTCTCAGCAGTTCATGCAGTATTATAACGTATAAAAATATATACGATGGCTGGTGCAAGTTGTATTTCGCCTATAAAATACATTTATTATTTACTTTTATAAAGAAAGATTTTGTAAAGTACTTTTGTCAAATAAAAATGACTAAATAGGCTAAAAAATATAAAATAGGTATTAAAATTGATGGTTTTATTATAAAATTCTCGCTCTGAAATGTCCTGCTTCAAGGGCAGTTACCGAGAATTTGTAGAATGCACAAGAACGGCCTTTAGTTCTTTACTTTTTCAACAGAATGAGGTGTCTTTTACACATTACATGCAGAATTTAATGTACTTTCTCATCAAATTAGTGTAAACTCTAAATTGTAAATTTTTTTTTCTTCTTTATGATTGCTGGGGCAGTCTGATTTCTGCCTCTATTTTTAGTTACACGAAAAATATGTCACACCTCAAGAAAGCTTGACAACTACGAAATCTATTGGCTAGGTCTGAAAGACTATCTAATTCCCTTTCTATTGGTATGTGCTATGTCTATCTGGAACAGATAGATTATTGCAGGAGGCTTGAGAGAAAAAAGTCATGATAAGAAATTTCCAGATTCAAGGGCAATAACTAGGAATTGTAGGATGTACTAGAATGGCTCTCATTTCTTTATTTTCCAACAGAATGGTGTATCTTTGACACATAATACGCAGAATTCTATAAATAAATCATTGATGGTCAAGGCCAAGGTTTTCAATAAAATATTGTAAACTCTAAATTCTCAAACACTTTTTCTCCTTCTTTGTGACTGTTTGAAAAGTGTGATTTCTGTTTTTGTTTCTATTTTTAGTAACAATTTAAAAAATGTCCAACTTCAAGACAGCTTGACAAAAAATGAAATCTACTGGTTAGGTCTGAAAGACCATCCAATTCCTTTTCCATTGATATACAATACGTCTATCTGGAGTAGATAGATTATTGCATGAGGCTTGAAGGTATGGAGGACCTCTGAAACATAAATGAAAAAGCCAAAATAGGTAAAAACTGTGGGTAGTTTTAAAGCTGCAAATACACAATGTAGAATCAAAATTTTTCTTTCAAAAGTTCTTTGAGTCATTTATCCAAACTCAAGTCTAATTCACTACTGTTCTAGAGTGGTAATTTCATTTGTGGTTTATTAGTACTTTTCTTCCTTTGCCTTAATTCTTTTAACTGGCATTAGTGACCACAGTGATTATTCACTCATCCTGGAGATTTCAATTTTCAACTCACACCCCTCCTCCACACAATAAACTAAGAGAATACTTTGAAAAAACTATTCATTTTACTCCCGCATAATTCAGTTCTCACCTGAAGCAAGACAATAAGGCCACCTTTGAAACTTGCTTGAGCCAAGTGATGAGAGTAAAGTCTTTCCCGCTGGGACAGCCCTTCAAAGGCTTCGGAGCAGTTCAAAAGAGCTACTTCTGTCTCATTTGGGATGAGATATTGCGAATTTGGCTGGGCAGCCATTGTGCTTCCCGTATGAATCACTAATCAGTGCTTTCTCTGGCAAAACAAAACCACTGCAATAGAACAAGCACAGTCAGTCAATAGTAAATCAAATAAAAAGAAGGCACCAAATCCAAAACCCGAAATATCAATTATAAATAAAATGATGGTACGGGGAGAGAGTAAGTGTAAAGTAAGTGAGTAAACTGAGTTGTAAGTAAATGATATGTTAACAAAATTGGAGAAAGCAAACATTACTTCAGGTAAAATTTGGTGTGGTAAAGGTTGGCACAGAAATTGATAAAAAGAATCAAGAAATGAAATAGAACTACTGTAATGTGAAACCTCAGTGTGAAGAGCAATCGTATTTTGTTGTTATTTAAGTATTTCAAGAGTAGAAAATCTTGAAAATTCAATTCCCGTCAGAAACCTGAGGACAAAACACAACTGCTTTGTTGGTTGCTGCCATCATATAAATTGTAAACAAAGATATGTGGATGAGTTATCAAATGATAGCCTAGAGGGGGGAAGGTAGGGTATGCATTCATTATCAGTGACAAGGGTGCTTCAAGAATATTTACGGCTCAAGAAGCTCCTAGCTCAGTAGATACCCCACAATACCCCACACTTTGACATGGAAAGTAATGTAAGGGTGCAATGGTGCATGGTTAGAACATGCCACCAAGCTCAAAAATACCCATGCCATGAGGATTGAGACTGGTGCCCAAAATATCATATGTAATAAAATGGCACTTTCACTTCAAAGACCCTTCCTTACTCTTGAAAACCGCAGGATAAAATAAGTCACACTGGAAGGTTTCTGCATTACGTTCTTCAGCACAAACTTGAAACGAAGAGTTTGATATTTCCATGCCACACGAAGAGAAAGAAACCATAAGTATAGAGAAAGAAACCATAAGTATAGAGAAAGAAACCATAAGTATGCTTAATCACAATACTTATTTCCCCCATCATGGAAAATAACAAAACCATTCTCAAAAAGGTACAAGAGGGATTGAAATGATGTTTAAAGTCCTTGCCCACACAACAGTCAAAACGAGGCGCTTTTTAACACTTTGTGGTGCAGTCACTTGGCGCAATAATGCAAGAAGTCTAAAAATTAACAACAATCACCCACTGGCATTGGTACTTTTGCCTGACTTCCTAGCTGAAACAGACCTCTGTTTCCTCCAAATAAAAAAACATCTGGCACAGTTCAATTCACATGAAGCTGCAGCGAGCACCTAGCACACCTCTGTGATCGGCCCAACCCAAATATAGATGACGAATTTGTCATCTATTTTGTCGTCTTCCGGGGTTTCCACCAAGACTCTTTTTGGGTTTCCCTCGCAAGTAACTGTTGACTAGATCTCGTCGTGTTGGGTTTTTTTTCGGTGTATTAATTCATGTTATCTTTTATAAACAATCTTAGCAATTCTCATTCCATAAATTCACCTTCTCCTCACACACACACAAACACACATTTAAGTGAATGCACACACACACAGCCCAAGCAGTCTGCGATGAAACCTAGTGACATAGCCCATCACGCGGTAAGCAGGCCAGGCCTGCCACAGTGAGATCTAGTCAACTGGCGAGAGAAGCCCCTGAAGAAGACAAAAATAGATGGCGGAAATATATCATCTATATTTGGGCCAATCACAGAGGTGTGCTAGGTGCTCGCTGCCGCTTCATGTGTTCAATTCTACCGTGAGAAAAGCATTCAGCTCAGCAATACAACAGTCAAGTCACCTGAATCTCAAGTCTACGGGATAATCCGATTTTGGCCACAACGACTAAGCTACCACCCTACTATTCTACAATCCTCCAATCCCACACCTACCCCTAACCCATATAAAGTAAATGTTGATATTTCATTACTCTTGGGGCCAAAACAGATGGTACTAGTTAAATTACTAATTTAAGATTAAATTCAAAGTTTCGAGTGTAGTGGTACAGCCGTAGTAATGGAAGTGAAGGCAGGTTTAGGAGGAAATCTCGAGAAACAGCAATTGCAAAACTGACATGCGACTAAACGTAGAAGGACGCACCTGCCTGATCGGCTGCTAATTTTAGTAATGTGATGTCATCACATCCTCAGGTACCCACAGACTATTTTTAGAAGGCCATGGAGACAAAGATTCTCTACTAAAATCTTTGGTGGAGATACCGCGTGTAACGACATGTTGGGTCAGTGGCTGGACGTATTAAATCTGTATCGATGTGTTTTGCATATGTGTTTAAATTTCACACTTGTGGCTAACTCCATCAGTCATGCTCTGATTGGTTAGTTTCCAGTAGATCTATGTCAAATAACATTTCGAAATTCCTATTGGCATGATGGAAGATCGCTTTTAGATCGTTGATGCTCAGAACAGTAAGAACGCTGATTCTTGAAATTGAAACACGGTAAACGCAAAGACAATAAAGCGCGCAAAAATTGCTGTAAAGACACCAGAAGATTACCTCTCCCCTCCCCCGATAAACAATGCGCAGAAGAGATTAAGCAGTAGCATGATCGGAGCACCGCATCTTATCACTTCGGTATTCCTGGAAAAACATCGCACCACAGCGTTGGGCCATCGAAGATCGCGTAGTAGAGAATCTTTGGTGCCATGCGATTGGGTATTGATAGATGTAGTCACGTGATCGGAGGGGTATTATCCCGGTCTGACATCACACAAGATGGCCGCCTTGCCAAAAAATAGTTTGCGTCATTAGAACGTTTAGTTGCAGGTGCAAAAGTGTGCATGTTACAGTAGAAGACTGAGAGATTTGTTTTTTTGTTTGTTTGTGGGGGGGGGTTTTTTAATAGACTGTTTCCTTTTGTACCTTGACTGATAAGTATTCAGGAGAAATACTCTGTGTGGGGGGAAGGTAGGGGAGGTTGGTTTTTTTTTATATGTGGAAATTCATGTTGCGAGAAGTTTCAGTTTTGATTTCGTTTTTGCAAGTGGCTATTCTCCGGCGTCGCGCCGGTCAATAGATCGGAAGCTATTCTCCGGCGTCATTACTAGGCCTAGTACTAGTAAGTCTACCTTTCATTATTATATTTTATCTTTGGTAATTGTCTAACACAACTTAATTCTTTTATTTCCATCATCCATTTGCTTATTTTTAAATATTGATTCTGTGTCTAAAATCCTGTCTAATATAGCTTGTTGTTTAACTTTTATTTCTTTTTGTTGTAATTTTCGATCATCTTAACTGATATGTCGCGACTTCAGTACTTTCTTGTCGTATCTTCATTTTTGTAAACAGTAAAAATGTGACTCCTTCTTACATACTCACTCTTTGTTATGAACTCGCGTCAATATAGTTGTGAACACGTTTCTTCTAGCACCCAACATAATTCTAAATTGGAGGAATTGGGGCAGTTTGTCACGCCGTCACGGTGTCTGAAAACCTATCGTCTGTAGTATCAATGGAAGTGGCACGAAGTGGTAAAGTTCTGGGAATTTTTTTCCAAGACAAACAGATGAGAGAGGTATTTACAAATCTGCACCGACAAATTATTAGTAATAGACTGGAGGCGCGACGCCGGAGAATAGCTTCTTGATCTATTGACCGGCGCGACGCAGGAGAATAGCCACTTGCTTCGTTTTTTTATTGAAAAGTAAATAATCTAGATTCTAGAGAGATTTAGACATAGATCTAGATGATTCTAGATCTAGATCTAATCTACATCTAGATCTCTAGACTCTAGATTTACTCTTTTTGTTTGTTGTCGTGTAGTCACTGTAGACTGTAGACTATTTTCTACGTTGTAGAATCTAATTCAGAAATCTAGTGTGTAGTGTAGCAGCCGGTGAAAGCCGGCTTCTGCTCCTTTAAACAGAAACAAATTCTCACCACTGAATTCATCCACAAAAGCCGAATCTGTTGAGAGTATTTCCACAATCACAAAATTCGTGCTGTTCTTTTTTTGTTTTTTAAAGGTCTCAGAAACTTGAGTCTATAGATTCTAGAATTTAGTAACCTGAACCAACAAATTCTTTCACGTCGCTGTCGTAGTTATGCCAGTCTTCACTTGAACTTGTAGATCAAAATCTGATCAACTCCTTCTATGTATCATGTATAATGTATTGTCATAAACAAATGCCATTACTATAAACACTTTAAACAAAAGGAAATAAATCAGCATCCCACCCAATGCCATTCAATTATACCCTGTCTCAAAGACCACCGTTTTCTACCTATGCCAACTGTTAGGGCTGTTAAGGACAACTGTTTGAGTTTTACTGAGGTGTGGCCAAAAGGGCATTTGGTGATTCGCGGATGTTTTCAACTGCGGTACATACAATCCAAATCACGACACAATATTCACTGCACAACAAACAAACAGGCACAACAGTCACAGTCACAGTGTCGTCTCTTGGCCTTGTCACAAGGAAGGAAATTATTAACTTATATTGAGGGCTGCAGGCTGTGCAGGGCAATCGACTTCAGGTGAGTGGGTGGTAAGATTGAAGAATACCGGACCAGCGGACTGACAACTTTGCCTATGACCCTATGACATCTCAACCTTAGCCTTAATTTAATATTTTGTTTGCAGTTTTTAGGTTTGATATCTTAGCTTAGCTCACCGCGAATCAAACGTATAGATCAAGATCTAGATGTAGGTCAGGCTCAAATAAGGGGGGTGGGAACTACCGAAAAAGCACCCACCTCTATTCTCACCCGGGATGAGAATAGTGCAGGCGAGTCTTTTGGCTATTCTCACCCGGTGCGCGTTCACCGTTATAGCCTAGACCTAGGCCAACAAATTTTGCGTTCACCCTAAACCACAGAATTCTACACTGTAATAACAGAAAAATTGTAGAATTCTGTGCCGTGAACAAACGTTCCATTACAACTGTAGCCTACTAAAAGCGTACAATTTTGTCTGTGTCTGTGGGCAGTGGAGAGAGAGAGAGAGGAGTAGCGCGAGAACTTCCGGTCAAAACAAAATGGCGACCCGCGTAGTTCTGCTCGATTCGAAAAGTTAAATAGCCGTAGCATCTTTGTAGACAACCAAATTAATTTACTTTTGTGTTTTAACATCATTTTTTAACTTTGTTTTGGTCAATTTGATCGTCCACACCGATAGACAGTATTCAGAAAGAGACAGAGAGAGGGGAGGAGTAGATCTTGCGAGAACTTCCGGGCAAAACAAAAAGGCGACCCGCGTAGTTCGGCTCGATTCGAACAGTGAAATAGCCATAGCATCTTTGAAGACGATCAAATTAGCTTACTTTTGTGCTATAACGTAATTTTTTCTTGGCTTTTATCAATTTGATCATCCACACCGATAGACAGTATTCCAAAATGAGGAAAAGCAGGTCTTGTTTCGCACCGGGTGAGAATAGCCTACGCTGGCAAGCCTCACCCGGGGTGAGAGGTAGATCGTTTTTCTGTTCTCACCGCGGATGAGAATAGCCACTTCCTTTCTAGATCTATATTATTTATTCTATTCATTACAATCACACACACTCACACTCTACCGACTCTGGGTGCTGAAGCTTTCCGAAATCACAAAAGTAAAGATTTCCCCTACCGGGTCTGTATACTTCTTGACTTTGTTCCCGGTTACTGGGTCTGTAGACACTCCCTTTCAAAATTCGTAAAGATCCTTTTATTTAGGATTTAAGCTGATCTAGATCTAGATGTGTGTTGTTATGTGGATGGAGAAATGGGTAACGTGTAATGTAGTACTTTCACTCCCGCTCACAGATGCATTACTTCGGGGGTCAAACTGCAGTATTATTTACTGCGGATCATACATGATAGCCACCACTAAAACTGTCGCAAATCAATTATTTTCAAGAAAATTTCTCACCTAACTGCAACCCCCCCCCCATTTTTTTCTTATAAATTTGAGGGGGGCATGGAATGGAAACTCCCCATTTGGTTCAAAGCGCGGAAATTACTACGCATTTAATTAGGCTTAGTCTGATAAGGGGGCTCTCGTGGCCTAGAGGTTAAGGTGTTGGCCTCTCATTCAAAGGTCCCGGGTTCGAATCCGGGTAGCGACCGAAAAATTTTCTTCTCTAAAATTGTCTCCTTTCACCTCCTTCCCTGCTCTCTAGCAATGTTCTGTTGTCTGCTTTCATTTCCACTTTCTGCCCCCACCCCCTCACTTCCTTTGCCCCCTCCTCTGGGCTCCTGACTCTTTCTGCAGCCTTTCTACTGCTACTCCTTGGCTCCTTCTTACTGCTGTCTTTCTGCCACACCCCTGATCTTCTGGTAGGAAAGATCTACACCTAGCCTTCTCGGACAAGGGCGAAAAATCTCGGAGGGCCCGTGTGCAAGTTGCGCACGTTAAAGATCCCTTGGTGGTCTAAAATCGATAAGAGTAGGCTTCGGCCGCCACCCGCGCAAAATTCAAAATTTCCTGCCAACTGAAAATATTAGGAGTGTCCCGCGCGCTCATATGACCTATGCAGTTGCGAGCGCCGTAAAACACTTTACAAAAACAAACAAAACATTAGTCTGATAAAGTTCCATTATAGACCCTAAAATATTTTTTTAACTGTTAATTTGCTACAGAAATGAAGTCGGTATTCGCGTTCAGCGCATCAATATGTGAGCGTGCCTGGTGAAAGGGACCAGAACGCATTTTGAAGAATCCCTTTTTTTTTTGCATTTTCATGTACAGAAATAATTTCGGAACAATATGCTTTTTGAATTTTAAAGATGTCTTCAGTAGTTGTTTTTTTTTTAGATATATGGGTGATTTTGTAAGGCAGGTTACGGAAACAAAGTTTTGAGAAAAACGGCTTTAAAGTTTCCCCTTTGTTTCTGCTTCAAATAGATAGATCTACCCTTCGAGACGACCTGACGACATATTCGCTACTCACAAACCAACTTTAAAAAAGCATTTAAGATGAAAGAACAGCTTCGAAATGTTTATATTATGTCTTCAAAACAAATTCACCACCACCTTGAGCAAGAGTTTTCAAGAAATAAATCTAGGTTTGCGCAGGGCAGAAAAATGTGATACAAGTTTGCTCTCCAGAAAGGCAAAAGGGTATGGATGCGCAAAGCTTCACTTTGTTTACATGTTCTAGATATTCATACGCTCTGCCCGCCACTAGAGAGAGGAGAGAATGACCTAAGTTTTAGTATGCAATATGATTGGGTCGACTTTATGAATGGACAAGAGAAACCATCCGCAGTGTTTACTCGGAAAACCAATTTTCTCACACATTTTTGGGGATTATGCAATATACGTCATATTTAAAAAACATCTTTTAAAATGTATTTTAACCCTCGTAGCGCTCCAGGCGACAAAATTTGCTTCCCCTCTCTCATTCCGCTGAGCGCGCGAGGCGACTATAATCGCCAACGGGCAGGCCAGCTCCCAAGCGCGCGAGGCGACTATTGTCGATTTAGGGGAACACCTTATTTTTGGAGCAAATAGCGTCTCCTTTAGCTGCTATTATTAGTTCTGTAATGGAAAATTTTACTCTAGAATGGTTCAACCAATCAAAATCAAGGAAAAAATAACCCAGGGGTCAAGGCACTGCGTGCCTTCGTGGGTTCTGTTAGGGATAGACTCTATATAATGTTTATTTAGGTCAATTACCCTGTTGCGCTGAACAGTGAATGATTGGTTTCATTTTATACAGCTTTCCCTTTATTATTTTGAAAACCATACCTCTGGAAAGTGAAGTCTTTTCTGAATTTATAAATTGTCTAGGGTTTTGGTGAATGTATGCGTGCATACTGTCAAGATACAAAATGAAACAATAACATTCCCCGCGTGAGCCTCAAACAACCCAGCCAGCGCTCCGGGGCAGGTCACTAACGGTCAAGGCTAAGCGTGCCTGGCACGGAGCACGCTCAGCGCTTCCGGTAAGCGCTACGAGGGCTAAAGTACAAGAAACTCAAGTCCTTGTAAATATCGATATACAGTCGAACCTGTGTAAGATGGCCACCCATTGTCAAGGAGAAAAGTGGCCGTATAAGACAGGTGGCCGTCTTAGGCAGGACTTATCAAGATGAAGAAAAAAAACCATTCCTTTCTGAGGTCCCAACCAAAAGTAGCCGCATTGTTGTTGTTTTTTATAATTTTTTTGTTGTTGTTGTTGCTGCTTTTGTGCAAGGGAGACAATAAAACGAAATGGACCAAGTGCTGTGATAAAACAAACACACGGGTCGCCACCACTCGGAGAACGAGCGACACTCCATTATTACAGACTGGGTAAACAGTGACCACTCATCTCACTTACAATTTATGTATGAGTTCTGGGCGGGGTTTATGGGGTATGAGGGATCACACGCTTACCTCACCAGCAGCTGAAAATGTGTTACCTATTGGTCAACAGTGGGAGTGGCCTACGCAACATGATCGGTTGGAGGGGCTACCTAACAATAACGACACATGATTGGATTATGACTGCTCGCCCACAACGCCAGGGGCCAATGCACAATTTATGACAAAACGTAATGGAGTCACTGAGGTGGCCGTCTAAGACAGGTGTTATTGTTTGGTGTGAATGGGGTTGTGTGTTAAAATATGGTGGCCGCGGCCGCGTTGGACAGGTGCCCGTTTTACACAATTAAATTATATAGAAAAAACGCAAGTGGGGGAAGTGGCCGTTTGTACAGGTAGCCGTCAGGGCAGGTTCGACTGTATATTAATGGTTAAAGAATCCATTTTTAATGGAACTTAGTTTTTGTCAAAAATTCCATTTTTGACCTTTGAAGCCTGATATTTCCGTTCAAGCAAATGCGTCTTGTGGTCCCTTTCACCAGGCACGCACACATATGTAGTAGAAAATGGACATATAGCAGCTTAATATGAAACGGGAGGGAAAGTAAAAGAATACCGGGAAATGTGTAATAAATTACCTTGGGTTAAATTAGTAAAATATAAGTACAGTATAATAGCTAATTCTAAAACTATACTCTAGTGTAATGTAGGATTCGGCAGACACCATATCTTGCATTTAAAATCCAAGCAGTGGAAATGAGATGTCAAAGGAGAATACTCAGCATCTCACATAATACGCTGCGGCATCTCTATACTATATCTATATATTATATTTGTGAAAGTTTGTCACTTTGGACGCCTAAAGCTTCCAAACCACTTAACTTTCGAATTTGACAAAATTAATGGTGGTTCAGAATCATTTAGAGGGTGCACAGTTTTATTGAGGAGCCTGAAGTCACTGTAGGTCAGTTTTTCATTAGTTTCGTTTAGATCTAATCTTAGGAAAGTCCGTCTTCTAAGACGCCATTGTAAACAAGTGAGGTTTCCGTTCACAAGGAGTGCCTGCACTGATCCCACAATGACTTGACAATCGATTTGTTTGAGTCTGTTCATCGAAAGGAATACCCAATTAGTTATATGATAATATGGAACACATCACAAATGAAGCAGTAGATCTATGTTCACATATATAATTATATAGGCCTAATAAAGCATTTTGAAAAGCTGCACCACTGTCAAGGGGCAAATCGGGGGGGGGAAGAGGAGGGCAGGTAGGCATGGAAAGAAATGGGCTGACAACATATTGTCATGTCTAGTGGACAGGAAAGAGCTTTTGCCACAACCCAAGCCCTTGCCCGTGACCATCAGAGGTGGAGATAGCTGGTGCAGCGTTCAGCAATGCAGCGCCTTCATGACCATAGGAAGGGTAGGGACTCAAGGTCTCAAGATTATGTATCTTGCAATTGAGCCTATAGTCCAAAATATGAAAAAGAATTTTTGATAAATGCCAATTTTTTATTTTAAAAAAATAATTTAATGCATGCTAAAATGAACATTTCACTGATTCATTTAAATCCAACTTTCGCAACACACTTTCCTTTATAGACATTCGGAATACATTGACTTTTCATTAGTAGAACAAACTTAGTTTTGTACAATTTTAAGCTTGTCTTTTCTTTGGTGACCTCAAAATGAACAGAGGTGTACATGTCATCATTTTGACTTGTGCATGTCATCATTTTGATTTTCATACGGTTTGAGTATTCTTACCCGCATTTTTCGTTTTTGCCCTTTTTATTTCATTTTAGGTTTTGAGAGTCTTATCAGAGAAATTATGGGATGTTGGGATTCAACACTGATCATCAGTTATAGACCTAGATTCTAGATCTAACTCACACAAAAATTCTTGATAAAAAAATTTTTTCGCCCCCAAGCAGTATCCCAAAACTCTTACACTAAACTAAACCATTTTCAGTTTTTCAATACAATCCTACGATCCCTAACAGAGCCTCAATGCCTTGTGCACAGCTTACACTGGTTCAAAAGACATTCAACAGAAATCACATATATATAGACATCTTCATCTGAAATTTTTTCCTCACTGGTTTCAGCAAAATCGTCCGCTAAATAGCTCATTTGCGTTAGTTTTTGTTGAAAAATGAAAGAATAACAACACTACTATGCTATAGTCGCCATAGTTGTCAAAGCCCACAAAACCTGGCTGATTTGCAGTTTCAAACGACTTGGCCAGGTTTTGCGGGCTTCGACTGTCATCTGCCTCGCGGTCAAGTGGTTAACAGTATCGTGTAATTATTACACTCTCTTATTTCACAAATTTCTATCATCCTAGTACATGTATTTAGGCTAGCCCTACCTGTTTTCAACACCCAGGTGAGAATAAAATCCATTGTATTCTCAGACCGGGTGAGAATAACAATATAATTATTCTCACCTGGGTTGAGAATAAAATGGATACTATTCTCACCCGGGGTGAGAATAACGACAGCCGTATGCCTTCATAATGCTTATATATTCCACTTTTTTCTTCTTCATTTGAAACTGAGAAAGCTGGCAAATTTTCCTATAAAAAGGTTAGATAAATCTTTCCGGGGCTGAAGCATGGTATTGCACAGTGGATGTGATGATTCCTTTCGTATCTTTTTTAAGTTACGGAGTATCATCATTCTGTGATGTACAAGATTCATATGCTCATCAGTGGTTTTTATGAAACTGTAACTTTTACAATTTAACTGGATAGATAAATATGCTTGCTTACATTTTCTCGTGTTAGCTTTCGATTTCATCAGCGGAATTCCTGATGGGTTTTTTTACCCCCTGTGAGATGCTTTTGAGACAAATGCCATGCCTATTTTATTATGTGTCATCATTGTTATCTCATGTACAAGACAAACTTTAAATGTGTATAATTTTTCCTAAATTTCTGCAAATATATTAAGTATAGACCTCATTATAATGGGAGCTGGGCTCATCTCCAGTTGAAACTTAGAAAAAACAATAGAGGGCTCTCGTGGTTTAGAGGTAAGGGTGTTCACCTCTCATTCAACAGGTACTGATTTCGAATCCGGCCATTGATAGAAGAAAATTTTAATTTCATCATGTTATACTTATATTTTTCATAAATTGTCATCTCTGTTTTGTATGATTCAATTTACATTTCAACAACAGACATCGTCGTAGCTCAGAAACCGCACTACACTTCCAATGCTCTTCTTCTGTTTATGATTGGAGTCCTTCCACACTTACTAAATATTTGTTCAGTGGAGGGTTATGATTTGAGTCCTACGAGAGAAAAAGAAAACCCATTCTTGGAACATTTTTTAAAAAAAACCTATTTAAAGTTAAAAGTCAAAGCTTTTGTGTTCAAACTGAAAGTACAAAAGAAATCTGGTTATGTCTCAGTGCACTCTGAGGCTTGATTTCTTTAATGTATTCAGATAGTCCAATGTACATAGATTTTTGTTTTTACAGATCTGAAGTGAACTGTTCATAATGGCAGTTCCTCCGCCCGACCAAGTGTGTGTTATGGGTCAGGGTATGGAGGAAGAGATACCATCTCCCAGATGTCTTCAGCACTGTCTGTCTCCAACGTCACTTGCTCTGAGATTAGAGAGTGAAGATGGTAAGAGAGCTTCTTAATTTTTTTTCCTTTATTAGGAACCATTAAAAGTCTCTCATCTTGTTTATTTTCTTTTAGGATCTATTCATTTTTTACTCTTTACAAATCCAATTTCATTTATAATTTTTTCATAATCTTTAACTGTTAACAGTTTATACTATTACTATGGGATCATCCATCATAGGGTCTTTAAGCCCAAGCTAGCTTTACATCATCTTTAAGCGTACACTGTGGGTGGTTGACGGATGCTTCGTCATGGTTTGTTCCTTCTTTTCTTTGAATGTTACTCTCTTAGTAACACCTCTAATCTTCGGCAGTTATGTGATTGATTTGTATTGCAAGTGCTGTAAAACTCTCACTAAAAAACTAAACAAAGCCCACACCACAGTATGCATTTATAAATATAAGGTAACTTCGAGAACTTTTATGATTTATCAAATTAAGTTATGTGAAAGATTGTTCTTCCCTATGCTATCCGGCCAAGTGAGTGACATTCACCAAGATGATAGATTTAAATGGAAAAGGGTATGGCATGTTTATGCCATTTCCACTCTGACTGTTATTGTTTACAGCAAGATGGACGAATTCTCAGTTTTAAACTCTTGACATTTCATTTATCTATTTTTGTCGTTGTAGCTTTTAGGGAGAGGGGGTATATCCTTGTAATATTTGCTACATTTCTCCATTTTTTTTTTTTATCCTCTCAGGAATTGACTGCTATGGCAATGAACGAGATGTACTGTCTGAACAGACAAAGTTCTACAATAACAAACTGTTAAGTGACGTTACGCTGCTCGTTGGTACGGACAAATTCTTTGCACATAAACTGGTGCTTGTGCGGGCTTCTCAGGTGTTTGAAAGAATGTTTACCTGCAAGCAATGGGACAGTCACAAAGAGAAGGTGCAGTGGCAAAAATCAATTGTGATTCATAGATACTTTTGTTGTACCATCAACAGCTTGACACTGTGATCTGATAAATTTCTTGTCGATTTTTTAAATGGCAAAAACATTCTTATTTATTTCTAATATAATCATTTTCATCTTAGGTTATCTGAAATAGTAGCAATGTTTGTTGGGATTAGATCCTTTAACTCATTATCTCTGGCAAGCCCCTGCCAGCGGCTCGCAGTCGGAAAAGCTGTGTTGGTGAGCCGCTTGCAATGGTTCAAACACATTCCTTTACGAAAACTTTGCCAGAAACAGGTCTCTTTTACTGGGAATTCATTCCTTAGATGATGCACTATCAAAATAGGTTCATTTGTTTTGATTTAAATACCAATTTAGTGACACATATCTCACTTTTAGATTTCGTACCAAAAGAGGGCCTGGCATAGTGAGTTTACCTCCCTCAGCGATAGAGAGTTAAAGTAGTGATTGCAAAATCCCTGTTCAGAAATCTAACTTTAGATGTTTCTTGTCTTGTCAGCTCAAGATTCCTTTGTCTCCAAGGGAATAAAGGGATTAGATCTAGTTAAGATAAGTTATTTTTCGTAATGCAGTTTTGGTGAATTTAGAAAAATTTGAGAGATTTATATTTGTCTCTAAATGATGACATAGCTGCAGTATTACGCAGTGCGGTAATGTTTTGTTGAATTTTTTTTCCTTTTGTTGACAAGTCATTTTTTATTTAAATGTAATGCCTAGAGGGCTCTCGTGGTCTAGAGGTTAAGATGTTCACCTCTCATTCAATAGGTCCTGGGTTTGAATCCAGATAGCGATGGAAAATTTTCTTCTCCAAAATGTTCTCCTTTCACATCCTTTTCTGCTCTCTTACAATGTTCTGTCATCTGCTTTTGTCTCCACTTTCTGCTCCCACCCCCTCACCTCCTTTGGCCCCTCCTCTAAGCTCCTGACTCTTTCTGCAGCTTTTCTGCTGCTACTCCTTGGCTCCCTCTTACTGCTGTCTTTCAGCCACACCCCTTATCTTATGATAGGTAAGTAAGATCTAACACCTAGCCTTCTCAGATAAGGGCGAAGAATTTCGGAGGTCCTGTGTGCAAGTTGCACATGTTAAAGATTCCTTTATGGTCCAAAATTGATAAGAGAAGGCTTCAACCGCCACCTGGGCAAAATTCAACATGTCCTACCGAACTGAAAATATTTCATATGTCTTGCGCGCTCATTTGACCTTATGCATTTGCGAGCGCTCTAAAACTCTTACCAAAAAGAAAATGTAAAGCCTATGACAAGCATTTTCATTTATTGAATATCAACAAGCATTCTCTTGTTGAACATCAACAGGAAATAAAACTGGTGGAGGACAGCATGTGCCTCAGTGTCTTCCCCCGATTTCTCAACTTCCTGTACAGCTGCCATATCAGACTCAACATAGATAACACGCTTCCTGTTCTCGTTCTGGCTGATAAGTACAACGTGGCAGACCTGCGCAATGTGAGTTTTAAAAACATCAGTGTCTGTTGCAGCTATCAGTTTATAGAAAATTAAATGAGACTGATAGCGCAATGTCTTTGATGTTATATAGAGAACCTCGCATCCATCAAACTCGCAATGACGTCAATCTCTCAATTTCAGTATAAAAGAGGTTTGGGTGAAAGCAAAGTCTGATTACTGGGCATTTTCAAAAAGTTTTGAATTTCCGGCTACTTGAACTCATCTGTGGGCCTCCCTCCGGCTACACCGGCCGGGCATGACTTCCATAGCCAGCAACGTGACAGTCATTTTTATTTCGTCGGCGTGCGACAAATTTCCGGTGAAAAAAAAATGGCCAAAAAATATCTGCTGACGGCCGACACCAGTACTTTTGGTAGGGCTGGGTGCTATTAATTGAAAAGAACCCGAATAAATAGGTACTGGTACTCAATAAATTCGAATAGCCGAAAAAACGAGTCATAAACTAGGTACCCCCCCCCCCCCCCGTAAAAACAGGGTGACTAGCCAGGCCTGGGAATTTGATAAAAATCATCGACACCCGGGAATCTGAGGAAATCAGTAAACAGTAAAACTACCCCCCCCCGAAAAAGTCGGGAAGACCCGGGAAAATATAGCCTATAAATTTCTGGAATATTTGAAAACAAATTCCGAAATGGTCAGTAAGTTAATTTTGGCCGGTCGCAATTGTGATATTCGCTCGGCTCCAGTTACCCACTGAAATTTTGTTGACTGGATACATGTATCATGTTGGCTACGTACTTGTTTGTGTGTGTGTGTGTGTTTCTGTGAATTATATTTAAATAGAGCACATAATGTCATTGTTATGTAACATGCCCCTGGGAAATGGATGGCATCCCTGGAAAATTGAAAAGCGTACCCCATCCTTCAGGCCGCATGAATTTACCATGAACTTTTCAGGCTATCCGTTCTCTAACAACAGAATTTTCAGGCTAAACCGTCTCTTGTCACTTTCACCCATGGTTGGCAAATGCACTATTGTCAAACATTATTTCTGCTTTTCTCTAACAAGACTTACTTGTTGCTGCTCGTCAACGCTGCATAAGCAAGTCAGATTAGATTGAACTAGAAAACCAAACACATATTCGATTTAGATTGGTTGACTAAAATTGGTAATCTAGTCAGATCAGTTCCTGCAGGTCTGCAAATCATTGCTTTAAAAATTCTGAGAAATCCGATAAGTGTGCAGTGCATTACCCACCTATTTGATAACCTCAGATTTTCAGCATCAGGTTGATGCTGCCATGGGTACATGTGTGTGGCTCTGAAAACCTTTTGGAAGGGGACCATTTTTAAGACTGGCTGTTTTAGCATAATATATCAAAAGATGTATCTTTCTTATTTTCCACTTTATTTGGGCACAGCTAGAGCATTTTATATAAAGCATTTCAAAGGGCAGAAGAGTCAAAAGGATATGTTTTGAGAAGCTATAAACAGCACTTCTGTCTTTTTCTACATTCTACACCACAGTATCCTTGTGTCCAAAAAAGCAGTAAACATTTGTGTTCTTTTGGAATAGTTGTACAGTGCCTAGAGAATGCTGTCAAGCATGGGTAAAGATATATATATGCAATATAAATGCATTTATTATTAAATAATCATTATATTTCAACAGAGGTTTGCCTAAAAATTTGTGTCCATAATAATTATATAGGAGTAAAAATGTTCACATTGAGGCAGAATTTGTGGGTTTATTTTCTGGGAGTTATTTGTACAGAAAATAGTAGCCTGTATTATGGGCAAATTTTTTAATTTTTATTTGAAAATTGAGAATGGTATATCTTTCCATATTTTATTGTAAAAATTCTCTTAAAAAATGGAAATGAAGATCTAGGTCTATTCTTATCTATATCTTAAAATAACCCTTCAGTATATTTTCTCCAAGCAATGCACTGATATTCAAAAGGTGTCCAATAACCTGGTGAGGGGAAATAACCACTAGCTCTGAAAACTACTGACTGAAGTAAAAAATAAGCAAGAGCACTGTACTGTTCCTGAATGGCAAATACGCTAGACCTGCGTGTTTGCCGACAATCGTCTGAAATCCGACAATCGCGACGCGACCCGACCCGCGAGGCGACCGATGCTATCGCTAGGCCCACCTGTATCAGTCAATGTGCGTAGTGCGAGGCCTGGCCGACTGCCAGCGTCCCCCTTTTCTCCTGTCGGCTTTGTCGGCACTTTCGTTTTCGTGCCGACCGCCGACGCGCACACCGCCGACTGCCGACGTCGGCGCTTCCGACATAATTGTCGGAACCTGAGTAGAAACGCGAATACGAAAAAGGACGACGACCTAAATTATTTACTTTCAGTTTCGTGCTCGAGCGGCCATTTTGAATTTCGTTTTGTTGACAAATTCAATTGTTCAGATTGCGTGGATTCATTCCAGTCCGACTCACTTAGATAATAGAATCTAGATCTAGATCTAGATTTATATACTCTAGATCATTATAGACCTCAATGGAGGATTCATATTCCAATTCTATTTTGTCAAACCCTATCAAAGGTTGTGCTTTAATATTAATGTTGGTAAAAGGCATTTCATCAGGTGCGTGAATTATTTATTTATTTAGAGTCTAGACTCAGCTGAGCCCCTCTGACGCCTCTGTTCGGAATCGGATGCGGATTTCTAGATCTAGATCTAGTTCAAGGCCTATTCCTAGATCCTATTCACTTGTTCTTCTAGATCTAGATCTAGATTTATTTAGTTTACTAGATCTATGGAGGATTCATATTCCAATTCTATTGTGTTATTGTATCAAACCCTATTATTATAGATCTAGCAATATATGTAGATGTAGGCCATTATATTATGCTCCTTGTAAGCCTTGTTTGTTTTGGAGTGTGGTTTTTTAATTTTAAAAATATTTTTCATTTTGGACTTCTGCTGGCCTTTTCACATGAGGCTCGTTGCAGGTTTTTTGTTGGGATAGGCCTAGGGGTAGGGGTAGGGTTAGGTCTCTTCTTTATTGTGTTTGTTGGGGTGGTCGCTCGTTACTCGGAAGTCCTTCCTTATGACACCCACAAAAGCTCTTTGGGGGGGGGGGGGGGGTTGCGCAAAATTTTCAGACAATCTGGTTGAGGCTCACATGCAGGTCTAAAATACGCACTTGTATCATAATATTTTGTCTTTTGCAGCCTGCTAAGTTGAGACTTTATTCACTGAGTATTGTCCTGGAAGACTGAGCATAATATTAGTTCGAGTTGTTTCTTAAGCTTATTTTCCATGTATGATTAACACATTCTTTTTCTTCTCTTGTGCATATATAGTGCTAAACTTAGAATAGCAGTGTTGGGTGACACTAACTTATGATTTATTTTTACTCTATGAGCTAAGCCTGTTTTTTACCCTATCCCTACGTCGGGCTTTACTATCATATCCCTACGACGTGGGGTACCTCTATGCCTCCTCTTTCCAGAGAGGAAATTTACTCTTTAATCCAATCCATGCGCTGTGGGATAACAAAGACCCCAAGTATTTGAATCCATGGCTGGAATGTAAAGGCTTTACGATCCAAGATGGTGGGAAACTAGTTTTCTTGATCTATTCGTCGAGGGTTCAACTAGCTAACACTAATGTCACTAAAGCCTTCATATTTCACAGAAATTTGGGTCTAAAATTAGCTCACTCTCTCAGTTCTAGAACTTCGCTTTCTTAGATCTAGACCTAATGAGGTGGAGCAGAACTTTCTCAAAGTAGGTACATGTGAATCCTTAACTTAATTTTGAATATATCTAGTATTCCAACCTTGTTTCTTCTCCTTATGGTTGGATTCTATTGTTGTTGTTGTTTCACATAAGTCAAACCAGATTTAATTATCAATTATCATAGAAACCTAATTTATCTCGACTGTTCTGGTTATCTGTGAACTCTCTTGACTAGAGATTGGGTTCTTTGGTGTGTTTTTCTCCTGCTTTCTGACTTTGCTATCGTCGTTTTCTGCTCCTTCCACTCAATAGATTTAGCACTCTCTCCTGTTCTAATCTTGGTTGTCCCTGAAATGGCCTATACTATGTGCCAATAATAACATAAAACCGACAGAACCCCTCGACACTGCTATGTTTTCCTGGAATTTTTCTTCATTGTCCTGTGCACTGACCGGGGGGCTTAATTATTTATTGTTTTTTATGGGACTATCGACACTAATGGACACCAGGAAACAGAAGGGATAGACCACACCAGAGCGCCCACCAACCACCCGTCCTAACAAATTAACAAAAAACAAACAAAAGGGAATAAAAATGGGCAATAAAAAACTGACTTTGTGCTGTAGGGCCCACACATTTTATTTTCCATACGGTCAGGCGCGGTTCATCCATAGAGCACGGTCGTGCAGTGCCGCCCAAAATGTTTTAATGTTCTATGACGTAAATAACCCACAATAATGAAATAAAAGACGCCAGAAACAAACACTAGCCAAACATTATATCAAAACAAGGCCCTCACTGGCGCCGTAACTGTCATTTCTATGCTATAGCGCCGTAAAACATCTACTATGCCATGCCTAAATTCATGCGCTGTATCTAAACATAAGAGGATAGTCAACAGTGGAAACCTGACCTATAAATCGCTCTTTGGGATAACCCAAGCGATGACGACACTTGTAGAGAGTTTGGCGGTACATTTATATTAATAAGACGGCACATCTCAAATGTGCTCCTGCCGAATAGCGCCGAAACATAGCCCACAGTAGGCAATCTAAAATAAACGCCATAGACTGTGCACTATTCCATGCCAAAATTATGTGGGCCCTGGAGCAATCCAGCGGAGTGCTCAAGTGAATTGTGATTGGTTCATTGTCTTGTGGCTATTTTAAGTGACTCTGTGACCGTGAACCTGAGGGAGATGAACGTGACAAGTCACCGTCCTATGAGTTGAGCTTTTGAACGGTTTTGTAGTGGAATGGTGAAAGGTATTACTTGAGTGTTCAGTTCTAATGCAGGATGAATGAAGTTGACGTTTAGCTAACAAATAGATTTAGTTTTAGAAGTCAAAGCAACAAGTAAAAAGAATTAAAATAAAAGCACAAGGTCTTCCTTCACCAACCCAAAGATCCTAAAATTATACACCATCTCATTTACTCTGCCCTTGTTTATCTTCAGCCTAAGATAGCTTAATTGTGCACGCCCACTTTTTAGACCCACGAGCCGCCCCTGCATACGGTAGCAAATATTTATAATACCAGGCGAATATATATATATATATATATGAGGTCTACAGAAAGTAAGGAACTGAGATACATACCGTACCGGTACTGTACTTCTTAGTGAAAATGATACATGTATCATCTATCTGCTCCATCTACTGTGTTTGTTTGTTTTGTTATACATGTACAAGAAAGTCTCTTCAACTTCAACTGGAGTACCATACATCTGTTGCAAATGCTGCATGCCACTGATCTGCCATACAAAATTGTGTACGAACGGACATCTTGTATGTAGTAAATAAAAGGTGCTTTTGAAAGTAGCACATGCACTCCAAGTCCAAAGTTTCCTGTTTACAGGGGCTGGTAGGCTGCTTACTTTGCTCTGCACTGTAAACATTATATTCCATGCTCCTTCTTTTCTATGATTCTTTGTTACATTATACTATTTATCACCCTCATGGGCATCATACAGATGTTTGTGGAAAGCTCTCTGGTGTGGTCTACTCCTTCAACTTCTTTTTTCTACATCTTACTGTTGTCCGGATCTACATATACTTCCCAGTGCTGAATGACCTTACAGGCTTGATAAAGCATTACTCAATGTCAATGGCGAAAACACTATTACCATCATAGCTGCCACAACTACTGTCGTCAATGGGGGTTTCAACTTCAAAACCACCACCATGATCACCCACCGAAAGCACCACACCACTATCAACTACAAAAGTCAACCGCTACTTTCATCATGCACAACACTACACGCTCATCAGCCAATAACCCCTAACCGCCTAATACTACATGTACGGGGTCTGTCCCAGAGATATATTTGTGTATTCGTGGGATCCAGAACTGAAAAGACAGTCAACAAAATGGAGAAACCCAGGATCACCACTGCTACCCCAGAAGCTCGACGCAAGCAAGGCGCTTTGAAAATGATGCACATTGTGTTTTTCGACCACAAAGGTCTGATTTTGAACTGGCTTGTTCCTGTTGGCACAACATGCAATGTTAACTATTATTAGAACAAGATAATTCTTCAAACAAAGCTGAGACCAACAGTCCGAAGGAAGTGGCTTGAGCAAGGTGTTGTCTTCCATCATGACAACACGCCTGTGCACACTGCTCAAAGGTCACTGGACTCCTGGCAGTGGGAAATCCTTGAACGTCCCCGCTATTCCGGAGACTTACACCATGCAACCTTTATCTCTTCCCCAAATTCAAAGAATTGAAGGACAGCAATAGGAAGACGAAGAAGAAATTGTCCTCGAAAGAAATTTTGCGCTAAGGACTCTGGCCGAAGCGGACAAGGTCACAGCGTTTGACAGCCGCCTAAAATAGATGAAAAAGTGCATTAAGACTGATACCAATAATTATTATGCTCGTGCGCACAATGATTCTTTCCATTGTCTCGGCAGTAATGAAAAGTTTGTAAGCGGCATTTACTGTCTGAAAATGTCTTTGGTTAGTCATTTGCCTAGTAAAAGGTTGCATCAAGGTGTGCACGTTTGTGTTGGAGCAACCCTGTATCACAGCGTACCATCTTTGCCTTCATAGTGTAGACGTATTTCAATTTCCCTATCTGACAGAGTGTAGTCTCTTCAGCTGCATGTGGCATAGTTTCCAAGTCCAGTTCAAGTGTGTTCATATCCACAGGCTGCAGCATTTCCAGTCAATTGTCACTATTTATTGCTTTCAGCTTCCTCTTCCTCATTCACTTCATCCATGTCTGTGTCTTCTCCCTCGTTTCCTATAGTATTGTCCTCCGACCCACTAGCCACATCACTCTTTTGTCCATTGTATCCATAGTCATCATCCCTTCCTTCTATTGTATCCACTATCAGTACTTGTACTAAGCGAAGATATTTTCTCGCTCCAAAGAAAACGAAACCATTTATTCTTCTCTCTGTCACTGTTATTTTTCTTCTCTCTCTCTCTCTCTCTCTCTCTCTCTCTCTCTCTCTCTCTCTCTCTCTCTCCCTCCCTCCCTCCCTCCCTCCCTCCCTCCCTCCCTCCCTCCCTCCCTCCCTCCCTCCCTCCCTCTCTCTCTCTCTCTCTCTCTCTCTCTCTCTCTCTCTCTCTCTCTCTCTCTCTCACAAAATTTGACGCCAGCTAGGTTGGAACCTGGGCAATCCACATGAATGGATTTCCAGACGAGCGCCATACGACTGATATACCTAACTTATATAGATTCATCCTTTCCACCAGTAAATTACTAAACTGCTGAGTGATGCACTGTGTTTCATACCTGTCAACAACAATCAGTCTCAATATAAAATAATATAGGATAATAAGGCCGTCAGATGTCTCCAGGTCAACTGCAAGAGCACGAACAATACCAAACAGAAACCCAGATTTTGGAAAATTTGGATCTACCGATTACTAGTACATGTACTCCATTGAAACGATGTGTTGGGGTCGTCTGTTACTCCACTAGATACGGATACGAATAACTGAGTTTTTTTCCTCTTTGGAGAGTGGGGGCACAAATGACCCTTACTGGGCGCAAAAAAGGTCGTTTTGAAATGTGACCACTGGTCAAAAAGTTACATTACCAATTGCGATTTGCTTTGCATAGCAGTCTGTCAAAATGATTGTACTAGAAGTATTCTAAAATGTGAAAAATACAACGCTTGGGGAACAAAATGACCCCAGACGTACGGATAGGGTTATGAGATTACTTAGTATATAATATTTTACAGTGTTACCTGTAACTTTTCTTGCAGGTGTGCCTGGATTTCGCCTGCTACTATATCATTCCCAAAGTTCAACTGAAGGATGTATTTCATGTGTGGTTTCAATACGCCACCAAATGCTATCACCAAAGACTGATACAAGCCTGTGTTCAGGTGATAATATATATAATTTCTGAGCACTGTTCTTCCTCTGAAAAGAAAGTAGGCTCAGTAGACGAGCTGGCAGCTATTTCATATGCTGAACAAATAATTCTGAGAAAAGTTAAGTGTGCCTTAAGTGGTTTCAGTTTCATTCAAAGAGAGGCACTTAACTCTACAATGGTCTTTTGTGTGGAAACATGGTTGATCGGGGAGTTGCTGATCGATTATGCATAATGATTGAAGCTATTAGAGCTCTATTTTTATTACTTATCATTTCTGAGGAAATGCAGTGCTAGTTAGTCGTGTCTGAGAAAAAAAATAACCATTACAGGCTACAGGTATTCCTTTGATAGAATTTCCTTGGGGGAAAAAAGCCAATAGGTGGGTTTCTAAAAGACGTACTTGTTTTTCTCACTTCTCTAGGAGGAAAAAGCTCTGGGCTTTCTGGGAAAGAAGTGCTTGGCATTTGGAGAAAGAATGCTCAAACTGTTCTGTTAACTGTTCATGGGTTTACGGTTTAGCTAATTTTTCAAGGAAAAAAACAAGGTGGTTGTAGAAAAAAAATTGAGATAAATTCTTGAGAGTTTCAGTTTCATAAGTAATATATTTATATAATAGTGGAAAATGTCAGTCTACTCTCTGTGGGGTTTTTTGTTCATTTTTTAATTAATTTTTTTTTTTGGGGGGGGGGGAGGTTTCTATCTTTACCATATGCAAAGATGGGATCAAAATTTGTTTACAGTAGTACTAACTCTTTTTTTTTCTATGTATATCAAGAATCTGGAAAAGATCTAGGAGGTTTCCGAATTTCTTCAAAGGGAATGAGCTGTAGTTTATAGTTTGATAAAGTAATCTTATGGTACAGTGCATTATTTGCTTTTTTCAGGCATTAGCCCTGAAAATGGATGAAATAATCAACTCGGCAGAGTGGGAGACAGAGTGGATGAGTCTTGACAAGGACCAGCTGATTGAGATCCTAAACTCTTCCTGTCTAGTCGTCAAGGACGAGTTTGACCTGTGGCAGGCAGTGGAAAAATGGCTGCTGGTCAGTTTTCTATTCCATTAGTTGATTGTTTAGGGTGCTTGAAATTTTTATCTCTTGTGGCTCACATGAATATTTTCGCATCATTCAAGGCTGTAAAAAACGTTTAATCTCATTCTGTCAGTATACATGGAATTTTCAGCTCACTTTAAATCTTCCTTTTAGATACCAAATCAAATTCGATTCGCCTTGTTTGATATATATATATTTCAATCCTGTCTACTTTTTTTACAGCTGTAGGTCGTGCTGTTATTTTGTGATATTTTGTTTTGGCATTGATTGACGTCAAAAAGGATAGATTGGTATACAGTTGTATAAGACAATTCTTTTTCTTTTCTCTTGGCATATTTATTTATTTTTAAATTGTATTTATTGTTATTTATGGTCTCCGTTTAAGAACACACTATATAAAAGCCCCCTCTACTTCTAAGCCTGCTTTTATTGTGTAAAGTGCCACAATATTTTCTCTATAATGCAATTTTTTAAGAATCTTTTCCAAAAATAAAAAGCGGCCTTAAACCACACACTAGTAGACGCCATTCCAAAATCTACACACAGTGTGTGCACTTATAGCAGAATGTCTTTTCAGACATTTGGTGTCTGTTGGAACAGACAGGTCACTTGTTAAGGGATTATCGATTGGCTAAGGTATTTGTTCATCCTGCGACGGATCACATCAGGATTGCCTACAGCTACAAGTCTTATTCAGTTAAAAGCTAACCAGTGAAAACTCTGTGGCGGCCCTCTGAAATCCAGTTTGAGTCAGAATCTGTTGTTTTTGTCTCCCAATGGCTGGGTTACTTGGCAGAAACCATTTTTCCTTTTTTAACACTGTGGGTTTGTGCCAAATAACCCAGCCATTGGCAGAAACCACATTGTTAAAAAGGGCGAAAATGCCAGTGTTTTGTGTTCCCACATTTGAGAAGTATGTCCAAAGTTCATGGATTTTTTATGTCCTGTGACACTAGTTTTGGTGTATATTCTGTCTTGCGTTTCAACTGGGCTCTACTGACCCTTATTCCTAACTTACCAGGCACACAGAGATTCAAAGCAGATGACTGTTGCCCAGTTTGCTAATATACTCGGTCAAGTGATGGACTCTACCAGGTTCCCAATGATGACTCCTGATCAGCTGAGTCAGGTCAGTCCTCTTGATCTACTTCTCACTTTATTGTGTTTCTTAAAGATGACTCCTGACATATCATTTTGTTACTTTTGGGATTATTTCGAGAAAGATGATTTGTTTCAGTTGAATAGACTGTGACTGCTGCTATAAAGGGTATAATGGAGAAAATAAGAGCTGGGGTGTGGGTTACTTGATATTCTAATTATTTATTTTTTAAAATACATTTCTATAGCCATTGGACTTCATATGAAGCTTTTATGAATTTTCATCCATTTATGATTTGATAAAGTTTTATTTGTAATATATATGTAAGAATCTGAAGCTAGCAGTAATAGGAAAGGGATGTACCAGTAATTAAAGGTATACATTTTGTTTTTAGAAAAATTAATTTTGGAATTTATTTGATGACATACCCCTTTTCTCAATTCTGTCTCTATTTGGTTTGCAGCATTGAAATTGAAAATAAAGTAGCAATAGATTGAAAGTACTCTTGTCTTGGGTTTTTTTAAAGAAATTCTTTGTTCGATTACTTTCCTTTAGCTGGAAACATCTACTCTTGTGGAGAAGCACAAAGATTTGTTCCAGCAGCCCTTGCTACTGGCCTACAAGTACCATGCCCTCCCACTCTCTACAAGGGCACGCACAAAAGAGTTCACAACAAAATCATTCCTGTTGAGAAATTACTCTAGCTTGCGCTGGGACAAACGTATGGTCATCCCTCGTCTCTCTGCAATTCAGAAAGGATCAGAGGTCAGCATAAGATTTTCCACTCGTGCGTCTTCGTTTCCTGCCCAGACTTGGGAGTGGGAGCTGAAAGTTCACCCCAAAGGCTCGTCTGCGAACCAGGAAGATTTTCGAGTGCTGCTCTACTCCAACGTTATTCTAGAACAGCCTCGACCGGTTGAATACTACCTGGCCCTTGTCAATAGCCAACAGCTGCTACACTCAGTTAGCGGGAGGAAAAATTTCTCCAAGGCCCGCTACTCTTCGGATACTGAGATGGAGAAGAAGGTCTCAGTGACGGAGTTGATGCAGCCCCAGTCTCCATTTGTGGTGGATGATTCTCTGGTCTTGCAGATCTGTCTCAAGCCGGCTGAGTGACCTTGTCCTTCATATTAATGCCTCTGATTAGTCTGATCTGGGTAACTTTAGGCGTTTCTGAAGTCTCAGAGGCCCCCGAATTTTTGCTCCTTTTATGTCAGTTGATGTTGTTCTGCCAAATTGATGTGTCATCGGAGGTATTGGGAGCAGTGAAATAAGCTGTGACAGTTTTCTTGGTTTCTGGTCTTTGATGTCCTTTTTATGATGCCTTTTCAGCTTGCAGCTTTTTAAAGAACAGTAGAAACGTGGTTGTGCATCAGGCTGTGATATTCCTGACTTTGTGAGATTTTTTTCCATGTTCATTTGCCATGTCAACATTTCTGTTCTTTAACTACAACATTATGAAAATTTCGCATTTATTGTTTGGACCTTCCTTATATATATAAACTTTTCCAAAAGTTGATTATATATTTATCTGTGACCCTCTCAAAACCTGTGGTTGAGAGTTTTTCTTCATGTTACATATTTTAAAAATAAAATGTTGCAAAAATTGGTAATCTCGTACTTTTATATCTTGTAATCATCCTTGTAGTTTTTTTCCTCAAAATTTTAAAGCAGTTTATTATGTTAATTATAATGACAGCCTACCGCTATTAAATTTTGTTTTAACTCTCTTTAATGTGCCACACACGTCTTTGACCTTTCTGACAACTGTAAGACTGATGAGACATTAGAGTTTATGATGCATTTGCTAAGCTTCGTTACATACCTGAGGTCTTTGAATATTGTCATTTTCACTACCTCCTGCACTTTCTACTTCTTGTGTATTTTTTCACCCTTCAATATCATTCCCAATCCCTTACTGCTCTTTTACTCCCCTTTATTGTCTTCGTACAGATAAGGTTCAAGGTTGGAGGTAGAGATCCTTTTGAAATAAGTCAGCCTTTTGTATGTTTTTACATTTCTCTGTAACTTGAAAATTCTTAAAACTCTGATATTTCTGTATTGAAATAACAATTATCCAAAGGACTTTTTAAAAGTGGATTTTTAAAATTAAAGTGTTTTCCAATTTGGAATACCCGATATTCAAGAAAATGTAAAGTCCCATCCTGCCCTATTGTTCATTTTCTTGAATGTGGTCAAGGAAGCCATGTATTTTTTCATCCATTTGTCCTAGTCATGTTTAAATTCAATAACACATGCACTGTCTTGTAATAATAGAATGAACGTCACCATTTTCTGTTATATGGGTTTTTTAATTTAAAAAAGGACAATTTTAATGTGGATTTTGTGTAATCTCATTGGAGTAGAGAAATGTAATGTGCTTCCTGTGAGATGCAACATTATTATGAATGTTCACAATATTTACTTTGTCATATTTGAGCACTTTGATCTATGTAGGGATGGCATATTTTCAGGAATTCCACAAACCCAGGATGTTGTAGATTTTTTATTTGGTTTGGTTCAGTCTGTGTTTCATCTTTTATACTGTCAATATTTCTTTGTTCAATTCCTTATTCTTGCAGACATACTGTAGTCTCCACCTAAACGCACTCTATACAAAAGCACACTTTTGTCATATAACGGGTTTTTTACTATATAATTTAGATGTACAAGCGCACGGTCACTCCCTCTAAACGCACACTCCGATCCATGAATCACGCCGACATCTAAAGTGTGACTAGAGGAAATTTTTGCTGCAGCCTACACATTACACAGCTTGCATGAGAAGACAAGTCTAGAAAACCGGATATTTGGTGAGACTGCCCCTCACGCCGAACAAAGAGAGTGATGGACAGCATTGTGACACCCAACTTTCAACAGACACACAGGTCTAGGACTGGTCATTGAAATGTTGAGGGGGGGGGTGATTGAAATGTGGTTTGATTTGATTGGTCATTGGAAATGCATCTTTGAGAGAAGGTTTCTGACTGCATGTAATGTTAGTTAGACCTAGGCATATGATGCACAACACCCATGAAAGCTGTAAAACACTAGATAGGCCTCTATAGGATTAAAGATTAGTCAAGTAAGCCTAGTCAGTTGTGCTCGAAGAATTTATTATGCACTTGTTCAATGAAATACAAGAGAAATGTTTCTCTTAATGTAGAGATCTATGATTCTGATGTCGTCTATGAATTTACGGCCGTGGATGGTCGCTTGGAAAGCCATGTGGCTGCGCCGTTGTCTCTATGATGACTATCACCAACAGTTTCTTTCTGCCCCCACCCCCCATACCTCAGTCGGGAATTCTTCACAAAACAGTCACGTGTTGTCACATCAGCCAAAGTGACCCCCACCCCCAAGGGAGGTCACAGAAATAATAATTAAGGCAATGAGTTGACTGTGTCCCTTCCTCCCTTTGTGCAGGTTCAGGTAAATGCACACTTCGTATAAACACACGCTAAAGAGCCCTCCCAAGCACCGTGAGTTTAGGCGGAGACTACTGTAGTTAGTTCATAACTGAGGTGGATGTTCAGACTTTTAACACCCCCCAATTTCAGGGTTCATGAAATTTAGCTCCTGATCTTCCAGGGTGAAGAATGGTAGTTCTGACAAACATGATGTGCATATACTTCCCATAAAAATATCTAGGTAGTTTTCTGCTAAAGAAGACCGGGACTTCCAAGACCATCTAGAAATAATTCTGAATCAATAGCAATAATAAACTGAAGAACTAGTTGTTGTTGGGTTTTTTAAAGTTATTAAGAGTGTAGTACAATATGGCATATTCCTGTCTGGACTTTGAGGGGGGCTACAGTCTTGATGTGATGTTGACTCTATACAAAAAAGTCAGTAGCTCGTTGGTTTGCAAACCTAGTGGACCTCAATCAATATGAACTGGATAAAGTTTGTAAGTGTTCAGTGACCATTTATACATAAATCGATGAAATGAAATAGTGATTTCCAAAGCTCATAAATACTATGTCAATGAAACTATCTTGCAGACAAACTTCTGTGGGCATAGGGAAATTAGGAAGTTATGTTACCTTTCACCCTTATAAGTTTTAGAGAGAGAGAGTATATATATAATATATCTGTTAATGACTCATTTTCTCATCTTGCCATCTGAGCTGTAATTTACTTTTTCTATTAATATTTGCATATCTATCTTACAAGTAAATGCGAATGTACTATTTGCTGGTATTCAGGATTTCTGTCCCTGGAAATATAATTTTTGTGCTGTTTTTTATGCTGATGTACCTGCTGATGTGTCATTGAAAGACACAATTTTTATATTATCCCATAGTCTTTAAAAGATGTTTTATACTGATTTATTTGAAAGGATCGACAGGGTTGGAAAGCCCCTACTTGACATCATAGTTAATTGTTAATGTGACCCATATGTTTTTCTCACATGCACATTTTGCTGGGGCGTTGCCCTGAATTTTTGTCCATGTAATTTGTATTACTTACGGGATACCATAACTCAGCTTCTGGTGGTGTTTGCTGACCAGCAAGTTAGCTTCAGATGGGGCTAACTGACCTGCAATGCAATCCTGAACCAAAAGCCAAGTTTTGGATAGTGAGTAGAAAAGCGAATAAACTTGGTCAATTCTTGAAAGAATGTCCCCCACCTTCCCCTTCCCTGAGCTATCCAAAGATGTTCAAGTGGGTCATGTTCCTTTTTATAGCATATACAATGTAGCATACACATAGCTAAACAAGCTCATAGCAAACAGATTTCCAGGTCCCTAAGTTTTTCTAGTACATTTTATTATTTTTTAGAAAGCACATATGTAGGATAATTCTTTCGTCGCGAAAAGATTTCCACATCCCACCAATTTCATTGTATGTGTGCTTGACTGTATAAATGCCAAAAGTTCTTTTTCACCATGAACTTTAATAAGTCAAAATACCAATACAAACTTGCTGATGAGCATGTTCAAGTCATCCTGAGAGTTTCACTTGCTTTCTCCCTCAAGCTAAATGAGGCTGAGCTATGTCAGAGGAAGTTCTGGCAGCAAAGAGTAGGTGAGAGAAGCCTGTGTTCTGAAGAACCATTCATGTTCTAAACTGCTATTATTAAAGATTGAGACCAGTTATACTTTCTTTTTTTTTATACTGGAAAACTTTTTCTTTAGGATGCTTGAGGCAGCCCTGGCTCACCCAACCCAGACTCTACCTCTCCAGTGTCGCCCACCCCCCCCCCCCGCGGATAATTTGAGTTTGAGACCACTTGTTTGGATATACGTCAATAATGGATAATTGATCCATTTGTTTTCAAATACAATTTGACCTCCACTGAATTATAAACATGTACATTCCTTCAGGTTTTAAGTGATTTGATCTTCTTGAAAGAATACATTTTGTGTGGAGTCTCAGGACTTTTCCTAAGTCTTTTGTAACTTGTCAACATTCCCAACAAAAGTGACATTTCGTAATCATTGTTAATTTTACCAGTAAAATTAAGTACATTCCATGAGCGAGAAAGAGAACCGGGAAAAGGCGCTTTGGATCCTTTTTTTTTGTGTGTGTGTTTTTTTTAAACCTTTGCAGTATTGCACAGACTTTGAATGATTGTTTAACGTGTCAATGTGCGTGAATCGCCGCTCTGCACATTCTGTACGCATTGTGTGGTTGTTGTTGTCTCTTAACAAGCACTAACGACTTGTGGACTTGTGGGTTTTTTAATTGTCTTTTTCTTTTTAATCTAGGATTGAACTTTTGTTATATTCCACTGGCTGGTCTTCTGTTAGTAAAGATTGTTGGCTGTACAAGTTAACCAGTATTTGCCACTTTCCTATTGTGATGCACTGTGTGGAATGTTAAATGCATGGGACCGGAAAAACTTTCTTGGAAATTAATCTTTTTTCTAATTACTGCAAATTTTCTTTTGTGTTTCTGCTTTTATTAAAGCCGCAATAACTTCTGTCCGATCCTATTGTTGTGGAAGGAAAATGCTTGTGAAGTGCTATAAAAACATACAACCAGATTAAAAATGCCAAGAAGAAGAATATTCTTCACTATTAAAGATCATGATCTAAACGTTTCTTTAGACCAGAGCGGCCATGTTTCTGAAGTGACTTGACTCAAGGAAACCACGAGAGCCAGGTGAGTATGGGGAGTAAGTTAAAGTTTATTTCATTATCTTTTTCTTTTGTCCCTTTTAGCATACACATTTTGTGTATGTATGCATTAAAGTAGAGTTGTAATTTGCTGTCCTTCAGATCTACTTTTGGTTTTAAAGGTAATTGTGCAGCTTTAACTCATTCTTTTTTTAGCTGAATAAAATCTAAGAACCCCATAAAGCTGAGCAAATTAAATCTATTGAAAAAGAAAAAACCTTTTTTTTTCGGAGACCGTGTCCCTTCTTTGGGTGCTATGCCAATGATCTGATTCATGTCAACTCTAAAAAGGTATGCAAATATTATGTTCATTGATTATGTTACACCATCCATACATGAACAGGATTTTAAAGGCTTATTTTTTGTTGTCACTATTGTTTTTTGTAGTAATTTCCTTTGCCTTTTTTAACTCCCTAGGCCTTTTTGGAGGGTGGGACACATAGATATATAGTAATGATTAAATCATACAAGTGAGTAAGTTTGA